AAAAGGGACATGGCAAGGAAACAAGAAAACACGCCCATTCTCCTGCCGCTCTAGTTCCGCCCTATCTCGATCTGGCTACGACCTCGCCCGTTTGGGCAGCTCCAACAGAGACTGGCGTCATGAAATCCAAACAAAAAAACACCCCAAAGTAAAAACAAAAACAGAAACAAAAACAAATGATTCAAAGAAAAAGAAAAGGTGACCCCTGACAAGTACCGGTGTGCTTTCTTTTCCTTTCCTTTCTTTGCAAGGTATGTACGCTTGGCTGGCCATCCTCAGCTCGGTTGTCCATTTACATTATTGTGCTTGATTCCCTGTTTCTGCACCCTCTCGCCCCCTTTCCACCCCCTTTTTATGGTGGCTCGTGGTCATGGTGGATGTGCCTCTACGGCGGTACCGATGTGTGTTGCGTTGCTGCCAGCTGGTGGATGGTTGACATGTGCTGACGGGCTGAAAGGGGGGGAGGGGGGGGGAGCCATCGTCCTTTGCCACCTGGCCCTCGTGGCATGAGGACCACACCGGGTCAGAATACAACTTGAAATCTGACATCTGTACGGCGTATGCATGGCAATGATGATTTGTGCGACGCATTGCCTTCCAGATCTTCTGCTTCTCCCGAATGCCAAGACCCAGGATGGCCCTGGCTTTCCCGCTGTGTTAGTTGTGGGCGATTTCGACCGTTTTTTTTTTTTTTTTTTTTTTCCTTTTGTCAGAGTTTGATTTTCCACTAGTGCCGGGTTTCACTCTGGACTAGAAGTTTTGTGGATTTTCTTTAGTGTCTTTGGCGGACGCCTTCTCTTTCGTGCCAACAACTGGCTCGGTGTTTACACTTTGGCACGCGGCTGGGAAGAAGAGGAAATTGGTTCGCCATTTTTCGGCGAAAGGAAAATGCTCCCCATTCGAGTAAACTATGTATAGAGAATTTGCAAGGTGGATGGCTGTGTCTGCGACTCGTCTGTTCTCATTGCTGTCCCATGTTAGGTTTCTCCTCTTTGATCTTAACATTGCAAGAAGGGTTCTGACTCGTTGCCCACCCAGCCCCCCTCTCCTCCAACTTTGATCTAGGCAGGTCGACCGACGGCATTACGACTAAACTAAGCAGCCACCTAAGAAACTCTTATCGTGACTGCTTTTATTGCATCCATTGTGTTATTGATGAACCGCCGTATGCTGCACGATGGGCTTTCTGGGGAGCAATGTCTTTCCCTTTCCTGCCCTATTACTTGGGTACGGCGTCCTCCATACCTTGGCTTTGTTCCGGGTTCTTGTCCTCGTCTCATCACTCGTCGTCCCTGTCGAGCTTGCCCTGTTCGGCTTCCTTACCAGCTGCCTCCTGATTTGGCTTTTGGCACTCTACGACGTTGTCCTCTTGTGGGGGCCGGTTCTTTGCATTTGGCTTCCGAGGATAATTTCCCCATTTCTGGCCCACTCGTACGTCGTACGAAATATGTTGTACATTGTCATTGCAGTTCGACACCTCTGAGGCCTAGTTAGCAAAACACCGCAAACGCGCACGCGGACTCATACACAGCACATCGTTCGTTCTGTCTGTCATCGGCTTGGCCGCCTGTTGGTCATTTCTCGGCTTTGTTTCGTTTTCTTGGTCGCTCATCGAACGACCATCACTCAATCACTCTTTGCGGTCTCGACTTGCATGGTCTTATGGTCTTGGCCCAGCCAGGCCTGACCGCACAGGCTCACATGCATGAGCTGCATAGGGCCCGCAGGAGCAGGATTAAGGCGGGCGCAGAAACAAGAAAAAAAATAAAGAAAAAAAAGGAGAAAAAAAAACGCAATCCTACCTACACTTTGTGGTCTTTTTTGTTCATGCCGACGAAAAACTGCGATAGGCTGTCCATCTGGCTCCCGACCGGGTCTTGCTGCCACATCTAATTGCTCCCGATATATTTTGGTCCTTCCCACTCCACGTTGCTGCTCTCCTCCTCTCATACTTACGATTACTACTCCCCTTCGTCGCAACCTAACCCCTCTCCATCTTCGCCCTGTCCCTTGACTCCTTGGTGCTGCATATGCTGCCCGTTGCCTGCCACTCCAGTCGTGCAGTCGTGCGTGCTGTGTATTCGATGCAATTTTAAAGTACAAACAAGCAGCCCCCATGTCGTATTCGAGTCGAGCTCTCAGTTCGTGTTCTTTTTTGGGGCCCTCACAGTTTAGACGGCGACCTGCGGTGTTTCTGCGGCTGAATACCTTTGTGGTTTTGCTTCTTACATGTATCGTACTTTTATGAATGTGTCAAGACTTATTTCTGGTACTGAGCTGTCCTCGCATGTCTGACGTCCATTCTGGGTCCTGTCTGTATGTGGGCGTCGACCTCCCGTGTGGATGGATTCTTTAGATCGATCGAGACCCCCTCTCGTTCTTTCTTCCCAGTTCCAACGGTTTACGACCTACGTCGTACGATCTCATTCCCCTATTTTCCCACCATTCTTTAATGATCATCATTTGATTGCCGGGCGCATTTGCTTGTTTCTTTCCCACACCCCCCCCCTCTCCGTCCTTTTTTCTATCCCCTCCCTTTTTGTTCATTCTTCGTACGCCCACTCTCCACTTTTTGCTTTGTCTTTCTTCTCCGCGCACCTGTTTCTCCCGCGCATGTCTCGTCTTCTGTTCCTCCTCAACCACCTTGTCCGCTGCCCACTTCACCCGTCCGTCCAATTGTTTCTAAATTTCCCAGGGTGCTTCTTCTTTTTCTTCTTCACGTCGTATTTTTCTTACTATCATTATTGTTTTTGTTTTGTATTGTCGCAGCCGGCTTGGCTACAGCCTCCACTTCACTTTTGCTCGCAAATAAGCGCCCGAACCGTTGAGAGGGGCACGCGCCTGTCCACATTTCGAAACTAAAGATGCCTGTGCATGTCGTACTCGGTGCTGTGCCGAAGTGGCTTTGTGAGAGAACGCAACTGCCAGAACATGTCACCTGGCGTTGAACATCTGCTGTCGGCGCCTCTGGCGCATCGGTTGCCTTCGCCACAGCTGTCTTCGTCATCGCCGACCACTAAGGCAGAGGGACGCGCAAAGTGAAAAAGAGGCGCACGTTTCTGGTGCACATGTCACAGCTAGTTGGATAGTTTGATAGTTGGGATAGCTTGATAACGCGGCGACGGGGAACTAACAGAACAAGTAGCTTGTTGCCCGACCGGTGAAGGACAGGAGAGAGTGGCGAAAACGAACCGTGAAAGTTTGAAAAGAGGGCTAAAGTTTAACAAGTCCCAGGCAAAAACAAAAAGCTAATTGCGACTTGCCTGCGCTGTGTCCCCCAGTTTCATAGCTAGGAAGGCTTCAAGGCAAGCGCGAGTAGTACCGGCCTCGTAGGGGCACCAAACGAGCATGCGCCCAATTAAGGCAGGAACGAAGAACGACAACAACAAACACGCAGAAATCACAAAGGCAGGCACGGCCCTGCCATACAGGACAAGAACAGGGCAACTGGGAAGGTATCTCGACGAGGAAAGAGCCAAATCCCAAACTTCAATAAAAAAAAAGAGTATAACACAGAGAGAAATACATAAAAGAAAGAACAGAAACGCCGCCAAAAGAACTCACAAAGTCCATAGGGCAAAAAAGACTAAGAGACTAAGACGACAAGACCACTTCAGAGCCAAAACCGCGGCCGAAAAACGACAAACGTGTCGTATTTTACCTGCAGACTCCACACACCCTGCCCCGACACACACAAAATCTCTTGGAGCCTCCACCGGCCCTGGCCTCTAGAACAACTCTCTGTCTGTTTTGTCTTGTGCTTTCCTTTCCACATGTAGCTCCATGCACACCTGTCCGATCTTGGTTTACCCTGCATTGTCTTGGGCCATCCTGGCCTGGTCCATTGTTCCTCCGCTCCTTCCCTCTGGTCCTTGTTAACTAACCTTCGTCTCAAAACATCGTTCGCTCTTTCCTGGTTGGTCTGGTCATGGCCACCGGCGGTTCTTTTCGATGGATGCAACTGCACCTTCCGTAGTATGCTCACATTGTCTTCTTTGGCGGCGTTGTCCTTCGCACTTGCTTTATTTTACCTCCTCTTCAACCAAATCTCGTTGGTTGCTGCTTCCCTTTTACCTTCTTTTGTTGTACCCTTTGGGGTCTTGGAGCTGTTGCGAGCCTGGGCGGCACTTTCCTTCGTGTTTGTGCCTTTTTTCCTCTTTCCTTCCCCCACACATTCTTTGCACTTGCTCTTGTCCTCTCGCTCTTGCCAATTCTCTTGTCTTTGCGTTCATCTCCCCCCTCGCCCCCTTAAAGGGTCCCGTCTCTATTTCTATTTCTATTTCTCGGTCGCCCACCTCTTCTCTAGACTTCTTCTTCCACCATCCCTTTCATTTTTCGACCTTGGGACCGTCTCGAACATCAACGCCGGCCAAGGCCTGACCTCCCGCGTCTTTTTCTACTCGTTGTCGTTTTGCCATATCCAGCCCCAGTCCCGCAGAACTAAGCCTGCTGTACCCGACTTTTTCTGCTTGCTTTGTCGCATTACTTCTGTCTTACGTGCACCCTCTTATACTTTTATTCCCCTTGGCTTCCTCGACTTTCTTGAACGTCCCTCCCTTCCTGTCCGTCTTCCCCACGCCAAAACAGCCGCCCAACACCGGGCCAAACAGCACACGGAATCGCAGCGGACAGAACATATCCGCCCGCTCTTGGCTTTTCCAACCAACAGAGCGCCGTCGTCACCGTTTTTTGTCAACTTTTGAAGCCACTCGTTGCATTTTCTCCCTTTATTATCTGACGTGAGTGTGTATGTCCCCCGAATACCGTCAACAGGCCAGTCTTGGCTTTCTTTATTCTACCTTGCAATGCGCGTTATTCGAGTTACTTGAGGTTGTTATCTTTTCTTGCGTTTCGTTTTTCTTACTCATTTGTTGTTGTGATTATGCTTGCAGTGTCTCGAGTCATTTTCGGCCTTCCCAGGTTTCACGTTTTCCTTGCTGTGATACAAGAGCTTCGGGCCGGTCTCGAGCTGCGCGCATTCCGCGTGTGAGAGCAGTGTCATGGCGCCAGCGAACGCTCCGGCTCGCGAGCTGGACGGCGGTTCCGGCGCGGGCGCTGGCTCGGGTGGCAGCGGTGGTAGCAGCGGCAAAGGCGCCGGCGGCAAGGGCAGCACCACAGTTCCGGGCCGCATCGGCCGGCCGCCGCAATGGACAAGCACGCGCTCGCGGAAGCTGGTGCGGCTGTACATGTACTCAACACTCTCCGTCGACAAGATCCTCAAAGTCTTGGAAGACGACGTGTTTAAGCCAAGGTAAGCAAAAATCATATGCAACACGCAAAGGGTTGATCCTGCGGAGCCGAGTATAAGAAAACATGACGACGGAACTGCCAACAAGAACGACGAGATACGGCGCGAAGGAAAGTCGCATCAGATACTTGAACGAAATAGGTCCCCTGTCAAAAAACTCGAGCAAACCAAGGCTGGCAGAGCCTCAAAGACAAACTAAAACGGCGTTATTCACACTCTATTGCGCACTGCAGGAAAAATTCGGCCCAAAAGACGATTCACAACATGCTGGACCACGATCCGCGCTATTTGCGCCCAGAGTCGCGTGAGGACATGAACCAGCGCGTCAAGTTGCTGGCCGGGTCGACCCAGCGCAAGCGCCGGCCGTGGAAGAAGCACGGCGAGGCTCAGCAGCAGCAGCAGCAGCAGCAGCAGCAACATCAGCACCCGAACTCGCAATACCAGCAGCCGCCACTTCCACCTCCGATGGGCCACTCATCGGGCTACGATGACGCAATGCTCCATGGCATCAAGCCCGAGATAGGCCACGGTCCGGGCCTTGGCCACCTCTCACAGCACCCACAGCACCACCAGCAGCATCAGCATTCGCAGCACCCGTACCAAGCTCAGCATCAGCAGCCGCAGCACCACCACCAGCAGCCCCAGCACCAGATGCCTCCGCAGCCACATCACTTGTCGCAGCACTATCCGAGCCAGCCGTCGGCAACATATCTCCCGCCGCCCCAAAGCCTCCACCAGCACCATCCACAGCAACCGCAGCAACAGCCATATCATGATTTTTACCACCAGCAGTACCCACAGCAGCCAGCACCACCGCTGCCGCAGCCGCAGCCACAGCCGCATCAGCACTACCCCCTCTCCATGCAACAAATGACAGCACATCACGTACCCCCGTTTATGAGCGGTAGCTGGGGCCATGTGTACGATAACCAGAGTCAGGCCGCAGATCCCGCCTCCCGTCTCACCATGAGCAACTCGTTTGACCTGGCACAGCACCAAACAAGCATGGCACCGCTCCATGCACAGCAGCAACATGCGGGTCATGCACAACAGCACCTTCACCAACACCCACAACACGCGCAGCAGCACCAGCAATATCAGCACCCCCACGCAGCACACGGCCATCCCCATCAACCCTATCACCCGAACGAGCACAGCGGCATCGATGGACACGGTAACCTCGGCACACTAGGAGGTGGTATCACGAGCAGCCATTTGCCCCTGCTCAGTGACCACCAGCGGCAGCGGCGCATGAGCTCCGCGGCGTACTCAACAGACTCGGACGCGTCCTCGGACGTCAGCACGGAGACGATCCAAGATCTCAAAAACCGCCTATCCGGTTGTTCGACACATTACGCAAACCAAATCGCCAACTTGCTGCGCAGATTCACGATTAGCAACGGATCCGACGACCCGTCGTCTCCTTCGCCGTCCGTTGTTCTCTCGGGCCCTCGTAGCGGCAGCAACGACAACAGCACGGACTCGCACCGGATTCGGAAACCCTGGCGCCAGCGGACACAGAAAATTCGCAGCAACAGCGTCAGCAGCACTAGCAGCAACGGAAGTTTTGGCGTCTTCGACAGCGATGTGGACGTATATGGCGAGCCAGGCGACGATGACGACACTACACAGCGCGGCCAGAGCAGCCACGGTGGTAGCAACCCTTCCAGTGTGGCCGGTGCAAGCCCGGATGGGCACGTCGATGAGCATGTGCGCGGTAGTGCTATGCGGCGGGCAGGTGCCTCTGGAGCCGGTTTGAAAACCACGACAGCTACAACAGCTACGACAGCACACGCGACGACCATTCTGGGCGCCAGCGGTGACAACGCCGGAAGCCCGCGTCTTGTGCTCCCGGGAGACTTTTTCAACGCGTACCAGTACCGCGACGACGCTAACTGTCCCTTCCACAACAAGGAGCAGCTTCTGCGTGACGAGCAAGAAAGACGGCAACGGCAGGCCGAGGAGGACCAGAACGACCGGAGACGGGGCCGGAGCGGTGCGAAAGGAGCCAACGCCAAGGTTCCGCGCGAAAAGCGCTGCTGGTGTGCGATTGCAGACGCAGTCGGCTCTGTGGCACTCGAAGACGGCTCGTTCTGGGTCCTCAGCGACGGCCGGCTCACGCCCGACGCCGAAGCGATGGTTCGCGAGCCTACGCAGCAGCGCCACCAACTGGCGCGCCGCGATCGGTTCGGCCACTCTATGCTGCACTTGTTTGCATCGCGGGACGGTCTGCAGATGCAGCTGCTGGCCATGGTCCTGAACTGTGACGATGCAACGCTCCTGGCGGCCAACACAGCCGGACAGACGTTTTTGCACGTCTTGGCTCCCAGCTGGTTTGTGGGGCTTCATGAGCCGTACGCACCCCTGGTCCAGCTTCTCGCCCATTTGCGGAGCCGTACGCGCCAGCCGCCAGCCGGCGGCAATGTTGGGTCCGACGCGGCAGATGACGTGAACGGCCCGGGGTCAAGCAACGCCATGGCGCACCTGATCTACGCGACTGATGTCTACGGCCGCAGCTTCTTCCACCGCTTCGGCACCTTTGTCAGTGACCCGCACATAATAACGAACACGATCATCCAGCATTACGACCGCGCGGCGCTCTTGCGGCGCGACGGCTTTGCCCATGTACCGCTGGCTATAATGGGCGCCAGCGGCAGTGGCGGCGCCGACGACTACGGCGCATGGCCCTCGCCGACGGCCACACATGCACTGGTTGGCGGCAACGTCCCGACCGTGTTCTCTAGCGAAGATGCTTTTATCCGCCACCACGAGTCGTTGCTGCGTACTGTCACGGCATCGGACAACCAACCGAGTGTAGAGGACCCTGAAGGCCGCAATGGCCTGCACTGCATGGCCGAGGCGATTGTGGACAAGCGCATTATGGACGAACACCGCAGCGCACTGAGCGCGGGCCGGAAGGTGCCTAAAAAGAAGACACTCGATAAGAAGGATCCCAGCACTGCGACGAGCAGCAGCAGCAGCTTTATGAATGGCCTGCTCCTCAGCGGCGAAGGCGGAAGTGTCGGCGACGGTCTTGGTGGTGGCCCGACATATAGCAGCACCAGCCCCTACGTCAGCAACCCGGCTCTTGGTGGAGCGACGTCCACACAGAGCCTGCTGCATACGTCGGTGGACGGTGCACAGATGGCAACGCGCCTTCGCCTGGTGCAAGGCCTACTGTCGCCACCCATTGTCGTCGACGTGAACCACTACGACCGCCGCGGCCAGACCGTGCTGACTGCCTTTGTTGTGCACATTGCGGACGACCAAGAGGATAAGGCCAAGAGCCTTGTCGCCATCCTCGAGACGCTGCTGTCGGCAGGTGCTCGTATCGAAGGTCGCAACCGCCGCGGCGAAACCCCGCTTCTCGTCGCCGCGCGCCTGGGCCGCAAAATCGCGCTGACTACGCTTCTCGACCACGGTGCCAATGTGCATGCCCGCGATGCCGCCGGCCGCGGTGTACTCGACATTCTTGATATGCAGTGCCGCCGACAGGGACGCAACAATGTCGCCCTCTACGGTCGCCTCGAGGCGTGCCGCGTCCTGCTGACGAGCATCAAGCAGCTGCCGCTCGGCGTCAAGCAACGCCCTACGCTGATGGACGAGTGGACCATTGTACACCGGCGTGGACCGGAGCCGCGGGATATTTCCATGGCCATGTAGCAAATGAAAATACGGACACTCTTCAAGGCAGATATGCGACGCTATGGGCCCGGCAGCTGCCACAACCAACGCTGCTGGCCAAGGAGCACATGGACTCGTCCAACGAGCTTTTGCCATCCATAGTACATCTAGACAACAAAATTTCTGATCGGAGTCAAGTCAGACGCGGGAGGAGATATCTACAAATGTCCAACCTCACATATGAAAGACATAGCTCACTGCCAGTTCCACAGATGGTTTTTGATGTACAAATAAAAGACGCCATTAGTCATACAAAGCAATTATCAAAAATCAACAAAGTCTGCGGTGATGACTGAAATGCGGTGTAGAAATGTCTAAGTCGATGCGGTGGAGCGGGCCACGATGCTGCTGTCAATGGCGGTCGATAACACTGCCTAGCACGGCGTCTTTCCTGCGTGGTCTGACTGTCGGCCCAGTGCAACCCGACGACCAGCTAGGTCGATATTATTGTCTTTCTTTTTTCTTAATGTTTTGCTTCGCATTTAGTGCGCCCTTCTGGTTACCCGCCATCGCTAACAGAAACCAACAGCACTGGGTTGGCCCGTCTTGGCGCGGTGGGCACAACAAATGGGAAATAGAAAAACACAAAAAGTCGCCCGTCGCCGTTGGCGTCCAGCCCTACAGGGCCTGCTGGGTGCAAACCGATAAAGCCACTGGGATTCCGCATTTATTGCGCGTGCACACATCATGCGCGACGTCGTCAGTCGTGCGCAAAACGACTATATTTGCCTGGTCGAGGAGCCGGTCGAGGACGTTTTGCGTGAGAGGATGAGAAGCGCTCGTATTTTCTCGTATTTTCTCGTATAGGCATTTGTTAGTGATAAAATTACCCAGGGTTCGTGGGCAGCAGCCTCTGAGCAGTCTCAACAACACAAAATAGCAGCCACAGAATGACTTTGACATGCAGCAGAAACGCAAGAGCACAAACGATGCAGTAAAAATCCTGTGCCGAGTGAATTTTTCCACTTCCACCCTGTGCGTCTTTTTTTCCCACCCGTAGTTCAGGACAGTGGAGGGCGGCGAGGGCGCGCTGTTTTACTAGGCACAAAACGTGGTCAGGGCCCTTGTCCAACTGCGATTTCAAACGTCGTAATTCGTAGAAGAGCCAGACCAGTCCATCAGATCCTGTATTTCTCGGCAAAAATCTCCAAAAAGACGGAAAATCTTCGGCGCATGTCTCACACCATTTCGAAGTCCGACCCCTCTCTCTCTCTCCAAGCCATTTGTCCTTTTTCCTCTTCTTTGTCTGGTGCTTTCTGCAAGTGAGATGTCTGCAGGTCTAGGAACTAGACCAAATGGAGGACCTTCTCCCATGCACCCAATTCGATGAAGAGGGAACCAACAGTTGGTTCCGAGGCCTTGGCCAGTCGTTCCGTAGCTTCCGTCCTGCAGCTGTCATTGGCTGCTCAACCAAACAATGTGAACAACAAAAAAGGTGCGCTCTGCAGAATCTGATGCCCAGAAGGGTCTACTTTGGCAGGCGAGTATCTCACTCGCAGGCGAAATCAAACAGTCCCGTCATAATCTTCTTACGTCATATTTTGTACGTTGCCCTTGATTCACTGCTTCCTCCGCTCCCAGAATTGTTCCCATACGCAGTAATTACGAAAGAACGAGGGCATTGTCGAGAAATGGGGCCAGCTTTTGCTGTCAGATTCTTAAAAAGGGGGAAACGACAGGGGTCGGCTCAATCTGCCTCGGCGGTCAACTCAGGGGCTTCGGTTCCTTTGCGATTTTCGTCCTGTCACGCGCTCTGCCAAGAAAAGGGCCACCACCCCTGCCTCCTTATCCTTATCACTTCTCTTTAGCTGTTGAAGCCAAAGAACTTTCTGGGGGTTAATAGACGCGAACCGGTGAAGCGTTTATTATGAGAGCCAAAGAAACGAGGGGTTCGTTTGTAATAAAAGAAAAAGAAAAAAAGAAGTAGGGCGATTTAGCGGACGCAACAGGATACTACGTTTTACCCTTCCAGAGAATACAGGCACACAGCAGTGCCCATTCCAAATGTACTTTTAAATTCTCTTGCCTGATTTACCCTGTTTTTTTCGCTTTCTTTCCGCTCCAACGTAAAGGCAGGATCATATGAGCGACAAGAGCCAATCTCAATGCACACAATACGAGGAAACAGATCTAAAAGAGACGCAATAGTAAATTATCTGGAATGTGAGATGGTGGATAAGGTCAGTGGCCTCCGGCATGGCACATCCATTCCATTTCCCCCCTCTATTGGCACTCATCGGGATTATCTTTTTCGTAATCTGTACAGGTTTGACCTTTCATACATCTCTCACATTGCTTTGCCACAATGACACGACGGCTCCTGCAGAGGAATTTCCGCCGTCACCGACGAGCGAAGTAGACTTCTGACAGCGGCGCGCTTACAGACTTGCCGTCGGGCGACTAAACCATCAATTGCTTCCCATCTCCCGGGTCGACAACCACAATATGGGTACCAAAGCGGTCTTTTTACGGCTGTTGAAAACATACCAAGATCCCTGGAAAATGCTACGCCAAGACTTTCGTAGGATGGTGGGCAACGAAGGGCTACGGAGTGGAAGTACTGAGAGAATAAGCTGCCATTTTTGGGCCATCATGATGCCATGTGGCTGCGTTACAAAAATGAGTGTGGGTCACAGAGGAGCTTGCGATTGCAGTAGATTCAACACGAGATGGCTTCAGCAGGAAAGGATTCGACATTCAAAGGATGAAAATGGTGTGTAAGTGGGCCAGTTGTATTGATTTCTTAAACAAAAATGATTTGTTTGAAGGCTTCATAAGTATGCTGTACGGATAAACAGACGCGACAACCCAATCGTACAATGCAAAATCCACCTCGAAAGAAGCAATATTTCTGGACGGTACACAGCGAAACAAAGAACCAGACATGCAATAGATCAGAAAGGACCGGAAAAGGTAAAATATAAAAATAATGGACGAGCAAGGACTCATACAATCATCAACACTGAGCATTGGCATCGATGTCCCTAGGGGTTGTATGGCGTCGGTCAAGGCCGGCGAGGCAGGCTCTAAGCTTAGCGTACATTTGGTCAGCTGCTTCGTCAGGCGTGCGAGCTGGACAAAAGCCGATAGATGCAGGCTCGGCCTCCAAGAACCGACGAAGACAATAACCATGGTCCAGGGGCACTGGCACCGACGGGAAGAAGCTGCCGAGCTTCTCTGGAGTGCAGTCTAGTGGGAGATGCTGGGCATTTGAAAACAGCCCTGGGAGATTCACGGGTGCCGAGAAGGAATGGAGTCGCGTGAGCTTGGGGGTTGCAGGAATTGTAGGGATGAGCCCTTGTACGTCAGGGGGGATTTGGAGTGCATTGGCCTCTGGAATTGTCGCGATTGTAGGGAGAGCAGTGGGGGCCGGATGAAGTGCGCTTTTAGAAGACAGGAAGTGTAAGTAGGAGGTTGCACGCCAATTCTTCGTCTGGCTAGTTGAAAGATACCAATGAGGGTGACGGGAGACTGGACAACAGGGCACAACATATGTTTGCCGGCCAAGAAAATATCGACATTCATCTTGTGTAACAACATAGAGGAGACTGTCATACTTAATTAGTGAGATGCCCTGAGGCTGTTGTGTTATAGCCATCTCTATTGTAGCCGGGAAGAAGCAACACAAACGGTCGTATCTAGAAGAAAAGCCACGCGATGAATATGATAATGTGGTATCTTCAGTGACTTGAGATGACGTGAGGAGACGTATGGCAACGTGTTGGTCTTGACTTGTGAGTGGCTAGTGACCGATGCAAGGTCGTAGGCTCGGTAGACTTGTAATGTTTTGCGACTGGTCGTTAGGAGACGAAGTGCAAATAGTAAAATCCCTGCAACAATGTGACTGTGCGATATTGAGAATATGAAACGGACGATTATGATGAAAGGCGAGATGAAGCGAAAGAAAGCGAGGAGTTTTGCTAATAAAAAATACGTTCTCGGGAAGCTATGCACTTTATGTCCTAGGATTGGCTCCTTTTTATAATGAATGGGAGATACGATCATATCATAGAAAAGGGGGGCCATAATGGGTCAGCTCATTCTGGTCTGCCTTTTGCTTTATTCTTGTCCACTTGGTTGCCTATTGGTAGAGTTGAAAGATGTGACAGACATGGAGTTCACGAGTTCACACTGACCATGAGTATTGGATAGTTCCTTTTCTGTCATGGCCTACTTGACATGAGGCACGATCCATTAAGCAATGAGAACCTCCGTAATCGGCGATTTTTGTGATGAAAATATGTCAGGGTGAACACAAACAACCCCAAATCAAGGAACTAGCACCTTTTGACGAGGAATCTCGGGATCTCCTGGGATGAGTAGAAGTGAAACTCGGAAAGAAGACACTGCCTGATTCCGTATCCTTATCGGAGCATACGCCCCTGAAGTAAACATGGACCAATTGGATGTCCTGAATATAACGTAGAGGGACATAAACAGATGCAGAAACCGGTTTTGAAAGTTTACAGGGCGTCGGCTGACCGGCAAGAGTGAGAAACCGATACCAAGCAATAATAGTCTGGCTACATTTCCAATCTGCCGGGCCAATGTCGTGATGAGGCTCATTTTGACTATCAGATTAGGTGCGGCTTTGCGGGGAGATATTCGTTACGAGAACATATCCCCCCACGCAGGGCCAGTCACAATTTACGTGTCCCGGACCATAAATGACGTATAAAATAGGCTCAGATGCTCATAGGATGTGCAGCCTAGAGGTAGACTGAGGAAGGGAAACAAGAAACAGCCTAGTTTGACCGAGGGGCGAAAGCACATGGCCTGGCAGGATATGCACTGGGAGAATGCTTCCTGGGCCGGTGCGAGGGTCTCTGTTGCCCTGCTTTTTTCACACGTCGCGTGAATCAAGACCAAAAAATCGGTCTTATTATTCGATGTAGTGAAGCAGGCGTATTATTGGCCCTTTGAGTTGGTTTTGCTGCGTTTTTCTGATTATCGTCCATCGTTGGTCGTTGGTTGCAAGGAGTTGATCAACATATGACGTCACAGGGACTCCCCGGGCAGCCTTACGCGGGCCGTTTTCCGAGCGGCGCCCGCCATATTGGCGCCCGCCCAATTTGCTTCCAGGGTCTTTTCAGGGTCCCCTGAATACGAAGCCAATCGTACGCCGGCCGCAGTTGTTGACTGTCTTTGTTTGATTCGAATCAACGTTCTCGGATTTGTGGTCCTCGTTCCAGCAAGTTTCTGGTCTCTTTATCGTATCCCATTTTCAAAAGGACTATTTATTTCTCCTTTTACGTCCGATTTGTACGATAGTCGGTGTGCAAAGTAGAACTTGGGAATCTTCGAGTCCGTTTCATAGTCTTAAAACGTAATGGCCATCGTAGGTCTCGCCATGTTTGAATCATTCAACCTCAACTTTTGTATTTGCCGACGTCATTTTCTCAATTCCCATTTCTCATTTTCTTGTTTTTGTTCCATTCCCGCCTTCAAGCGTATCTCTCCGCCATCGGAGAAAGATCAAGTCACCTGCCAGTTGACCACATTCGCCACAGCCGATTTCATGGGCACACTCAACCCCGTGGGGGCACGTCGTTGTCTTGATTTCAGGGCTCGGATAAAGGACGTTATTGCCGTCGTTGCATCATTCAATGTTCTCCATCCTCCTACTCCTCCTCATGAGACACATAACCCAGCAGCTTCGTGCTTGTAAAGCGTCCGCCAAAGACGGGCTGCAGGTGATCAAACAGTGCCAACGTGTCTTCCTCGCGCACACCGGTGATGGTGTCGGGATCATAGGGCAGCATGCGGGACAGCACATCTTTGGCTTCAAAGGCCAGCTTCCGAGCCGCGTCCCGAAGCTTGGCCGTCTGTTCGTTCTCGCCATCGGCTTGGATGCGCTCGGTCATGATCAGCGACAGATGGTACTTGGTGCGCGCCACGGCGGCGTCGGGCCAAAAGTTCTTGCCGCCACGGCTGGCCGCCTTGCTCAGTGCTGACTGCATCAGAATCTCGGCATCCTCGAGGCGGCCAAGGTAGTGGCACAGGGCGGCGACCGCGTATTGACTTTGGAGCGTAAAGTAGCTGGCGCGACCCTGGAAGCCGAGACGCGCCTTGAGAATGTCCTGGTGCATGTCGAGCGCCTGCTGCAGATTACCTGACTGCAGCATGATGCAGGCGAGATCGAAACGGTACCGCAGCGCCATGGCCATGTCGCTGACACTCTCGATAATGCGCACAGCTTTATGACTCAGCGCCAGCGCCTCGTCAAACTGCCGCCGGTACATCTTGCAATAGGCCAGGTGGTGGTGCAGCTTGGCAATGGCAAAGGCGGTCCCACCGTCTTCGGCCTTGCCAATTTCTGTGTAGATGGTCAAGCACTCTTCGTAGATGGGCTCGGCCTTCCGGAAGTCGTTGAACTGAAGCAGCGTGTTGGCATAGTCGGCTCGCGCGTTGTTCAGCACGAGTTTGTCCTCATTGGTGACGCTCTCCGGTAGTCGTTGTGTGAGCATACTCTGACGGTATTCGAGAATTTTGGCGGACCGTTCCTTGATCTCTTTCCGGTGGCTGATGCCAAAGTACTGGAGGAGCAGGTTGATGGTGATGTTAATCTCGGAGCGAAGGTTTTCGTTGCTTTGTGGAAGCTGGTCTAAGACCCGCTCGGCCGAGCGAAGCAGTCTCAGTGCGTCCCCATGGATGTACCGCTGCCATAGCAGGACACCGCCATCTTTGAACAGCTCCGCCAGTCCTAGGAACGGCTTCACATTGACAATTGACAGCGGATCGGTATAGGCCCTCTGCAAGCTAAGCACATGCGGAAGGTACTCCTTGAACGCGTTCCATTTGGCCTGCTCCGGCGTGTCAAGCGACGGCCGAGGCAGACGGTTCCGGATCAGCCCGTAGGCAATGCCGAAAATAATGTCTCGCTCGTCTCGATTTGCATTCATGTCCTGCAACAGCTTCGACTGTAGCAGACGGTGAACGGTGTAGATCTCGCGGCCGCCCTGTTCTCTCTCCGAGACAATGCTCTGACTTTTAAGCTTGCTGATGATAACACGAAGACTGTGGAATAAGGTTGTTAAAGACGGCTTTCTTGCACAACATATGGGAGGCTACGTCATGTACGTACCGGCTCTTTTTGAGGTAGGTCGGTCCCGGCTGGTCTGGGTTGTTCCACTCTAATACCTCGCGCTGGATGCCGTTGCTGTCAAGGAAGGCCATAATCTTGAGCAGTTTCATTTCGTCAGAACTCAGATCCCGGAGCGCAACGTAGAGTACACTCTCTCGGCCAGCGGTGCTCGGCTCCTGTCGCTCTCCTTGAGTGGTGTTGGCGCTCATCCACGCGTTCGGCCGCCACTCGTTCCAATACTCCCAAAACTCCGAGAGTGTACACCCAGACTTCTTGATGTACCCTGAGACGTAGACAATCAGAAGCGGCAGCCCAATTAGCCCTGCAATCTCACCCGCCACTTTATACTCAGGATCGCGCAGTGACATCTCTTCGGGGCGCAGCTCTTCTGGGAGCCCAAAGATGAGAAGTTTCCGACCTTCCTCGACGTTCAGCTCCTCAAGCATGACGCGGTAGTAGTTAACAGGCCGCGATGGCGCCGTTAGGCTCTCGTGCCGTGTCGTGATTAGGACGGACCCTTGCGTGGCTGATGTCTTGTTGGGCATGTATGCGTCAATGTCTTCCCAGCGGTCCACGTTGTCGAGAACCATGAGCCACCGCCTGTCCTTGATTTGCTCGATAAACTCGCGGCCAAGCCGGACCAGCGTATCTTGATCAGTGCCGTCTGGGGCCAGCTGCAGTTGCTGGGCGATTTGCGAGAAGGTGTCGCTCGATCCGACGGGCGTCTCCGCCTGCACCCAAAAGATGTAGTGATAGCTCTGCTCAAAGCGCCAGCTGTACTCGACGGCGAGAGCTGTCTTTCCCATGCCGCCTTCGCCGCTCACGACGCATACTCTGCCAGGCTCGGACAATATCTTGTACAGATTGGCCAGCTCCTTATCACGGCCCATGAAATCTGAATTGCGTGGCGACGAAAAAGTGCGCAGCAAAGGCATCTTTTCTGTGGACGATGCCAAAGACGGTGGCTTCGCAGCCAACTGCAAGGCCTGCCGTGTCTTTTGACTAGTGGTCGTCGATGTCGTCATCCGCCTCGCCGGTGTATCGCGCTCAAAGGTTTCACCGGTGCGGCCGACCGAAGTCTGTTGCGCTGCTCCAGAGGTGTTTCCCGTTTGGAACATGCGATCGATAAGCATCTGCCGTGTGTCTCCGTGACCGCCACCGATGCGCGAGTCTGAGTCTTTGGAGCCGTCGTAGTCCGACATGTCGTCCAACAGGTCCAGCCGGCTGCTACTATCCATGAACAGATCAGGCGGCTGCTTTCCTCGCTCCAGATTCAGCTTGAACTGCTCGGTGACAAAGGTGTTGAGAACAAACTCCTTTCGGCCGCGCTCAGACATGGCATCGTCGCTTTGTGAAAAGATGTCGTCAGAATCGTCCTCCTCCGAAGCGTCTTCGTTGGCAACGGCAAGGAGCGCAAAGTACTCGAGGTGCCGTCCGATGTGGTCCTTGCAGGCAGAAGCCTCTACTTTGTCGCCGCACAGAGGACATATCTGCGTGCCCACATGTTGACCTGAGAGCGTCTGTCGCAGCATGGCCTTCATCATGACCACCTCTTTGTCGTCTTTGAGCTCCCGGCAGTGTGTCTGCACAAGATGTTCGGACGCCTCGCTCTTGGTGTCAAACTCTTTCATACAAGCAGGGCACGGCCACGTCTTTTTGATGCGGTGCGATTCCAGCTCGTGGCGGTACCACTCGTCACGCTGTGCGTAGGTCTCTTGGGCACTAAAGCACTTGTCGAAAGTGCATAAATATGGTTCCAGATCTTTGAGGAGGTGCTCGTTCCAGTCTTCCTCGGTCTTGATCTTGCCACCGGCTTCCAGATCGTAGCCGCAAAAGTTGCAGGTGAACATTTGCGTCTTTCCTTTGGGTAACTCGGTAAGCTGCAATGGCGGTCTCGGAAACAGTGCTGCTTTAGCAGGTGGTTGCCCCAACATGCCGCTGCCCGCCATCTGGATTTTTTTGGAGTTGAAAGTCGCCATGGTCGCCATGGTCGTCGCAGATTCGGCTCTAGTCAGCTTTGGTAGTATGGTGTGGTCCACATCGAATATGGATGCCGTTTCAGAGGGTGCCGCACTGCTCGCGGCAATCGACATGAGAGGTAAGAACATGGGCACTTTTGGTACTGTCTGTCGTCTCTCCGGCTTCAACGTCGGCTTCTGGAAGTTGAAAGCATCCTGTGCTACATCGTGATGGTGGGGCTTTTTGCTTCCTTTTTTGGTGATGTGGACCTTGCCATCGTGTTGGATCTGCTCTTGAACAACCGCCTGAGAGACCCGCCGTTTCCAGTTGGCACGGCCAAGGCGAGTTTTGAGAATATTTGATGCTGTGGGAAACTCAAGCTTTGCGCGCTCAATGTCTAGTTGGTCGCTCACGTCGCTAGTGTTGCTGATACTTGATGAGTATGTGTCGATGTCCTGCGGGTACGGGCGGTTGAGGCTAGGGCCGAGCATGGTCAAATTCTCAACACGCTCGCCAATGAAGTCGAAAACATCAGAGAGCGTCTCGAGTAGATCAGCGGTCTGCGCGTCGTCCAGCGATGCACCGTCGACTGTGCCCGGAATCAGCTCATCTCGGCTGGCAGTTCCATCTTCATTGTCTGGAATAACTGTGACGGGTGGTAGAGAGCGGTCAGCTTGGTCATCTGTGGCACGACTGGACCATTGTTGAAGTTTCTCATCTTCGAGCAGTTGCAGAGCTGTGCCGTAGTCAGTCGCCGGTAGTTGACTAATAGAGTAGTAGTTTTCAAGGGTACAGGCATACCTTCATCGAGCGATACCTGCAGCTCTTGGAGCGCCTCGACCACCGTGTCGTGGAGATCTTTTGACTTGCGCAGCTTGTAATCCAGAGTGTGGTCCTCGGCCCCTGTCTCATGGCCCCAGATTGTGAGGCGTGCAAATGCATCATCGAGAGCTTGGTGCTGTGTTTCTGTTTTGGGAAAAAGTTGTGCAAAGGGAATGATATTTGAGCACAGCTTGTTAAATGTTTGCGAAGCGTTCTCGTAGCGAGCAGCAACGACTGCCTTCATGACACCCGGTCTCCTCTTGCCGAGCACATCGTACATGTGTGTTTGCTTGTCCATGACACGTTGGTCTAAGAAGATAAAGGAAACTTCAATGAGGCAAATGTGCTTTCGTCAGAAAGTCCTATGCCGGTGACGTCCTCTGTGGCTATCGATGTACCGGGCGACGACGCGCAAGTCAGAGATACTGTTTAACCTCAGGACCCACGATGTTGATATGATACGCAAGAGGCAGGGTAGATTAAGTGGACCCTGTCTTGCTTGTTAGATCTGTTGTATGCACCACGCTAGCCGTGGCACATCAAGAGCTTTCGCTGCTTTCGAATCGGTCGAGAAATGCTTCGCCGTTTTGATTTCAAATGGTAGTGCGTACTTCAATCAGCTGTCTCTTTATCTTTGCCCTCTCTCGACGTTGCCCGAAGACAACCGTCATGTTCTCTAATCGACTTCGCAGTGCGGCTCTGTGTTGGCTCTCGGATGAGCCGATAGTGGCAGAGTCGGGGTAATAATCGCTGCTCGGTCGAAACAAGCGGGCACACAATTTGGCAACGAGGATGTATTGGTATGCCTTGGACGACAGAATGACTTAGGGAGACCTATTGCGAATTCAGCCTCATCGCACGCATGCCAGCGTGACCACCTGTAGCTTGGCGTGGGGATGCATTCAGGCCACGGCGGGCCAGCCAACCGATTCGCTTCTTTGTTCGGACGGTGGTGGGAGCGGGCGCTGTTCCGATCTGTAAGTGTTGCTAGCTGCATGTTAGTGGAAGCGAATGCACCACAACTAGACGGCCATTTGCGGTCTAAGTTTTGCACTGCCCTCTTTGCTGGCCATACGAGCGGGGCATGCATATTGTCCGAAAGTTGTCGTCATATGGATTTCTCTCCAGAACACAGCAATGCGTCCTGGGGTATTCCACTTGCCAATATCCGCCGACAGGTTGACAGGTAAAAAATAGACCATACATCCACCCTCTTGGAGAGAAACTGGGAACGACATCGGGAACCTTGACCGAGGGTCCTAGTGGCAGGCAGCAAAGTCACTTGGGCAGTCCTAACCCATGACCTTATCTGGACCGAGTGTTTGGCAACACGTCAGATCATTGCTCCTTGCCAACCACAATCTTATGAGACTTGCGAGCACGCCGATATAGGACACACCGTGTTCTTTGTCCATCCTGACTGAAGTGTCGGGGAAAGAAGCACCTTCTCTTCCAAGCTTCGGTGCCTTCTAGCGTTGTTCGTTCTGACATGGCGCCGGACGGCACAGCAGATCGCTCTTCACTTGCTCGCGGTTTGCTTGCTTCTCGTTGGTCAGCCTGGCCTGGCGATTTGATGTGTCGTTTTGTTTTCACAATGTTTGGTGTCATATTGGGCTGTAATTATAAGCATTCGGTTGGTGTGAAAGAAAGTAAGGCTTGGCCAAAACCCAGGTGCGGCCACCACACCAACTTTCAGGTGCCAACCAAATAGCGTCCCAGCGTCCATAACCTCCCCCCTTTCATGGTTTGGCTTGGAAATGGTTTGGCTTGGAAACGGTTCATAACGTTGACCTCACGTCTGCGTCTCTTGTCTCGGCTTCCTCTAGGAACATTCAAACTCCTTGAGCCGCCTGTTTGCCTATTCATTTTCAATTTCATATTTTGGACTGCCGTTGCCAACATCAACCGAGATTCAGCACAACATATCCAGAATTCAGTAAACACCAAATCACACTGCCCCTGATGTCGGGCATGGAGGTGATCGGCCTAGCTCTCGCCCTATGGCCCGTGGTCGGGTGTCTCAACGAGCTTTACTCGTCGGTCAAAGATGGGTCTGCCAGCCGGTGGGCCATGACCATCAAAGTTCAGGAGCGCATCTTTAAGGAGTGTGTGCTCAAACTGTTGCAGGGCGACGAGGATCTGTCAGAAAAGGACCGCATTGGCCTGATCACCGGCGACAAGAGCTTTACGAGCCTGTGGCAGGACGCCGAGTTCAGTGCGCGGCTTGAGAGCCGTCTGGACAAGGAGCTGTGCATGCTCATCAAGCACGAGGTCTTGGAAATCTCCAAGCTGGTCTCGAATTTGCAGCGGTACCTTGGCGGGATCAAGACAGAGCCGGTGGCCAAGCGGGTACTGCCGTCATTCCGGGACGTGAAGAGGGTCCTGCGCAAGGACGAGATCAAGAAGAATCTGGACTACCTGGCGTTCCATAACTCGGCGCTGCGCAAGCTGCTCAAGACCTGCTCGAGCACGGCGTACGCGGATGCCAAACCGGCGGCGAACACGGTGCAGCGGCAGAGCACATTGCAGGAAGAGCGGCAAAAACGGATCGACGCACAGTTCTTCAACGGCTTCCACGAAGTGCTCGGCAAGAGCTTCCGGTGCAACTGTCCAGCGGGCCACGAGGCGAACCTGTCGGTGACGGACACGATGGTCATGTTCCAGTCGTCCGACCTGTCGCGTGTCATGTCGAATCTGCGACTTCGCGGGCGATCGGCCACAATGGAGAGCGATATGACAGCGTATGACGACGCAGATGACGACGAGGACATGATGAGGTGAGTGTCGATGACATGCCCTGTTTTGTGACCGATTGTTGTCGTTGTCCGCCACTAACAAACAGTGAATGGATCCGGTCGACGTGGTCCCGCGCGCGGCAGGGCAGCCTGTCGACGCGGCCAGGCGACAACCCGGCACTGCTTGTCAAGTACAGCGAGAGCCGCGGGGTGCAAAACTTTACGCCCATCCCGGACCTCTGTCAGTGGATCCACGCGGTGCGCATGTCGCCGCCCAACTCGCCCAAGATGAGGACGGAAGAGTTGCAGGGCGTGCTCGGTGCCCATGATGGTAAGCGGTACACAGTGCGTGCACCGCGGCAGCACACGGCGCTCACCATTGTGTCGATGGAGGAGTGGCTCGCGACGTGCGGCACGGAGAGCAAGCGGCGGCGCGTGCGGGCAGAGCTGGCGATGAACCTGGCGGCCACGATCCTGCAGTTCTACCCGACGGCGTGGATCGAGAAGACGTGGACGTGGCAAAACTTTTCGGTGGCGCGGCATGAGTCGTCCCACAACCTGATGATCACGCAGCGGTTCTGGTCGCTGGACATGCCGCGGCGGCAGAGCCTCAAGAAGACGCCAGCCGCTGCGCCGTCCAAGTTCTGGAGCACCTTCCAAGACCTGGACCCGATGCTCGTGCGGCTGGGGTTTGGGCTGATCGAGCTGGCGCTGGGCAAGCGGCTGGCAGACATCCGAATGGACAAGGACACATCGGCCGAGGGTGGCGGAAGCGGTGGAGACAGCGGTAGCAGCGACGCAGATCTGGCCGACTACTACACGGCGGTGGATGTTCTCAACAGCAACGAGATCGAGGACGAGATCGGCGTGACGTACCAGCGCGTGGTCGAGGCGTGCCTGCGATGCCGCGTGATCAGCGACGTGGGCATCAAGCTGCTCAAGTCGAATTCGAGCAAATTCGAATCGGACTTGGAGCGGTTTGTGGTCGAGCCACTGCGACGGCACCACTCGTCGATCTGGGGCACAGCACAGGTGACGACGTATTAGTGGCAGTAGTGGCTGGCAGCGCCAGGATGGGACTCACGATGTATGATGGCGTTATTGGGTTGTGGCTGTAAGGCGTTTCACGTTTATGTAAATCTGAGCAAGCAATGTTTTTTGTTTTGCTCTTTTGAGGCTTCGTCCAATTTGGTCACGCGATTATGATTTTACTTCCAGATTAGGCAATGACGATGTAGAATATCTAACTTGGAAGGAGCGTGGTGGGAAGGAAGTGGCGTGTCTATTTGGGAAAGAGCATCTGACAATGTCTGCATAAGATGGTTTCTTTCTTTCTTTTATTTTTCGAAGCTATTATAAGTATGATGTTATTGTAAGTATCATTTTTTTTTAAAAAAAAATTGTACTGTTCGTAGGAGAAGGGTACAATTTATTTTCAATACCATATGTATTATTTACAGTTTTATGGTGACTGAAAACTATTTTACTTGAAAATATTATCTCGTACCCCATTTTTTATTGTGAAAAAGACAAGCACGGTTTTCTCCAAAAAAAAAAAAAAAAAAAAAAAAAAAGAAAAACATACAAACGTAGAGATTGAAAATCATGTCGTATTCCACAGCGTCTCATCGAGCAGATCTGTAACCGCTAACCATCTATAGAATGATCGCCAACATTGGCTGTATCACGCAACAGTCAACCTCGTCGCTAAATGCTTGCAGCTTCATACATAGACTGATGGTATCTACGTCGTCCAGCTTGCTCCCTTGAACCCGATGGCTGGCTCCTGCTCGCGCCCGGCAGCGGTGGCCGGCCATTCTGGTACATCAGGTTGACAAAATGCCCCATGACGTTTCTGGCTTGATTAAGCACCAGAACATCTAGGATAGTCATTCCCGTGTAAAATGACCATCATTTGTCGTAATTTTGAATTCAAGAACGTAGATGAGGATAGCTTTCATGAGGAAAATTTGAACCAACCGCGGCCATTCCGCAGAGGTAGAACGGACTCAAACTGATCGACAGGACCGGCGCTTTACTTGTATTGTCCTCTCTCCCGATCCATGTCCGCTATCATCGTACAAGCCCCATGGGATGGCTTGATATTCAACGGCGTAGTCACCACTAGCCTCTGTTGACGTACACGTGCCCGATTTGCAACAATTGCTATGCTTTTTAGAGCCTCTGACAGGTGGCTCTCATCTGTCCTTGTCCGGTCTTGGCACGCAGCCGTGACACAATGTTGGGAAAGACGTCTCACCGTCGCATCGAAGCCTTGACGGCTCTGCGGTATTCTACCAAAGCAGGATAACGACTCGCCAAAGCTTCTTCCTCGGGCGTCAGAATGGAGTCGTCCGCATTGGATGGCGGAGGGCCAAAGTAGGCTTCTTCTTCATCGTAGTATTCAAACGCCTCTTTCTTTTTCCGCTCCACAAATTCTCGTCTCTCGTCGGTATCAAACTCCTCAAGCCACCCGTCAACGGTTTCTTCGTACTGTGCATACTCCTCGTCGCCACGCGGAAAGCGCAAGCAGCCAGCTTCCGAGTAGCTGAGGTGGGACCAAAAAGTATCGTAGACATATTCGGCGTGGGACAGGCCGCGCAGTACGAGAGCGTCGCAGCGCTTCTCCTGTTGGGACCAATCCAGCTGCGTATCCATCTTGTCCAATATGGCATTCAACTTGCGCATCTCTTGCATGTGGTCCGGATAGGTGAGGCAGAGAAAGCGAAAGTCGTGGTTGATGATCCAAAGCGGAGGAACCAAGAACTGCACGGGGACCACCGAGCTCCATTCCCAATCGAGCACAGCTACGAGGTTCATATCGTCGTCCCAGAGCAGGTTCTGGATGGCAAGGTCACCGTGCATCAAGACGAATGGGCCGGTTTCCAATGCTGGATCCATCCACTTGCTTGTGAGATATTGCCGGTATGCCGCGAATGCGTAGAGGAGCAAATTCCGCCGCCCGTCCACTGCGTTTCTGCCCTTCTCCAGCAAGTTGTCGCCAAGCCAGAGCAGCGTATCGAGGTACTGACTGGCGCCAGCGAACGTCGTGCCAGGAGGCAGCCTCGCCGTCGGTGCGAGGCCTTCGCATTCTTGCAGGAGAACCTCGATATTGATAGGTCGGTGCCGCACTTGGATGGACGAGTCTCCCGGGTCGAATCCCAGAGCCCCGATTCTCGGAAATTCGAGCTTGCGCAGCTCTGTATAAATATGCGCCAGGCCACGATAAAGAGCCTCCCGTCGTTTTCCTGTCCGCCCGGGCGTCGCAACCCAATGTTGGTCGTCCGCCGCGAAGCCAAGTTGTCGAATATTTTTGCCCTCCACGTAGTCCATTATGATAAAGGCCATATGTATAGGACTGTCTTTGGTGAAAGCGTATGCATGAACTTTCGGAATGGGAATGGTCGTATGTGAAGCAACATATCTAAGCAGCAGGCGGTCAGCAGGAAAAAAAGCGTAGCCGATCAGCATCCCAGAGAAGCGCTTACTTCATGGTAGCGACCTCGACTTCAATCTTCTCGTCGATCCACGGAACGTTGCCTGGAATCGGGAACCGCACGACCCATTTGTCTTGGGCAAAGGCGACAAAAAAACAGACGTTAAAGCTCCCATTGGCAGGGGCGCGGAAGACTTGGCAGGGTTCATCGTTGTGGTATGACGAGGCTAGACTAAGCACCGCTTGCGTATCGATCGAGTCGATAAACACTTTCTGCGCCTTTTCAGACTTGTCTTTGAGGATCCGGTCTCGCATATTGGCTGTCGAAGAGATGGCGTGTTGTGCTGTTGTCACGATGAAGGTTGTCGTCACGAATAAGACTGGGGAGAGAGGGGCGAGATGCTAACCAATCTGGCTAACCAATCCGAGGCCCAAATGATTTACATGTGTACATGCCTGAGGCACTAATTTCTCAGGAATTAATGCCTCAAGGCGAAATCAGAGCAACGCGGCCTATTGCTTATGCTTTGATGCAGCCCAGAGGATCGATTTTTTTTGTTTGGTTTTCCATCCCGAGTCCGTTGTTTCTGGCATCTTTTTACACCTAAAAAAAAGAACAAAAATTTCTCCACCGCCTTTGCTTCTTATTAAACGTTAGTGCCATCTGAACTAGACCAACAAGACTGGCATATTAGCGTGCAACTAACTCAAGGCTTTAAACGCTCAGATGCGGCGTACAGGACACAGCCATAGACACGGAGGCGGTGGAGCAAGCGGGAATAGCTCTCACCGCAACGACCCGCGGCCGCCTAGTCCTGCACAAGTATTGCAGGATGCCCAAACCATGCTGCGAAAACTCCAGAGACAATCGGAAGAGCTACGAGCGCAGTACAATCATTATGGACTGGAGACCAACAGACTCCGGATTCTCATCGACCCTCTAATCGCGGAACGCGAGATGCTGTCAACTTCTGCAGCGTTTGCGCAAGCCGCTCGCCAAGGTTGGGTCGTGACGCCAATTGAGATCCGGTCCAGAAAAAAGCAAATCAACCGACATATCAAGGACTTGAAGAACTCAGCCTCTTATTATGGAAGAGCATCAGAAGCCATGGGCCGCCTAGTAGGCAGCTTCGGCGAAGAAATCATGAGACTGGAACAAGAGATAGATCATTTGAGGGCTGGTCGTGAACTCGACCCCTAATATACAGCGGGTTCACCTTGGACTAAAGAACTATGGCTTGTGGTGGAGAATGTTTGGGGGATGCCCCGCTTCTAAGAACGACTTGACGATGCACCCCGCTACCCCCGCACACAAACTACAGTGGATAAGATAACGACAAGAAAATGATTAACTAAATGTAAGCAATACTGTCACGTAATGGTATGAAATAAGCTTGATTCTCCTATCTAACGACATCGCTACGGGTGTGGCGATGTTTATCTATCTACCCCTTGTCACGTGATAACGGGAACTAGTAGCCTAAGTCAGGAACCAGTGCCTGAGGCATCAGCTGACAAATACCGTCACGCCAACCACGCTTATGCGTTAAAACGCGTCAAGTACAAAAAAAAAAAAAAAAAAAAAAAAAAAACTAACAGAACAGAAGCACGGGAGGAGGGGGGCCGAACGTGCCGCACAGCCTTCTCCTGCAGGTCGTCTATCAACACCAAGAGACCGCACGTGATACGGAGTCGTGGGCTCAATAATCCGTAAAGGCCTCCTTAGCAGCGACACGCGAATTATTGGTTTAACCAAGGGAGCGGAGACGGGATCCCCGTGTTCTCCTATCTGTGGCCGTACGTGAAAGAAACCGGTGTGAAGTGATATATAGCAGAAAGCGTAACAGTAGTTGAAAAAATCAAGAACAAAGCTTGTTTTCGTGGTTGACTGCGTGGGCATTGACAGGGATGCAGTTACGGTGCACAAATGTACGAAATAGGCAGATGCGGCGCAAGACGCTTGGTATCGGCCGTGTTTCCGGTAGCGGTGCTGCTGAAGGGAAGATACCTCGTGTGGCCTACGACGTCTTTACCCAGGCGCAATAGCCCACCGGTTAGGCGCTAGTTTACTATCTTGCAGACCCCACTCCACTGACTGAATGACGCTGGCACACCAACAGTCGGCGCACAAACGCACACAACAGACATGGCCGTCGACGCTGAAGATGTGCCACTGTTGGCCAGCGGCGCCAACAAGGGCACCGCTGTGCTGGGCAAGATGCATTTCCTGGCGCGCGAGGCCAAGTATGCGCACGAAAAGCCGTACACGCTGCGGTACACGCCGGCGCCCGAGAGCGGCCTCCCGCAGACCAACATTGCGCGCGTCGAGCACCCGGTCGTGTTCCGCGACTGGCGGGGGCGGACGGACCTGCCGTACGACGAGTGCGGGTTTGGGATGGTGACGCTGGACGACGAGCTCGACGGAAGGTTTGGCGAACGGTTCGGCTACGACGACTACGAGCACAGCGACCGCATCGAAGGCCGGCATGCGCCGCGCGTGCTCGAGGCGGTGCGGGCGGCGCTCGGCGCCCAGTCGGCCGAGCTGGTCGACTACGTCGTGCGGCGGCGGCATGCGGCGTGGCCGGTGTCGACGGGCGAGCCGTATGCATTCCAGCAGCCGGCATCGCGCGCCCACATTGACCATACGCATGCCGGCGCGGTGGCCGTGATCCGCGAAGCACGCGGCGCAGAGGCAGAGGCCGTCCTGTCGCGACGGTGGCAGCTAGTAAAGTAGGCCCCAGCCCTATCCAGCCTTCGTCCAACCCCCTTCATATCATCGTGACCTCGCTGACATCCCAGCGCGTGGCATCCGCTGCGCGGCCCGTTGGTGGACTGGCCGCTGGCCGTGTGCGATGCGCGCACAGTGGACTTTGCACGCGACACCATGGCGGGCGACGTGGTGGACCGGCACCAGGTGTTTGAGAACACGCAGGTGCACTTTGACGCGCGGCAGGCGTGGTACTACTTGCAGCACCAGATGCCGGACGAGGTCGTCTTTTTCAAGAATGCCGACAGCCGCGAGCCCCAAGGGGCGTCGCCGGGCGTACCACATGCAGCGTTTGATAACCCGTTGACGACAGACGAGGACGTTCGGCGCGAGAGCATTGAGATGCGCATCCTTGTGGTGTGGTAGGGGGGAGGGGGGAAGTAGGATATCATGCGAGATAGCGAGGCACTGCCGACGCTGATCATGTATGCAGTGCGATGCCGTATGATGTATGATGCTTGACGAAAATAGAACAATAATCATCACTTGGTACATGCTACGGCGCGGTGGCCGCATCGTACGGTACACAGTAACGTGAATCAGTCTGACCACAATCACATCATGAGCGGGTGAGCAGGGAGCACGATAAATCCGCGGTATTTCACTACCCGCCCGTCCCATCATTACTTCCTGTCTGCCTTTCATTTTCGTCTATAGTACAGCAGTCACTCCAATCGTCAAATCATTACAGGTGGTCCCGTGCCTTCGCGATCGTCCGGCCACCCGATACCATCGCTCTCCTCCGTGTCCGTCATTGCCGCACAACACGCACCGTCTTGCGCGAGCTTGGCTTGACGTTGGCCGCTGTGCCGTCCACCACGACCGTGTCGCCCTTGGCCACGCCGTATTCTTTGCCGCTGCTTGTGCTGGCTGCAGTGGCAGTGGCTGCGCCGGGCCAGCTGGCCTTCCACGGCTGCGTCTTCTCGGCGCTCTCTGCGCTCTCGGCGGTAACTCGCGCTGACGGCTTGACATTCGCCGCAGTGCCATCGACGACGGCCACATCGCCCTTGGCGACGCCGTACTCGACTGGCGGTGAGCTGCTGCCGGAGGCACGCGCCTCGACGGCCGGCCAAGCGGCTTTCCACGGCTGGGTCTTGGCGGCCATTGTGTGGCGAGGAGAGGGAGTAAGAGAGAGAGACAGCTGGTGTGGGTGTGATGCAGCCGTGGTGGTGCCGTGCACGGGGGACTGTTTGTTGTTTATTGTTTAATGTTTGCAGTGTCGATGTTGGAAGAGTCAGAAGGCCAAAATCGCCCACAAGTCCAAACGGGCGAAAGATAAGAGTCTTATGATAATGCCAATGGCTAGGCTCGGCTTGGGCTGGCGAAAGGGGCATGTTAGGGCAGTCTAGGCCCTCCTCTCCAGTGGCCGATATCGCTAGCGGTGGGAAAAACCGGGGACAGTCGCCGCCAATTGATAGGGGACCTGGGGGAACTGGCGGCCTGGCGGCAGACGGTGAGACCAGCGGTGACCGCAAGACTGCAGCCACGCGACCTGTTATCACGTAAAATAAACTCGACAAATCCACGCCATTCCTCCAGTCTGCCCAGCACTTCTGCATTTCTCATACAGAGGCGAGATCATGCACCAACGATAACTGCTTTTGAACAGCACGAAATAGCTCCATAGTGGGACAGCTGAGCCGCCTCCAAAATATAAAAATCGAGCATCGAGACGGATATTTGGCATCGGACCACCACATCGACTCGGACCGACAGGCTGCTGGCCTGGATAGTATAATACGGTAAGTATAATATGGTACGGGATATTTGATGGTTGCTCCGTCATTCTGAACAAATCTACGCAGATGATGTTCATGATACATTCCCCCAAAGCATCCTGCTTGTCTCCCTTCTTCATCACTCCTGAACGCGCATCGCCGCCCTGCATGTTTTGTGCTTCTTAATTTTGTGCTGTGCTACCCTTGTTGCTGATTAAAAGGCTATGCGCGTATATGCTGTGCACCCTCTGTGGCGTGCTCTGCCTGCGTGCTATGTTGTATTACTCGCTCAACGTGAGAATGCGTAGTTACTCAGTCCACGCCTTTCCGACGGTTCCACGGCCACATTTCCATGCTTCCCACGATATCCAGCGAATCCAACCATTGCCGGCCCATTCGCAGCTCCCGTACCTCCACCTCCATCTGCATTCATATCCTCGGTGCTATTATTAGAGCCGTCGTTGGCAAACTCACCAACTCTTGCACGAACATCCCCTACACTTCCAAACGTATGCCAAGATGTGCATACCGCACGTAGAACCTAAAACAAGAGCATCCCCGCCACGGCCAGGCTGAAGAGGGCCACGCCGGCCGCGCTCATGCCGCCCTGGCGCATTCCAGCAGCACCCGACGACGGCGGGCCCGGGGGGCGGGTTGCGCTGCTCGTGGGGCCGGCGCTCGTCGTCGTGCTCACGAAGCTCGAGGGGCGCGTCGTGGTCGTCGTCTTGGCCGATGTCGTGTGCGAGTGCGGATGCGCGTGCGACGACGTCGGAGGGAGCGTCACCGCGGACGTGGAGTTGACAAACGTCGTGGACGTCGTGGATGTCGTGGACGTCGTCCGCGTCGAGGCGGTCGAAGACGACGCCGAAGACGACGTCCAAGACAAAGACACCGGGCCCACCGACGTCGCCTCCGACGTGTGCTTGGCCGTCGTCACAGGTGTCGTCTCCGGCGTAGTCGTCACCACAATGCTTGTCGTTGTGGGTGACGTTGTGGCCGCCCAGCCGGTCGACGACGGGCCCCAAGCGCCCGTGTCGGATGGTCCCCAGGCACCGGAATCGGTCGGGCCCCAGCCAGAACCACCAGAACCACCAGATCCACCAGAGCCACCGTTGGAAGGGCCCCATCCGCCGGGACCGGAGTGGCCCGAGGGACCGCCCCAGGCGCCGCTGTTGGACGGGCCCCAGTCAGACGACGGCCCACCCCATCCGGCAGGACGAGTGCCGGACGGGCCCCAGCCGTTGCCGTTGGGGCCCCACGCAGAGTTACCGGGAAGCCCGTCGTTGATTGCAGCCATTGTGAATGTTGTGGAGTGAGTAGACCGACGTGAGAAAAGGTTAAACGTGTGTGAAGAAATATAAATCAAAACGCTTGAACGAGTGGCTTTTTTGGTGCTTGTGCAAAACGAGCGGCTTGGGAGAGCAGTGTACAGAGCGGAAGGTAAAGACAGGGGAGGGAGATGAGAAAGAAAGGTGAAGAGGGACGAGAACGAACGTGAAAGGAAAAAGGTCTTCACCTCTGTCTTTTAATACCCAACGACGAAAATGAAAGAGCAGACGACGGCCGACACCACGCGTTCCAGTGCTTGCTGCCTGGATCCCGGTGCATGTCTCGAATTTCTTGTTTATTTCCCGTGCAGCTGCGGTGAATTGCTTTGCCTATGGTTCTGTGTTTCTGTCCTTTTCGTTGGCCGGTCATGCTTCCTCCTCACCTTTCCCTGCTGTCGCTTCTGTGTATGACACGCACACAGAGCCAACGACTGGTGGATGCTGGTGGATGCGGTGTGACCGCCGTGAAACAATACAAGGCTAGACACAGGAGAGAGGGTTGGGGAGAAAAGCATTGGCCATTCCTTGGTACACTGGCAAATTGCAAGGCTGAACAATACTGTTGCTACGAGCAACATCGCATAAGAAACGACGCGCATGCTGATGAGCAGCAATCACGCAAGCCACGGTCATCTTGTCTGGGCGGATGTGGAGGAGCGAAACCTGCAAGGTTGTGTCCATTCCCCGTAGTGTCCATTCCTCGTGCTGCACACAGCAGGACAGTTCACGTACCACAAAACCGGAGCACCGCCACTTGGGTTCCGGGATGGCGAGCGCCTCTCTTTGCCCTGATTCACATATATAATAGCAGGACCAGAGAGCTTGCAGCAATCATCCTTGTTTCTTCTTTCTGTTTTCTGTTTTCTGCTTTCTGAATTTATGTCTCATGTCGCTCCGTCGTCTCCAAGTGAACCACATAGATGACAGAAAATAAGAAACAGAGACAGAACTCACACGGCCACGTCGCACAAAATAGATAGAGCAGATGTGCAAAAAGCAGGGGTGGAGGTTGGGCGGCGAGCAAACAGAGCCATGGTCGTCCAGAGCCACTTTATATAAATCATGCGTAATTCGCTGCGCCATGCCGCATCGTTCTGGGATGAGACAGAGTTGGACAGCAGATATTCAACTCCCTTTCAGCTACGGCCTACGGCGACCGAAAGCCAAGACAGGGGCCCAAAATAAATACCCGGGAACCAGCAGTCGGAGAGGCAGGTGAATTTCCAGTTGTGCTGCGCGAACGGGTGAACGGTGATTATCTCGGGAAATAGGCGTTTCTAGAGTACATGTGAGCGCCTCACAATACTCAATGTGGACAGACATGCAACGAATTTCAATAAACATGATGCAAAATTGCAAAACTGGCCATATACGATGGCTCTGTTCTCTGGACACCCAAACCCGAACGCTATGCAACATAAACAAATAATACACAAGAATGACACCATATACATATAAATGCACATACAAAAAAAGTAAAAAATACGCAGCCCCATGGTAGAACCGTGGTATATCTGGGTCTTGCCCTCCTTCTCCCCCCCTCCCCATCAGTACTGCACGAGCATGTTCCACGCCTGGTGGGCCAGCACCGTGCCGTGCAGCGATGCCAGCTGCCACCACGGCCACAAAAGTGTGGGCCCGAGGGCTAGTCGCCGCGTCTGCGGCTCAGCGCTACCGCTGTTGTCGCGCCAGCCGTGCGTTTCTTCATACGTCTCGCCGTTGTACTCAGCGTCCTCGCCAGAGGTCGTCTGCACAACCAGCGTCTGCCCCGCCTGCAGCATCGTCCACATTTGCGTGGCCATCCAGGCAGCCAGCACCAGACTGGCCAGGCCTAAGCAGAGGCCAACGAGTGCAGCGAGGTCGGAGCCTTGGCCTAGGCCACCACCACCACCACCACCACCACCGCCACGATGGCTTGCACGGCGCCAGCGTGTGACCGACTCGGTCGTGCGGGACAGCGCCAACACCGCGCAAAGGCCGACTGTGGACGTCTCCACCAGACGCGCGTACGGCTGGATGTACTGCACGACCAGGGCGTCGGTGCTGGAAACAGAACCAGAACCAGAACCAGAATGAGCGGAGGTGGCGCCGCCACCTGCAATGTCCTGCAAGCAGTAGACGGCAGCCAGCGAGGCCAGCGTCGTCAGGAGCGAAGCAGCACGGCCCAGGACGGCGTGGTGGTCGGTGGGTGTCGACGTCGCTGACGACGCAGGGCGTCGACGATGCAAAGATGCTCTCTGTCGTCCATCCCCGCCGGACGACAACGCTGCGTCGCCTGGGTCGCCTGGGTCGCCGGGCCCTTCCTCTGTCGCACCGCCAGCGCCCAATGTAAAGGTCTGGCTGAAGAGGTCGGACAGGTAGCTGCCCGGGTCGTCATTGTCTGCGCCTTCTCGGCCGCCCCGGCCAGCCATGCCTTTGTTCGCATTCTTGGGCACAATGTCTTCTGCGAAAAAGGACGGCTGGGCAAACTCGACCGACGATGAAGTCCCCCTTGGGCCTTGGAAACCAAGATCGAGCGTCCCGCCCCGCCGACCATGGGCGCTGTCACCGTGTTGGCTGTTTTGACCAAAGGACGCGTCGGCACCGGTACCGGCACCAGCTCCATCGCCGCTATCACCCAGCGCCACCTTCTGTACCAGTCTCGGTGCATTGGGCCTGTTGAAAATGCGCTGGGCGATGCTCGTCGGCGCCGGCGGCACCTTGTACCAAAACGGTCCGCGATCTGCCTCGACAGGCGTCTGGCTAAAGGCGCCAGCTGAGGACTGTGATGGACCCTGGCTGAACTGACTGGCGCCGGGTTCGTACGTGTTGAAAGCGCGGTGCGGCGACTGGGCCGGGGTGTGTCCATGCGACGATGGCTGGGTGGGCGTCCAGTCCATCTCGTCGACGTCAGCGGCTGCCTGCCCATATGCCTGCTGCTCTCGCGGCCAAGGCTGCGATGGTGCTGATCCGGGGTCTCCACGGGCCCCAGCTGGCCATCCACCGCGGCTGCCGAATCCATTCTGCGAGTGTTCTTGTGGTAAAGCATGGGACTCCTGCGACGGTCGCCAGCCATCCCACCCGCTCGTGCCGCCGTCACGTCGTGCCAGCGGACTAGATTGCTGCATCTTTGGCGTCGGCCGCTGGGGTGTCGCCGAGATCTCGTCAAGCACATCCGACAGCGTGTCGAGCCCGCGCCGCCGGTTTTCCGAGATGTGCAGCTGATGTTGTTGTTGCTCTTCAGCGGCCCTGACGCTCGCCCGCTGCGGCGTCAACGGCGTCTCCGGCAGCTTCGCAAAGAGCGGCCGCACGTCTTTGCGGATCGCGCGCGGCGCCACGGTGTAGAGGTACAAGATGAAAAAAGCTGCTACGGCGTGAACGCCGGCGACGGCGGGAGGCAGTGCTGGGGTTTCTGCATTGCCGTCCGCCCCACTGCTGAACGGTGCAAGCGGTCCCTGGTAGTCGGCCACCTTGGCGAGAAGGAGCCGCACAAGGACAATCGTGGCTTGGTGGACATACCATGTCGGGATGCCGATCAAGGGCTTCGTGAAGCCGCGGACGGTCTGCACAAAGAACGGGTTCCACCAGCAGCTGGCCAGCGTGGCTGCAATGCACGCTGACCGCAAAAAACCGGTGTTGCATACGAGTAGGCGCAGCAAGGGCTCGACGAGGACCACGGCGGGACGGCGACTCGCAGTCTGAGAAGCGGCCGAGTCGCCAACAACGGCGTCGCTGTCGAAGCCGAGATCATCTGTGCTGGGAAGCGATGCCACGGGAAGCAAGAAGCTCCCTAGGACGCCCGCCTGCCACAACATCTGGAGCAGCAGGCCGGCCCACCACAGCCTCCGCCCCAGCCAGTTGCTAGCGTCGAGCGGCGTGGCACGCGTCAACCGTACCTGCCGGCTGTAGTCGACCATTCGCCGCAAGTGGTCCGTCTTGGCCGTGTAGCCGGCGTCGCGGATGCGGTCGAGCACGCGCGGCTCGCAGTCGGCGCATACTTGGGGATAGCGCTGCTCGAGGCCCTGGCGGAACCGAAAGTACTTGCGCTCGAGCTCGGGGGTGTCTGGGTGGTTGGGGTCAGATGGGAAATACTGGGCGAGCGACGAGATGAACAGATGCTGGTTCTTGAGGCAGGTCTTGCAAAAGACGCCGGACTGGTCTCCGTTGCCAAGACTGGGCGAGCCATAGCCGCCGCCGTTGCTGCTTGCGCTGCCTGGGCTGCCAAAGCTGTCGTGGAAGGGCTCGGGGCCGGACGCAAAGAAAGGGGAGGTCGTCTCGGCAACGGCCGTCGTGGACGTAGGAGGGTCGGTGATATCGCCGTTCTGTATGGTCAGCGTCGACTCTATTTTTACGAAAAATCATTTGTAAACGGCGTCGCTCACCTCGTCCAGGTAGTTTGTCGCGTCGCAGCTGGAGCAGGTAAACTGGCGCACGCTGCTGTCGTAGACATTCGACGACCGGCGGCCACAGTAGAAACAGCTCAGGTAGCGAGCTCGCCGGAGTCGCACCATGGCGGCCGGCTGTGAAGAGGAAGAGGCAGAGGACGATGTCGATGTCGGATTCCAAGTTGATGAAGACGAGGTCGTTCGGTCTGCAATTGGCGTAGCCCGCGGTGTTCTCCCGCTGCCGACATGTGCAGATATACCATCACCCGCTGTCGAAAGCAGTCGTCAAAACAAAGCAACAGCGCCGCGCCTCGATTCGCGTGGCTGGCGGCTCGTGGTTGGTTGATGCGTCGTCGTCGGTTATTTCTGCCGTGTGTCTTTGTGCCTCTTGTTTCTGGTGGGTGAAGCAACTGCCCTGGAAGGAGCTCCCTAGCGAGCAAGAAAGTAAATACTGCCGGGCGGTCAGGCGCTAAGCTCCTGGAAGTGGGTCTCTATCAGACACCGATTCACACCCCTGTATTAGTCGCTTAAGAAGCCTAAACGTGTTGTTCGAAGCTTCACGTTTTGGACAGTCGTGACAATTTACCAACTGATACTCTGTTTGCAAAAAAGAGGTACCGTCACCACAACTTCCCTCAACCGAGGACAGTAGGCATCCTGAGCTTGCCTAGAAGAGCTTGTGCCATTAGGTTAAGAACAAAGCGACGGGCACACCAAGATGGGCGCTCTCGTCCAGGCTCTCTTCATCGGCACTGTTTTGCTCACTGCCATTCTGCTGCTGGCCACGGTACGTCTACGACAGTATGGGCTTGCGTTTCTTGTACGTCCGTCTCTAATGTAACCTAGGCACGGTACATGGCCGTGGTGCGCAGCAAACGCTCGGCCATGGGCAAGGCGTGGAAGGCCGCTTGCCAAGGCCCTGTGCCCGACGGCGTGCAGCTGCCAGGAACCTATTTTCTGTATGTCCTCGGCTCGGGCGGGCACACGGGAGAGCTCTGCGAGATGATAAAGCAGCAGTTCCGGCCGAACCCGCACTGCCACCGGCGCTATATTGTCACGTCGGGCGACCACCACTCAGTCAACGCCGTCAAGCGGCTCGAAGGCCAGATCAGCCGGACGTTTCCCGTGGACGAGAACGGCGTCGCGCCGGGCGGCTCGTGGGACATTGTGCACGTTGTCCGTGCACGTCGGGTGCATCAGCCGCTGTACACGGCATGGTTATCGGCGCTGCAGAGCGCGCTGTCGATTGTGCAGGCTCTGGTGCGGCCGCCAAACCAACAGCAGACGACAAACAATTCAAAGAGCGCAAAGAACGCAAAGAACGCAAACGACGCCTTTGCATACCCGAACCTGATTGTTACCAACGGCCCCGGAACGGGTTTTATTGTGTGCTTGGTTGCCGTTGTGCTCAAAATGCTGTATATCGTCCCGACCAACCGCTGCAGCGTTCTGTTCATCGAGACCTGGGCGCACGTCAGCACACTGAGCCTGACGGGCAAGCTGTTCCACTACAGCCGCCTTGCCGACCTGTTTGTGGTGCAGCACGAGCTATTGGCGGCCAACACGGGCCATCGCTTCATTGGCGACGTCACCAAGTACGGCAACCTGCTCGGCATCCGCAAGTCTCTGGGGCGCAAGGAGGCGTGACGTGTTGGGCGGAACGACTCCAGGTCTTGCACGATTTGACACGACATATGCAACCGTCGGAACGGCCATTTGGTTGTAGAAAAGCAACACATAGACCTTTGGACACAATACGCAATGAAACATCTGATACATTGATACACTGGTTCCTCGTGAGATGGCTAATGTACACAGGCCACAGCCGCAATCTCCATCTCCATTCCATGCGCGTGCCCGTTCCGTCGTCTCTTCTTCCCTTCGCCTGAACCCCAGCCTTCTACTCTTATATTGGTGCACTGTCCGCGGACTCGGTCGGCGCCGAACCGAACGGCGTCTCCTCGCCGAAGGATGTGTACGCCTGGCCGCGTGTCGCCTCCGCCTTCGCTGTCATGCGCTTTGCCCAACTCTTCCAAGACTCGAACACACGGTCCTCTTGCCTCATGTTGTCCACCAGCAGCGAGCCCTTGAAGTAGCCGCCCATCATGCGGGCCTCCTCCATGGCTACGCGGCGCTCAACCTCTTCTCTGTGCCGCAGCGCGTAGAATTCACGCCGTGCCACGTCGTAGGCCTGCTCCTTGGTCATGCCCGAGTTCATCAGCCACATTTGCCGCTGAACGACGCTGTCGAGCAGTTAGTAGTGGCCACAACGCGGAGGGAATGGGGATTGTGGGGGGTGCCCATGCACAGCCCGTCACAAAAGACTTACCACTCCCCGCACAGGGCCAGGCCATCCTGGTAGAGTCCCTTGCTCCAATCGTACCGCTGTGCGTCCTTGCCGTCCGTCTCCAGCACAACCCGCGGCCGCGCCAGCTCCCACGGGTGGTCCTTGAAGAAGGTCTGTCGCAGCTCGTCCTCCTCGTATGTAATGTTTTGTGGCCGGTACGTCCGCCGCGGCTTGCGCAGGCGCGGGTTGGGCGGCTGCAGGGCCACAGGGACGGTGCGCGTGAGCACTTCGGCCGGCGGGATCTTCTCGACGGCCTTGAGCCATGGCGGCGCCACCGGTCTGTGGTTGCTGTTGATTTTGCTCGACAGGTGCTGGTGCACGACGTCGGCGACGCGCAGGGCACGGAATTGCCGACCCATCGTGTCGATGCGTGTGGAGGTGAAGGCGGAGCAGAAAGTGGAGGAAGAGGAGGAGAGGAGGACGACAAAAGAAAAGGCCGCTAGGTTTGGCCAATTGGTGTCGGCGGTGGCAGCGCGAGTCGCTCAGATCGGTCGTCCGGCTCGTCCGGCCCTCGTCAATGGATGCTAGGCGTCAGTGTGTCGACGGTGTCGTTGCTGGCAGACAAAACTGGACGGTGTGGTTTAAGCCAAAGCATCAGTCGCTAATTTTTTTCGGCAGCTCTCGCCATGCCGATTAGATGCATATACCGACGAAATGCTACCGTTTGCAGCAATCCGACTTCAAACTCCACTGTAAATTTTGGGTGCGATAAGATAAAGCCCCCAAAATTGACGGTACAGGCACCCCACAGCGCCTAGCAATTAGCTGCAGTGTTGCCTTTTTTTTTTTGCCTCTCACTGTAATTCGTACAGCCGCTGACAACAACGGCAAATCATCTGCACCAACCGCACGACATACGACGCGACACAACCGGTCCCGGCTCCCGGCCGCGCACATCCCAGCACAGCTTATATGACGCCGCCATGCCGAACAGCCCATGAAGGCCTCACGCCGCATCAACAGGACCGTCTGTGGCGCCGTCCTCTCGGCCCGGATGCCTCATTCCGCAACGGCACCTGTTTCCGGCCGGTCGCCGCCATCACGATGCATCCATGAGCAGAGTCGACGGCCGCGGCGGCAAGGACGACCGCGGACAACTGCGACGTCGGCTTGGTTTTTTGCCGCGGGCGCCGCAGACCCGGCCTCTGGCACGCTGTTGCCGATGCTGTTCCCTCCGGCCTGGAACGACGCCTCGTGGCAGACACCAACGACGCAGAGGGCCATGCATGTCTATGACTCGGCATGCCGCCGGGCCCAACGGGCCACGAGATGCCCGCGTGGCAGCCTGGAGCATAGGCGGTCCGGCCATACGTCCACAGCCGCGGCCAGCCGGCCGCCATCGCAGGAGTTTGACGACATATTCAACGACGGCGAGCTCGAGATCAAGAGCGACGGAGTGACGACAGCGTCACAAAGTCAGAAAAGCGGCCCTGGAAGCAGGCCGGAACATAGTCGCGACATATACGGGAGGAGGAGAGCTGCAGATATTGAACACAGAGACGAAGAGTTCTACGACATATACGCAGAGGATTATGATGACCGCGATCTGGAGCCTGCTAGGTCCCCGGCGTATACGACCACGACGCCGTCCAGGGCAGACCAGCCGTCGTCTCGAGCCTTCGACGAGGACCCCAAGAGGGAAAACGGCGCAGACAGGCTTGATACCCGCCACAGCGAAGACCCACGGCCCGACGACAGCTACTCAGACGACTACCACTCTGACGACATAGAGTCTAGGAACAAGCCTTCTCACGACACATACAACACTCGTGACACCCACGATATTTATCCTAACAATGACCCCTTCAAAGACGCCTTCCACGAAGACGCAGACTCCGACAGCACTCCCTCCACAAGGAGGTTCAATCCCGACGATATCCAGTACGAGGAATTCGTAACCACACCCAGCTTCACAGACGATTTTCGCCACAAGGACTTTCAATCGAGCGCCTTTCACGCCGAAAACCGTGTCGCCGATGGCGTCCATCCTGGCCAGAATCGGCGCGGCCACGACATGGACGACGAGCCATACACGTTCCCCGAAGAAAACCACTCCAGCCACTTCGACGCCTATGACAGCTACCCCCACCATGGCGAGCCGTACCCGGAGTCAAAGCGCGTCAGCAAGGAGGAGCTGCTTGCGCTCGTCGGCCCGCCCCTCACCGGCGACTCGGCCCACGAGTACTTGGCCCGCTTGAAAGACCCGGATATCCGACGGCACAATGGTTCCTTGGATGATCGCGACTTGCGCGTCGTGGACGACAACGCCAGCACCGAGACGGCCATAACGTGGGACGACGTGCAGAACCTCGACGTTCGAATCCAACAAGCCGTGCGCGCGCTCGACCACGACGTCGTCATGCGGCTCAAGGACCCAAGCGCCGTCCCGGCCGAGCTTGTCTACCAATCGTACCTGCGGCTGCCCGGCATGCGTATGTCGTACGTGCCCGACGAACTGCGCCACGGCCTGCTCCGGTCGCTCAACATGGAGGAGCGCAAAAACGCCAAGTCGATGCTGCGCTTCTTTGCCGTCGTCGCCGACATCAAGGACTGCGGCCTGCCGCTGCTGCGCGCCGAGTGGAACGCGGCCATGGCGTTTGCCGGCCGCTACGTCGGCTGGACCACGTCGGCCGAGAACATGGCCGTCATCAACCTGTGGCGCGAAATGGAAAAGGACGCGGGCATCCGCAGCAACGAGGTGACGTTCAACATATTGTTCGACGCCGCATCCAAGTCGCACAACTTTACGCTCGCCGAGATGATCTACGACGAGATGCTGAAGCGCGGCCTGCGCTTCAACCGCTACCACCACGTCAGCCTCATCCACTACTTTGGCCTCCGGCTGGACCCGGACGGCATCCGCGCCGCCTTCCACGAGATGGTCGAGGCGGGCGAGATGATTGACACGGTCGTGCTCAACTGCGTCATGGCTGGCTTTGTGCGGTGCGGCGAAGAGGATGCCGCCGAGCGCATCTACACCCGCATGCACCCCCGGTACAGGATGCGGCAGCAGCAGCAGCAGCAGCAGCAAAATGAACTGAGGCAGGGCAATGGACACCCGGACGTCGTCCTCCAGATGAAACCGAAACCGAAAAAAGGGAAGAACGCGTCGCCGCGATCGCGTGGAAGCTTTGTTCTGTCCTCGGACGCCTCCACCGGCAACCCGCCGTTTCCCAACAGCACGGACTACAAATCCGAGCGGATGCTGTCGCAGGTGCTCGTCATGCTGGCGCACGAGAACCGGTACAACGACGACCTGCGCGCCGCCCACCAGGCGCTCATGCCCATCCGCCCCACCCTCTCGACCTTCCGCGTCCTCATCAACCACCACGCCTGCCGCCTCGGCAACCTCCCTGCCGTCACGCGCTACCTCGACGACATGAAGTCGCTCGGCATCCCCCTGCATGGCTCCATCTTCCAGGCGCTGTTCAAGGGCTTTGCGCTGCACGGCGGCGCGCAGGGCATGTACACCGACTGGAGCGCCGCGCGCCTGCGCAGCATCTGGGCCGCCCTGCTCAAGGCCCTCGACGACGGCACCGAGGGCATGTACATTTCCGTGTGGCTCGTCATGTGGGTGCTGCGCGCCTTTGACCGCTGCGCCACGCCCGAGATGGTCTTCAAGGCCTACAACTCGCTCATGTCGCGCTGGACGCCCGACGAGGTCCAGTCCGATTTTGCCATTAGCGTCTTGCACAGCCTGCTCAAGGGCCGCGAGGTGAATAAGAGGACGACCCCCGAGGAAGTCATTGGCAGCGGCGCCCACAACAGAATCACCAAGTACAAAGGGTTCAGCCATATTGAACCACGAAAGTCTGTCCTGAAACAGCTGGGCTGGCGGTCCTTTCAATGAGTCCGTGTGGTAGACTCGGGTGGGGGCTTCGTCTTGAAATGTTTATAGTTATGTTTCTATGGCCATGGCCCTGTAACGACCATATCCTTTTGTACATATTCCGCCTGGATTGAGACGTCCAGCGTATTACGAATGCATGCATCCGGTCCAATGGACGGACTCTTCACCTCACTTCGTCCTGCGTCTGTGACAGCTTTATCGAGACATCCAACTCTAACCATTCACAAAAGACAGCTTGACGTGGCCATGGCAAGGTCGCTTTACACAGGCGGATAGTAGTATACTTTAGCAAATTGCTGTTGCGCGCTCTTTGGATGACAAGATGAATCGACGTCCTCTGCATGTAGTATAGAACTGTTTGATTTTTTGTTGAGTTTCTATGACGACTTTATGTACAAGGCAGCGCCCGGCCAGGGTCGACAAACGGCCATCGGCCCCGGCCATGCGCCCCGGTATTCTGATCTTCCGCGGTATCCTCCACAAACTCTAAAAAAGAGCCTCCGAGATAGATCGTCTATTTCGGCTTGTACGTCTGCCAGGCTAAGCGGGAGAAAGTAAAAGACGTCAGCACGTGCCTGGAACAGTATAGAGCATAGACACCCATCCCTCAGCCATCCCAATGGAATCGGCCCATCTCCTCAACGAAAAATACGCACCGGCAATGCCGAAGGGGGCAAAGAAGAAGAAGGTCATCGAGGTCCAGTAGCCGATGCCAAAGAACTTGCTCTTGGGGTTGAACGGGATGTTGGAGTAGGGGCCCTCGGGGTAGTGGTACGGCGACGAGAAGCGCAACGGGGTCGAGTGGAAGGCACGGCGGCCGGCCACGGCCTGCGACGTGCGGATAGCAGCGCGGGAGAGCATCTGGAGGGTCAGTAAGCTTTGTGCCGAGCAACGGTGGGAGCAAAACATCGTCACATTGTCGAGGAGGGCGGGCTGACGGGGACACCGGGCGCGGTGGAACGACCAATTGGTCGCCAAAAAGACGATTGGGAGCGCGACGAACCTTGGCGACGGAGTGGTGATGGTCTGTGACGGCGATGGCGGATGGCTGTTGGGGTGTAGATGGTGGGAAAGCTCGAGGTTCGAAAGAGCTCGGTTTTTTGCAGTGATCTCTTTTGCGCGGCTGTGACTGGGCGCCGTAGTGGCGTGAGTGTCGTCTCCTTCCCGCTGTTCCATGTTTTTCCGGCTGTCCAGCGCTGCAGTGGAAAGTGGCCCGTGCACCTCGCGCTTTCCACAATTGGCTGACTGATCATATCACATGATCCTACTAACCGCCTTTTCCGCACGATGAGCTTTTTGGGTGGCAGAATTCTGTGCATTGCTCCACTTTATTTTTCCTGTCCAGCGCCTTCCCTTCCCGCAGTTTATTAGTTTTTCTTGTTCAGTGCATCGCTTCGTTTCGCTCTCCTTCGTTCCTGCCCAGGACACTTCGAGAGTGACGCCTGCCGTTTTCTGTTTTCTCACCACCAGGGAAAGAGTCGGGCATTTCCCCTTCTCTCCCCTTTTCACCCAACCGTTGCTGTTTTGCACCAACAGCACCTCACCTCCAGACCACCAACCGCGCGACGATTTCCAGTGGCTGCCGGTGTGCCTGTGTACATTGTATACACACTTTCCTACCCGCCCGCCGCGTGCGGAGCAACCACTCAGCAGACGGATCGACAATGGATATCGACGAGCTGTTTGAAGTCTTTGACAAACCGGCATCGGGGCCGTCACGGCCGCAGGGGGACCGCGCCACAACGCCTGGCGACGCCAGCCGCAAGCGCAAGGCCGGGGGCCTCTCCGACGTGTCCGCCGAGGTAGCCAACAAAGCCGCCAAGGACGTGCCGGCGATCCCAACCGGGGAAGCGTCCAACGACGCCGATATTTCCTCGGCGGCCGAAGATGTTCCCATGAACGAGGACGACGAAGAGGACGAGGTCGAGGACGAGGATGAGGAGAATACCAGCGGCGATGGCCATGGCGTCGACAAGCAGAACAAGCGCCGTAAGAAGGACGGCGAGGCCGAGCCTGTGCTGACCGACACCTTCCAGACGGCCGAGTCGCGTGAGGTGGCACCGGCGTCTGGTTTTGCCCCGCAGAAGGAGACCGAGTCGCTCGTGCTGCAGCACAACATCCAGCACCAGGTGGCCCTCCCGCCCGACCTCAACTATGAATACGTTCCCCTCTCCGAGCACAAGCGGCCCGCCGAACCCGCGCGCGAGTATCCCTTCGAGCTCGACCCGTTTCAGAGCATGGCGATTTCGTCAATCGAGCGCGAAGAGAGTGTCCTGGTGTCTGCGCACACCAGTGCCGGCAAGACGGTCGTCGCCGAGTACGCCATCGCGCAGTGCTTCAAGCGCAACCAGCGTGTCATCTACACAAGCCCCATCAAGGCGCTCAGCAACCAAAAGTTTCGTGATTTCATGGGCGAGTTTGGCGACGTCGGCCTGATGACGGGCGACATCACCATCAACCCCACGGCGAGCTGCCTCGTCATGACCACGGAGATTCTGCGGTCCATGCTGTACCGCGGCTCCGAGATTATGCGAGAGGTGGCCTGGGTCGTCTTTGACGAGATCCACTACATGCGGGACAAGTCTCGCGGTGTCGTCTGGGAGGAGACCATTATTTTGCTGCCCGACAAGGTCCGCTACGTGTTCCTGTCGGCCACCATTCCGAACGCGTTCCAGTTCGCCGAGTGGATAGCTAAGATCCATCGCCAGGCGTGCCACGTCGTGTACACCGATTTCCGTCCGACGCCCCTGCAAAACTACTGCTTCCCCGCCGGCGGCGACGGCATCCTGCTCGTCGTGGACGAGCGCGGTGTCTTCAAGGAGAAGAACTTCAACACCGCCATGGCGCTGGTGGAGCAGAACAAGGGCGCCGATCCGGCCGACCCCAACGCCAAACAGAACGGCCGCGGCAAGAACAAGAAGATCAACAAGGGCGGCGGAAACGAGTCGACATCCGACATCTACAAGATCATTCGCATGATCATGAAGAAGAACTTCCACCCCGTGATTGTTTTCAACTTTAGCAAGCGCGAGTGCGAGATGCTGGCGCTCAAGATCTCCGGCATGAACTTCAACAACGAGTCTGAGCAGGCCCTGGTCACCAAGGTCTTTGAGAACGCCATTGACACCTTGTCCGAGACCGACCGTGAGCTGTCGCAGATCACACACCTGCTGCCGCTGCTTCGCAAGGGCATCGGTGTGCATCACTCGGGCCTGCTGCCCATCCTCAAAGAGATTGTCGAGATCCTGTTCCAGGAGAACCTGATCAAGGTCCTGTTCGCGACAGAAACCTTCTCCATCGGCCTGAACATGCCCGCCCGCACGGTCGTGTTCACGCAGGTGCGCAAGTTCGACGGCGTCTCCATGCGGCCGCTCACGTCGTCCGAGTACATCCAGATGTCTGGTCGTGCCGGCCGTCGTGGCCTCGATGACCGCGGTATTGTCATCATGATGGTGGACGACAAGCTCGAGCCCGAAACGGCCAAGGCCATTGTCGCCGGCAAGCAGGATCGTCTTAACTCGGCGTTCCACCTCGGCTACAACATGATCCTGAACCTGCAACGTATCGAGACGGTGTCGCCCGAGTACATGCTGGAACGCTGCTTCTTCCAGTTCCAGAATGCCGCCAGCGTGCCCGCCTTTGAGAAGGAGCTCAAGGCGCTGCAGCACGAGCGTGACAGCACCATCATTCCGGACGAGAACACGGTCAAGGAGTACTACAAACTTCGGCAGCTCATCGAAGAGTACCGCAAGGACATGGTCCTCGTCATGCAGCACCCCAACTTCTGCCTGCCGTTTTTGCAGCCGGGCCGGCTGGTGCACATCAAGACGCCGGGCAGCGGCGAGGACTTTGGCTGGGGCGCCGTCCTGAGCTTCTCTCAGCGCCGTGCGCCCAAGCGTGGCGAGGACGAGGTTCCACCGCAAGAGTCGTATTGCGTGGACGTGGCGCTCTTCATCTCGGACAGCAAGAGCGCACAAAGCATCGCACCCGGCTTCCCGCTGGGTGAGATGGCGCCCGGTGCCGTGCCGTGGGTCGACAATGCCAACAGCAGCACCGCGAGCGGGAGCGAAGACAACGGCAGCGGCGACAACACGAGCGGCAACGACAAGAACTCCAAGGCGTCCAAAGCCTCCAAGGCGTCCAAGGCGTCCAACAAGAAGGAGGACAAGGACACCAACAAGGAGAAGAGCAACATGACCGACGCCCGTGTCGAGATCGTTCCCTGCTTGCTGTCGACCATTGTCGCCATGAGCAAGCTGCGCATCTTTATGCCGGACAATGTGACCAAGTCGGCCGGCAAGGACCGGACCGGCAAGGTCATCCGCGAGGTGCAGCGCCGGTTCCCCGACGGCATCCCGGTCCTCGACCCCATCGAGAACATGAAGATCAACGACGAGTCGTTCAAGAAGCTAATCCGCAAGATCGAGCTACTCGAGGCCAAGCTGCTCGCGAATCCGCTGCACGGCTCGCCCATCCTGCCGGAGCTGTGGGAAAAGTACCACCACAAGGTGGACCTGGGCGAGAAGATCAAGGAGAAGAAGAAGGCCATTGCGCAGGCACACAGCATCGCGCAGCTCGACGAGCTCAAGTCGCGCAAGACGGTGCTGCGGCGCCTGGGCTTCATCAACGAGGACGACGTGGTGCAGCTCAAGGCCCGCGTGGCGTGCCAGATCTCGTCGACCGAGGGCCACGAGCTGCTGCTGTCGGAGCTGCTGTTCAACCGCTTCTTCAACGACCTGTCGCCCGAGGTGGTGGCGTCGGTCATGACGTGCTTCCTCTTTGACGAGAAGGTGGAGGCGCCCGATCTGAAGGAGGACCTGGCCAAGCCGCTGCGCGAGATCAAGTCCCAGGCAAAGATCATTGCCAAGGTCAGCCAGGAGAGCAAGCTGGACATCAACGAGGAGGAGTACGTGGCCAGCCTCAAGTGGCAGCTGATGGAGACGGTCCTGGCGTGGGCCAAGGGCGCCTCGTTTGCAGACATTTGGTAAGCTTAAGCTCTCGCACCCCGTTCCCTCCTCTCAATCGTTTTCTATCCGCGACACAAGCACTGACACACCCCAGCAAAATGACAAACGCCTACGAGGGTTCTTTGGTGCGCCTGTTCCGGCGGCTCGAAGAGCTGTTGCGCCAGATGGCCGAGGCCGGCAAGGTGATGGGCAGCGAGGAGATTACAAAAAAGTTTGAGGAGAGCCTGGAGAAGATCAAGCGCGGCATTGTGGCTGCTCAGTCCCTCTACCTGTAAAAGTAGGGATCGGATCCGGTTGCTCTTCTGTTGCTTGTCTTATGTTATTTTCTTTTAAACAGATTTTGGCCACGATTTACTCCTTTTTATCCTGCGAGTGTTTCATTTATTGCCACGTTCAATTTTTACTTGCATTTTTGGGGAGGCATTGTTTGTCGGGCGTTGATCGAGACACAATAGTATCATCACTTTAGAGCGTTAGGTTAGGACAATACATAGATAACCGGCATGATGACACCTGTTCACTGTTCCGACGAACAACAATGTGCATGTTTGAAAGTACATAAATATGAACCAAATTGTGTTGTCGTATCTCAACAGTTAAACTCCAATACAGTTGTAAAAATACAAACCGTCAATGCTCCGCGGTGCGATACTGGTCTCAACTCTGCTGTTATAGCAGTGCATGAGAACCATTTTGCATCACAGGACATCTTTTGCGGCCATGCACCGATCCGAAGTTGATGACCAATCCCAATCCAGCCCAAGAAATAATATATCATAATACAGTTAATGCCTCCAATACACCAGTGTGCAACGGTACCTTGACCTTTTCCGTTCCCAATCCTTTTTGTTTTCCTTTCCTTTTTCCTTTCAGTCGTTTTGTTGTCTTTTCGTTATCTTTTTGTTGTCGTGTTCCGTTTTCGATCATATATACCTCGTATATCGTACAATAGCATCGCATCATGCCGTTTTCGTCTGACTTGGACCGGTGTGGCGAGCTATGTAGCATGCTCAGGACATGCCCTGGGCGGAGCTGCCGTTAAAAGTGAAAATCGACCGGACGCCCTCGGCGATCTTGGTCATGCCCTTATCGACCGTGCGCTCGAAGCGGAAGCGCGATATCGTCTTGCTGCGGATTTTTTGGACTTCGACACCGGCCCGAGCAATGTAGTCGTACAGATCGTCGATGCCCTCACAGGAGGCGAGAGACGAGCACTCAAAGTATTCTGTGCAGCCCAGCTTCAGGGCTGCGTCCATTCCCTGCCGTGTGTGTTAGAATCCACGACTACAACGCACAATTGGGTGGTCAAAAGCAGCCATCTCTCACCTTTTCCGGTGTGACCTGCACGGCGTCCTCAACAAAGGTCAGCTGAAGAGGGGGCAAGCGGCGACGAGAGTCTTTCTTGAGTCCAGCCAGCACAAGAACCGAGTTCTCTTCGTACATGGCAATGTCATTACGGTACTACATAAGAATCGGTGAGCGTGTGCCTTCCTGTGGTGGCCGTGTATGCTGCTTACCTTCTGCAGACTATGGAGCGTGCCGTGGTGGCCAATGTCAAAGCAGAGGACCACGACACTGAACCAGCCGAGTGCCAGTATGCTTGGCTCGCAAGGATCACGAGCGCTGCCGCCTTCCGAGAGGTTCAACTGGACACGGACGCCGTCGACCATGATACGGATCGTCTCCTCTTGGATGGAGCTCGGCGCGTATGTCTGGGGGAAATTTCCATACACCAGGCGCCTAGTCAGTTAGCAGCCGTTTCTCTTGTACTTTCTGAAGAGTACCAGGGGGACGCACTTGATCAGCGCCGTCTTGCCGACGCGAGCGTCGCCAATGAAAGCCACATTGACAATCATATCAGGCCGCCCTTCTGCCCAGAATCCGACCCGGTCATCGCGTGAAGGCGGTGGCATAGCAGGTGCCAACCTACACGACATGATACGGCGTATGGTGCTGGACCCTTGGGAACGGAAGGTACCGCTACGCTTGGACAGAGACGAGCGGATGCTGCCAGATGGCGTCTTGCTAAGATGGGCGAACTTGTAGAGCATTTCGTTTTGCTTTGCCACCTCCTCGGGAGACAGGTCCTCACTGTCCCGCTTCTCCTCGGCCGCCCCATAAGACATGGTAAGCGATGAAGACAGGCGCTGCGAGAAGCGGCGTACAGGGTCCAGAAGCCGCGTTCGCTTCCGTGCAGAGACGTCACCAGCGTCCTGTAGAAACAATGTTAGCAATCCCAGATGCAGGGCCACGCCGGGTCTCGTTCTGTATGCACAGTCATACCTCTGTCAGAAGTCTCTTTTTCGATCCCAAGACAGGCCTCTCGGCCAGCACGTTGGTCGGCGTAATCTGAGGCGGGCTGCCCAGAGACCGCAGTCTGTTGCGGACCATGGCATTCTCCTTATCGGACGCGTCAATAGCCAGCTTCTCACACGAACGAGAGAGCGCGTCGTCGTCCTCGGTCACACCGGGATTGCCCAGGTACGGTGCTTGGCGGGGTGCCAGTGCACGGAGCGGCCGGGGGTGCAGCGGGTGGTCGACGGCCGGGTTGAGGCCCTGGATGTAGCGTTCTTGTGGCGACACAGGAGGCGGTATCTCGGACAGCCAGTTCTGCATGCGGTTCTCACGGGCAACTTTGGGGCCAATTGTGATCAGTGTCGGCGTTGAGCGTCGAATCAACGTCGTCTTGGCGGCACTGCCGCTGTCATGCATGAGGACATTGTCGTCCTCGTCGGGTGTGCCAGGGGAGGGCGAGACGGGTTCGGCCAACTTCAGCGACGGCGATGTCGGAGGGCTCTGGCAGGGTGATGCGAGCGAATCCTGAGGCGTGGGCGGTGCGGCCGCGGCCCATGGAGATGGCGACATGGACAGAGGGTGCTGGTGATCGAGCACGCGTTCCTTGCGGTCGGCGGTCGTAGGCGGCGTAGCCTCCACGGAATAGCCCGCCATGTTGTCGATCGAGAAACGAAAGAAGAAAAGAAAAGAAACAAACAGTAACAGCTACCAACAGGCAATAAAAAGGGCGAAAGAAAACTGGGCTTCAAGGATTGCAAGGACACCAAGGAGCGAACCGGACCGCACCGGTCTAAAGGGATGAAATAAAATACAAGTCTCTCCACGGATGCAGCGAGACAGTGTGGATGGAATTTGAAAAACAGCAAAGGAGAGCGAAAATGCGGAGAGAATGAAGAAGCAATTCGGAGTCGTGGGGGGGGTGAGAGAAGCGACCAATTCCCGGAATGGCAGGGCAGGACGCAGGGACGAGAAAGACTAAAAGGGAAAGAACACAGGCGTGGTCACAGAAGGAAGGAGCGGCAGAAGCACAAGTTGGTCAGTCAAGGAAGGAGCGATGCCGTGCAAAAATGTGCGGTTCTTTCACTGGAATGGCAGGAACGAGGACATCAAGGGAGAAAACGTGGAAATGGCAAGAACGTGGTACGACGGAAGGAAAGAACGCCACAAGCAGCAGATAGAGGCAAGGGACGGGCGTGCAATTTGTTGTGCAGCAGGGCAAGAGCGAAGATTGAGAAAGGCCAGGCGTCGACGCTTCCTTTCTTGGACTGGGCTGCTCCTTTTTGGAAAGAGGGACAAGGTCAAGATCGCGACGCTTTCAGAGGAGATCTTTTCCCTCTATCACTCTTTTCTCTTTTCTTCTCCGTGTTCCCCGTTTTCCAGTCGTACCGGCAGTGGATGTTGGCCGGCAGGTCCACAAAAAGGCTGGCAAGGAGCAGGTCTGGACCACAAGATGCTCCTTGTTCATTGGCATGAGGTATTGGGTGAGTTGTCGGTGCAAAATGAAAGCAAAAAAAAGGACGACGACGCAATGGGATGGAAGGAAGAGAACATGAAAGGCAACTGAGCTCAAAGGTCGAGCCTCGTCGTTTTAAACAAGAAGCGTCCTCTTTTTTCTAACATTTGCAGATAGGAAACATGAAACGCCGATGTCAAGCAGAATTCGACGACGCGCTTGTGATGCAACTGCGGTTGTGGATGTTGACGCGTCCAGATCCTCTTTAAACGCGTCGATGCTTGTTCGCAGTGGCGAACAACCTGCAGTAGCGGCGTTGTTCCAGGCTCTTGGACCTCTCGGCACACATCCCGACAACTGGACACACCCAATACAACCGCGCAGACGCCAAGCACGGTTGCAGCGGGGATCCGCGTCTTTACACAAACGGAATCGCGAGCGAGGGGAATTAACGGGATCGAAAAGAGCACAAAAGAGGAGGGCCCGAGAAAAGAGAAAACTCGGCAAACGGCAGTCGAGTGGAAATAATCGACGATGGCTGGACGGTGGATAGACAGCAGCAGCCAACCTCTTGAACGTCTGGGGTGCCACAAAGACAGAATTTGACAGAATGTTTGCTCGTCGAGACACAGACCAGGGTCCCTAGCAAACGCGGACGTATCTTGCTTTTGCGGACTGAAGGCCCCTCGTTCGATCTCCATCACGATCGGCCAAGAAACAGGCGCCGATGGGTGTCGCGTGGGGTGTTTCCTGGAAGCAATACTGCAACTCCTTACCGGCGTAAGACTTACTCCTACTAACTACAGGCGTCTTTGCAGAAAGCTCCACAATGCAAGAGCAAGCACACCGACAAGCATTACTAGACAAGAAATACTCGAGGTGCCTACCTTTCGTGCTCTTCACACTTGTCAAGGTACCAGTGCCTGGCGAGCAGAATAACCTATTCTTGATTTCTGTCTTGTTGCAAGACGTGTCTGATAGCTGTGTTTTGTATGGACTAAGATACGTGTAGAGCTATTGGGCTCTATGGAAGAGCCCACGCTGTGCAGTACAGTGCAATACAGTGGGATTATGGACATTTTCAGGCACTGTCACCACTGCGCACAGTGCTGGAGCTGGCCCAGAAAGGCAATCTGCAACCTGTCGCGTCAGCTCTCCAAAAGCTCCAAACTACACGTCTTGGTGCATCACCACTCTGCACCCCGTGCCCACCCTCTCTTCCGCACAACGAGACACAGCCATGGCGGTCAAATCATCAAAGGCGGCATCGGCCAAGTCCGTCGTTCCGCCATCGCCATCATCACCGTCATCGCCCAAAAAGACGGTCGTCTTCTTTCACCCGGACCTCGGCATCGGCGGTGCGGAGCGGCTTGTCGTGGACGCCGCCGTCGGCCTCCAGAACCGCGGCCACCGGGTGGTCATTTTTACGAGCCACTGCGACCCGGCACACTGCTTTGACGAGGTGCGCCCGGGCACGGGAGTGTTGGACGTGCGCGTGCGTGGCGGCAACGTGGTGCCGGCGTCGATCCTCGGCCGCTTTGCCATCCTCTGCGCGATTGCCCGCCAGGTGCATCTGTTGCTGCAGATATGGCTGACGGGAGAGCTGGCGGCGCTGGGCGCCACGGCGTACTTTGTCGACCAGCTGTCGGCCGGACTGCCCTTGCTGCGGAGTCTTGGCAGCGCCTATGGTGGCGCTGCACAACAGACACCAACCACGCCCATCTTCTTCTACTGCCATTTCCCAGACCTGCTCCTGGCCAAGGGCCGGCAGAAGTGGTGGAAGCGGCTGTACCGGGTGCCGTTTGACGCCCTGGAGCAGTGGAGCATGGGCTTCTCCGACGCAGTGGCCGTCAACTCACGGTTTACCAAGTCGGTGGTGACGGCGACGTGGCCGCGGCTGGCGGCCAAGGTCAAGGTGGGCATCGACCCTTTGGTGGCTGAGGACGACAACGGCCTGCGCGTCGTCTACCCGTGCATCGACATCAAGCAGGAGGACGCACTAGAGCAGGAGCGGGCCAGCAACAACAGCAATGACAAGAAGACGAAGCAGAACAGGGACGCGCCCGTCGACCTGTGGCAGGGTCTGCCGTTTGTCCTGAGCATCAACCGTTTTGAGCGCAAAAAGGACATTGGCCTGGCCATCCGTGCGTTTGCCGGTTTGCCCACCGGCACCTCCCCCCAGCGCCTCGTCGTCGCCGGCGGCTACGACAACCGCGTTGCCGAAAACGTCGGCTACCACCGCGAACTCGACGCTCTGGCCACCGAGCTCGGCCTGCGCACCGCCACCGCACGCACCATGGTCACCGCTCTCAGCATCCCCGCCGACGTCCAGGTCTTGTTCCTGCTGTCCGTCCCGTCCGCCCTCAAGTCGCTGCTTCTGCACAGCCCCTCGTGCCGCCTGCTTGTCTACACGCCCGCCAACGAGCACTTTGGCATCGTGCCCCTCGAGGCGATGCTCGCCGGCCTGCCCGTGCTCGCCTGCAACTCCGGCGGGCCCACCGAGACCGTCGTCGAGGGCACCACCGGCTGGCTGCGCTCGGCCGACGACGTGGCCGCCTGGACAGACGTCATGGCCAAGGTCCTGCCGGGCACCGGCATCCCCGGCGCATTGACCGACGCCCAGCGCAAGAAAATGGCCGACGCCGGCCGCACACGCGTGCGCAGCCAGTTTGCCGACACGCAGATGGCCGCGCGGCTGGACGGCATCCTCGACGAGATTGTGGTTCGTGTGGCGGACGGCACGACCACCGCAACGCCGTCTGCATCCATCAGCACCCTCCTCTTTTCTGCTGTGGCGCTCATTGGTGTTCTGCTGGCGCTGGCTGTGGCCGTGCTGAAGAAGATATTCTAACTCGAGTTCGTGGCATGTCGTGGGTGCAGCAGCACTTCACAATTATATAGCAGCTACTTTTGCACAGCTATTCTATGGAGTAATATACCACGTACTAGCATAGGATACGGTTACATCAAGTCACGACAATAGATACCATATTGTACCATCATCCATATAACAACGAGAAGAACATGTTTGAACAGCCGGACCAACACGTCAAAGAATCAGTATCACAAAATATGGCTTCGTGTTTTGGCTAGAATGTTTGAAAATGCGAACAAAAAGTGGCAATGCAAGATATCCGAAAACACCAGCGACAGGATAGCGACAACAAAATGGCTAAAAAACAAGGACCGCAAAAGTACACGTGGGGTGTAGGTACAGTATAAAGAGACAAAGGAGACGAAACAATCAGGAAGAGCAGGAATATGAAGTGAATAACAACAGAGAATAGAAAGGTTTGTATACATGAAAGGTAAAAAGAACATATAAGAAATCTTTGAAGGACAGGGATATACGCAAAGCAAACAGAATGAGTGTGGACATGCAACTAAAATAAAAGACAAAGGGGAAAATCTGGAAATCAGGGACATGCAATCACTCTTCATCAACGGCCCCCATAAAGCCGTTGGCCTTGCTCGACTTCTTGCCCAGCTTCAGCATGCTCAGCCGCTTCCGCACACTGCCCATCTTGGCCTGCCCGGGGCCGTCCACCTCGCTTCCCACACCATTGTTGACGCCCTGACCGTTGCCGGCACTGCTGCTCATGCTCCGCTTGCGGTCCATCGAGGTCAGGTCCGAGCTCTTGCGCGACAGCTCCGCCACCCACTCGCTCGCACCGCTCTTTGGCTTGTTGGCCTCGGCAGGGGCCCGGTTGTTGCTCGTGCTCGTGGTGTAGTAGTTGTTGCTGCCGCTGCTGCCGCTCTTGGTCGGCCGCGGCGTCCCGCTCCCGTTGGTGCTATTATGCCCGTACTGGGCGCCGCCGACAATCGTCGTCTCCATGCTGGGTGTGTACTGTGGCATCGGCGGCGTCTTGTCGCTGCCGTTCGGGCGGAAGAAGCTCCGGCGGTTGTTCGCGGCATTCGCGTTTGCGTTCACGTTCTCCTTGCTCCGGCTGCGGCTGTGCTCGCTCACCGAATCCATCTCGGCGGCACCAACGCTGCTCTTGCGCGACGTCTCGTGAATCGTGCCCTCGCTGTTTGACATGTGGATGCTGTCACGCTTGCGGCTGGTCGTCGCGCCGCCGCCGAGGAACGACAGGCGCGTACCGCGGCCCTGGCGCAGTGCTGCAATCGGCTGCACCGCCGACGCTTCCTCGACGACGGCACCGCCGCTTTCTACGGCGTGACCACCGCTTGGCCTTGGCCCATTGGCTGTGCCCTCCAAAGTGGAAGCCACATCAGGAAGTCTAGGCGTGGCAGACTCAGTCGGGGACGAGCGGGGCCACGTTGGCGATGCGGTCGTGGTCTCGATAACGGCCTGGGGGGTGAATATGGCAATCTCCGGGGCAAACGTTGCCTCAAAGTCTGTAGAACGAACGTATTAATAGGGGAAAAGAGAAAACAGTACATGGCTGGTTAGAGAATACATACACTGCATGAGATCGTCCGCGTGGCTCGACAGGCTGTCATTGGACGACCGAGCCAGCAGTGCCAAACTGCGCTTGATCATCATCGCGTGGTCCACGAGCGCCATCTTGATGGCATTCTCCTGCGGATCCATCTCCGGCGTTTCGTCTTCGTCATCATCCTCGTCGAGCTCGTCGTCGTCGTCGTTGTCGTCGTCTTCACCCTTCTCAGCAACGTCACTGCCCGATTGCTTGCCACGGCGCCCGCCTGTCGGAAGCAGCTCGCGGTAGCTGACCACACTGCTTTCTGACGAGGGATTGACGGAGATGCTGATCGCGTCCAGGAGGAGTTGGGCCGTCTCCGGCGAGGAGTCGCCCTCGGCCACCTTCTTTTCCACCGTCGTCATCTCCGCCGTCTTGCGCAAGATCCTCTCCAGGGCAGTCTCCTTGGCCGACAGTCGCGTTTCCCCCACAGTCACAATCTCGCTGCGCCGCAAAATTGTCGGGAACACCTCCGCCGTCGTGTACGTTGTCTTGTGCACATAGTGTTCTGCGACGGGGCCTGTGGTCTGGCGGCTGAGCGAGGTCGAGAAGACCTGCGGGTGAGAGGAAACCAGATACTCGCGAATGACCTGCGGGACACGGGCCCGCTGGAAGACATGATGTCGCAGGTCGCGGTGCGGGCTAATGGCGGACACCACCAGGAACTGGCCCTCCACAATGTCTTCAATCATGTCCTCCGTCGCCGTCGTTCCGGCACCTGCAATCAGGCCCGAGCCAGCACGAGAACCGCCAGCACCCGGCGCCGACGGCATGACGACAATCTGTGCTGCCGGGTACTGCTCCTGCAGGCGGTCCGTGAAGGCGCTTGTTCGCTCGTTTGGCGATCCCTCGTACACAAACTCCTTGTCGCGCACGTTGGCCGGGAAGCCGAGGCCGCGGAACATGACGCGGAAGTACTTGGGCACGAGGCGGTCGCTCTTGGCGATGGTCTCGTACACGGTCGCAATCGCGCGTTCGGTGCGGGCGAGTTTGGAAAAGTCGTAAATGTTCGTCTCGTACTGCACCTGCAGCTCTTTGTAGGCGGCCAGAGCACTGCTCCATGCCTCGCCCTCTTCAAAGTGCTTGATCATGTCAAAGTATATGCGCTCTTTCCGCTCAAAATGCGATTGCGCTGGGAACGGCGGGTCCGACAACGCCGGTGCCGTACGCAGCGGGTCCCATTCGTACAGCTCGGCATGCAGACGCAGAGCCAGGCCAGCCTCTGCATGGTTGCGCGATGCTGCCTGTAGCGACGCCAGCTGGTGGACGTAACGCACAAACATCTCCTCCTTTTGCATGTCCCGGAGGAACTCCATCAGCCGCAGCCGGTTGATCAGGTGGGACGCCTCGCCCGAGGCAGGTATACCGCTATTGGCGCCACCGGCCGATGCAATTGCGCCGGCTGCCGACGAGCCGGTCACTGCGCCGCCGCCGTCACCACCGTGGACGGCGACCAAGAGATCCAGGAACTCGTCAATGGTAGCAATGAGCTCGCGCAGCGCCGTGTAGAGCGGCTCGTCAGGAACATCGGCAAGAGCTGTGAACCGGGCGAGCAGCTCGCCCACAAACAGCTTTTGCAGAATGCTCTCGGTCAGAGGCTTCGTCTTGAAGTAGTGGTCAAGGTAGTCGATGATCTCAGCCTGGATGATAAACAGGTCCTCGCTCAACGTCCACTCGCTCACAATCATAGTCTGGAGCACCTCGACCGCCATCCGGCGCAGGCCTTCATGCACGCTGAGGCAGAGCTCAACAATGGGGCCGACCAGTGTCGGCACATACTGAACCTGGTAACCGCCCATCTTGCTGAGGCCGTAGCGCTGCTGCTCATCGGCCGTCGCATCCCAGCCGATGGCCTCCCACGTCCGGCGCAGCAGATCCGCGCCGTGCTCACGGACGTCACCTGCAATCTTCCAGACCGCACGCCGTTTCTGCTCTGGGAAAGTCTCGAGCGCGAGCGAGGGGCTGCTGACAAGCATCAGCAGAGTCGTAAAGAGCAGCTTCCATAGCTCCGTGTTGAAGCTCTCGGCATCATCCGGGTCGGGCAGAAAGCTTTCCAGGAGAATCGTGGACAGATATTGCAGCGTACGCATAATCGACTTGTGGTGGAATATGTGGGTGCTCAGCCACGTCGAGGGGAAGGCTTCGCCGCGCAAGATGCTCATGTGGACGCGCAGCGTATTTTCGAGAATGACAGCAAGATCGCCGTCGGCCAATTCGAGCTGCATGCCGCTTGGTGAGTTTGACACAGCAGACAGGATGGCGGACAGTTCCACTAGAGCCTCGTCAAAGACGGGCTGCTGCTGCTGGCGCTGCAGCAGCTTCTGCTGATCAGTGGGCTGCGGCCGTCCATCCAGAGAGTCTTCGGACCCGCTCTCTGGCAACGCGACCGGTCGTGATGCGAAAGGATATTGCGTCGGGAAGAGCAGCGACAGACGCGTTCGTGGAGTTTTGGCTGGTGTGTTGGCGCCGGCGGCAGCAGCGGCAGTTTCGATGGAATGCTGAATGGCCAGGTACGACTCAAGGATCTTTGGTACGTAGTCGGGAATCTCGGGGCCGAGGTGGTCGATCTGGCTAGCAAGGATGGAGCAGCAGAGCCGGACCTGCTCCTTCCATTGCTCCGTAACCTCGTCGCTGTGGCCCCAATGCGGTGCTATCCAGCGAACTGTATTGGCGCTCAGTGCAGATCTCTGTTCCGGGTGAGAGAAAATCTCCAGACGGGAGTAGTTGATGATCAGGACCAGCTTGTACAGTACGAGCTTGCCCTTGACGTTGGCACACGCGTCCATAAAGTCAATGGCAATGTGCAAAATCTCTTCGGTCGTCAACAGATTCGACAGCTCAGGCAGCCATGTGTGGAAGTGCTGGACTGCCAGCGTCTGGCTACCGACGAGAACGGGGGCTGTGTTGCGCATCATGGCCTCGAGGGCCTTGAAGATGCTCTGCAGGTGGCGCGTGAAACCGGGACTCGAGCTGGTGATGCCGATGCCTGCTTCCTTGACTTTTTGCTGGTCGCGCGCGTGTGTGATGAACTTGAGAATATGGCGGACGACCTTGAACGTGGCACGGAGCTTACGCGATATCTGGGGCTCCGTGGGTTTGGCGAGGAGACGGGTAAACGATCGAACGAGACAGGGTGTGGCGAAAGGGTAGTTGAACTTGTTCTCGGCGTAGTGGTCGACAAGCGGACCAACGTTGAAGCGGCGATCGTGGACGATATCAAGAACCCGCACAAGTGCCGTGAAGACGAGGTCCTCGTACTCGTCGTTGCCAGCGTAGTCGACTAAGATGGCAAACAGGGCGTCCAGCACGTCACTGAGCAGCTTCACGACTTCAATCTCGGGAACGAAGATGAGCTGCTGGAGCAAGCTCGGAACGTTTTCTTTGAGGCCTTCGCGCCACTTCAGCAGACCCAGGACAACACGGTCCTGCGAGAAGCGTGTGCTGCACAAGTATGACTCGACGCGGAGCGCAGCCAGCGGGCCAGTGACCTCGGACTGCGCGTCACCACGGCCCTTGGAAGCCCACGGCAGGGAAAGGTAGCCACCACGCCCAGGCGGTGCGTTGGCCGGTGGACGAGGTGCAACGGTATTCTCGTCGACGCGGTACAAGAGAAGAGAGTGAGTACCGTCCCGCACAAATGCTGACTGGTCCCACAGCGGCATGTACGCCACGGCAAATGGAGGGTTGGGCATATCCGCGACGAACATGACCACGTGTGCCGAAGACACGTCCTGTGGCACCAGGGACAGACGCAGAGTCTGTCGCCAGCCTTCGCTTCTCTCCGCCGCCAAGGAGCGCCACGTGCTGAGACCCTCGCCGTTGGAGTAGGGGAAGATGCAGTTGTCGATGCGCTCACCATTGGCGCGGCGCACTTCGAGTGTGACCTGCAGGTTGTTACCGTGCAAGCCGTTGGGAAGCGCTGCCGGGCTTGTGCCATAACGAGACAACTGGACTTGGCGGCTGAGCATAGCATCCTGCAAGGTCACATAAATGTCGGAGCGGGGCTTCGTCGGTGCTCCCGAGAAGCCCATCTTGTTGGTCTTGCCGACACCAGCCAGCAGTGTAGGCGTAGCTCGGATAAGAACATCGGCGTCTTGGTGGTTGAAGGCGCGGAGGTGCACTTGCACGCGCTCAGAGCCGCGCGACTTTTCAAACTGGCCAGACCTGCTGTGCATGAGCTCCTGGATCAACGGATCCCAGTCATCGCCCGTCTGTTGCTTCTCGCCGACGCGGTCACCGGGCGCCCAGATGTTGATCACATGTTCCACCTCGTCGTTTTGCTGCTTCATGATGGCGTTGAGCTTCAGGACACCAACGCCCGTCATCCGATCGGTCGTCATGTAGTGGCCTGCCGAGCCGTCAAATGAACTCCGGCCGGCGCTCTTGGAGGTAGCTGTGCTCGGCGGCTGTGAGTGGCCGTCGCGGCTGGCCGGGGCACCACCGGTTCCTGGGCGGTCCTCGCCTTGTTCGTTCAGCGAGTCGAGTTTCGTGTTGGCCGAGCGGGACAAGGCGGCACGACTGCTCTTGCCGGACCACATCAGACTTCTCCGGACCGACTTGTTCCCACTGGACAGGGGCGGGCGGTTGCCGTCCTTAGGGGCACCACTTCCGCTCATGGGCGCGCCAGCACTGTGGCCGTGCGAACCTGAACCTGAGCGGGAGGCTGGCTTGCCCGAGTGTGGTTGGGCCGCAGTGGAGATTTGCTGCGCCGAACGAACCGCCACAACAAGGAAGAGGTCGGAGTCGAGGGCCGGGGCCTCGCCGATGTCGGCAGACGAGAGGTCGGTAAAGAGAGAGCGCAAGGCGAGGCCCTTGGTCAAATTGTTGATGGAGCCGCCGGGCGGCGTGCTGATGCTAAAGTTTTCAGACAGACGGACGAGGCTGCCGGCCACACGGCCAACGAGGCTGAGCACCAGCGTGGTGTCCTCGGTTGACGCACCCGCGAAGCCCTTGACGTCGACAAGCAAATGATGAAGGGCAGTGGGCTCAACATGCGGCTGTGGGGGCTCGCTGAGCATGCTCATAATGGACTGGAGCTGTGTGATCTCGACCACGGAGTCGTCGCCCGTCAGGATGCGGCCGCGCTGGACGGGGTCCCGCACAATGACCTCGCCGCCGCAGAGCTTGTTGACACGCACGAGATCCCACACGGTCTTTTCACGTAAGATGCCGTACTCCCAGGTCGTCAGCACGTTGTGAAGCAACTGTTGGCGGGCGAGGTTCAGCGACGCAATCAGCTGCGAGAGGATGTCGAGCTTGTGGTACTGGCGGGTGAGGAGGAGCTCGTGTAGGTTGGTGGAGTGCCACTCGCGCAGGCAGGAGGCGATCTCGTCGATCAGCGGCTCGGCTGCTGAGGTCGGCGTCTCGTCGCCAATCTTAAGCATGGGAACGGGTGCTTGTGGGCGCGGTGCGTTTGGGTCGCGCTTGACCGGGACGGAGAGGCGCTCCTGGGACGAAATAGTCGCCATGGAGCGAGCGCGCGAGGACGGGTTGCTGGTGCGGCTGCTCTTCGCATAGCCGTCGGCGGTGCCGTTGATGACGGACAGCTCGAGCTCCTTGAGGGCTTCACGCCTCTTGGCGGGTCGCTGGCCAGCGATGCCACTCTTTGCCGAGTCGCTGCCGTGGGGATCGCCCGTCTGGTTTTCGCCACCTGCGCCATCGTCGCTAACGTCGGCGGCAGTTTTGTCGTTTTCATGTTCGTCGTCTTCGTCGCCAGCTACTGACTCGCCAAGTAGCTCGCGCACTTCGACACAGCTTCTCGGGAAAATGCCGCTGAAAACGCGTGCCTCGAGGGTCTGACCTTTGACAGATGTCAGACCGGCCAGCAAGCTCGGCGGCTTCAGCAGATAGCCACGCAGCCAGCTGCCGTCGGTGGTCTCCTCGATAATGTAGAGCTCATCGCCGATTTCGAGGACGAGGTCTTCGGGGTGGGATGCTGCAAAGGGAAACGTCGCTACTGCGAACGCAATGTGAGGCAATGGTTGCCAGGGCATTGTACCGGCTACGCGTGCATCTATGTCCGCACCGATTCACGGAGCTGCAAGAGGTGGGATTCGTAGATCGCTTTCGTCGGCTGTGTATCGATATGTCGTACCTCAGCGGTCACCGGAGAATTGAAGACGGCGTCGCACAATTGGGGGTACCACAAGGAACGGTCTCATGCACAAGGTCGTAGGGCTGTGGGCGTAGCGATCACGGGCATGGCATAGGAGGTACAGTGCGTCCTGTCTTTTGTCGCGTTAGACAACTGAGGCTGTAGCAGCGGTATGAGACAGCAGCAAATCTGCAAGGTTTGAAACGCAGAGGACACCGCGGTGGAGAGACGATAAAACAGGTGTACAGAGTACAACAAGAGGAAAAGCTTGGACGCTTTCAAGGTGGTGCAAAGGAGTGTCGAGAGCGGCGGACGTACAATAGCTGTAAGAATCGTCGTGGGTATGCGCCGTTAAAGGAGAGCCCGAGGAAAATGCGAGATTGTCGAAATTGTGTCTCAAAATTATGTCTCAATGTCGTTACGTCTCGATGCTGTCGTCGCGAAACTGCAGGTCTGTCAGTACTTTGTGCGCATCGAAACGAAAGAAAAAAAGGAAACCTCGTTCGTCGAGTCCAATTCGGTGGCACTCACGCAAACGGCAAACAACGAACCACCGGCACACTGTGCTGTATCGCCTACAGACAAAAAGTTTCTGGGCCGGCAAAGTACTGTCGCGTTAGCTGGGCGCGTTGTTTAGAGGGCGGGACAGGTGACGACAGGAGGATGGGAGTGCTGGAGGGCTGGGAAAGGGGCGAGGCGGGAGAAAAAAGGCATTGCCACTCACGGGCGACGCTCACAGGGTCGCTAGAAAACCACGAGGAAGTGATCGTCGTGCATCAAATCTGAGAAATGGGCCAAAACCGGGGGTCATTCGAAGTATTGTAACTCGAGGCTGAGGCCGGTCGGTGGAGCAATGGCCAGAGCCAAAACGAAACAGTGAGATTGAGCAGCCGATGCAACGGGACGGCGACACGGTGAGAGGAGACCAGAGGTGACGACCAGGATGCAGAAAAGGCAGATCATAAGAGAGGTGATAATCAAGTCCAAAACGGATGCACACAATTTTCGAAAAAGCTGCAGCGAACTGGGGGCCAGCGACGTGGCGTGGAGAAGCAGGGTCCGTCAACCAGTCGCGCAGCAGCTGGAGTGGGTAAAAAGTTAAATTGATGGCTGCGATCGTGGGTCGGAGACCGTGAAGCAGGTCGACAGGGGCGTCGTTGGTGTGCTGTTGACTTGTGTTTAGGACTCCGATGTGACTACGACGTAGATGCTGTTCTGTTTACCCTTTCTGGATGAGCGAGATGCCGCACCCAGCCCTGGCCGTTCCTTCCCTGAGAACAGAGAACAGAACCCCCGCCCCTGTTCATCGTGTCCTGTCACGGCGCATTCGTGCCTTCCTGATATGCGTCCGCGTCCCCCTGGCACTTTCCCTTTTTCTCACGGCTCCCGTTCACTTCCTGTTAGCTCTTTCCAGTCTGGTTCCCTGGCCTGTCCCGCACTTCAATCAGGGATGGGACTCCTATTGGCTGGCGCTGCCAGGGCAAGAGCCGGGTCCTGGCACTAACGGGCGCCATCACGCTGTCTGCAATGTGGAGCATATTATGGCATCAAACGACGATGTCGTACGTTTACAGATATTGACAACTGTCAAGATGTCTGTATTCCGTCTTCCGTGTTTGCATCACTGGCGCTGCGTTATAATCAACGCTGTGATGTAGCGTGATAATGAGTGAACGGCAGCAGTGTACATGTCCGCGCCCTGGCTAGAAGGAGTCGAAACGATCAGGCGACAGAGCTCTCGTATAAAGGCCGAAAAAGAAGCAGAGAAAAATTCTGCAGCAGGGTCCGAGCCCAGGTTGGCACCGGCTGCATGAGCCGCACAATCACAAAAGTACGGTGCATGGGCACCCATCCCTAGGAAAACTGCACGAGTGCATCAGACAAACCGGACAAATCGGCCGGCCACACATGGCACTGACCTCTGAAGAGGCAAGGGATCGGGCCAGCTACAGTGCAAGCTCTACTCGCTTCGACGGCAGACGAGCAAATCTGCCGAACAGCAATCCGTGGCAGTTGTCGAGTATTCGTCTTGTCCACCTCGCGAGTCGGTCTCCTCCCCATTTTGTTCTTTTTTTTGTCCCTTTTTTTTTCTTTCTCTCGTGTGAGAATCGTCTCAGTTCAGGCCCTTCTTGCGCAACCTTTGTTCTTGTAAACGGCTCGGCTGCACGTTGCTGCAAACACTATCGATCTGCATGCACAACAGCGGCCAATGATGCGGCTTGATCCAGCGAGCTGGGCCAATAAATGGATGTTGTGCGGCGTACGACGCACGACACCTCTGCCGTATTGGCAGGCGTCCGTTGAGGCCCACAAACTCACCGGGCTGCACTGTCGGCGATGTAACGGCTTTCTCAGGGGCATGCAGTAGCTGCAGGGAGCACACGGACCGGCACATGTCAATATCCTGAAGGGAGCTAGCGTATTATGTCATCAAGCGCTGGGTGTGACGTGTCACGTGCTGATATGTCCTATGACGGAATCATCGAATGCCCGCTTATCCTAATATGGGAGCTCCCTTTCACAGGCAGCCTGTTTTCCCGGGAAACCGCCGTCGAGTAAGCAGCTTCTCGACAACACTACGAGCCACCAACAGCTCCAAGCACACGACCTCTCTCGATGGCCATCAACTATCACGTTTGACATTGTTACGTTTCTTCTCCCACACAACGCCGTTTACAAAGAAACGTCTCATCCAACTCGCCAACAAACGCCTTATATTTGGCCCCTCTCCGACAACAAGACTACAGTTGGCCGCCTCGATCCCGAGATACTTTCGATACGTCTTTGACGACGGGTAGCCTGGATAGCAGCATCACGCCGACTGCTGTGCCTTGTGCGGCTTCCATCTAATTGACACTGTACGGGACCGTCGCGTCTCGCTTCCGTCTTCCTCGACACCTACCCTCCCAATCTCGACTCACGTGCACTGGTCACCTCGCCCACAGTACTCTCCATTGGCTGGTGCGCAAAAGCATCCTTTGACGGCATCACAGCATGATCTTCTTGCTCAGCGTGGCCCTCGCGGCCGCCGTGCAGCCGGCAGCGGCTATGCTGGCGTGCGACCGCGTCGTCGCGGACAAGCAGATCTTCGACTTTAGCCCTCTCCGGGGCCCGCACTCCGTCGTCACGACGCAGCACACTCCGCCCACCGAGCAGAATGTTACGTACACGCTGGATCTGTGCGGCCCGCTGAAGCGCAAGGAGGACGTGCCCAAGGGAGAAGAGTGCCCAAACGGAAGCTGGGGTGGGTTCACATCTTTGCTTTTTTTTTTTTATTCTTTGTTGTTTTACTTATACGTGGCTCACGTACTAACGCAACGACAAGCATGCGCGATAAAACGACTACGAGCGGCCGACGGAACGACCAGCATCACACAGGTGATTCCACTGGCCGGCAACCTCGCGGACCACGGCGGCGGCTCGCTCGACCACAAGGCGACGCGCCTCAAGACGGCCGACTCGAACGCGGACGCGCAGCAGGAGGGCGTGCGGCTGGTGCTGCAGGGCGGGCGGTACCCGCTCGACGGCGCCGTCAAGGACCGCCAGAACCAGCGCGTGATTGTGGAGCTGCTGTGCGACAAGGAGCGCACGGGCACCGAGGGCGAGTGGCTGGTGGACGAGTACGAGGGGGCGGCGGGCGGCGGCTCGGCGGAGCCGCCGCAGACGGTGGCGAACGAGACGCTCGTGGATGCGGGCTTCAGCACGCGCGAGGACCACCCCGGCGAGAAGCAGCTGACGCGCGAGGGCGAGAACCCGGCGCTCGTGTTTGGCGGCTACGAGATCCACGACGCCGACGGCGCGTTTGGCACATTGCGGCTGACGTGGTACACCAAGTACGCGTGCGAGAACGCGGCCGACGGGCGGCGCGACCACTGGGGCTTCTTCACGTGGTTTGTGGTCCTGGTGTTTCTGGGCACGGCGGCGTACCTCATCTTTGGCTCCTGGCTCAACTTTAACCGGTATGGCGCGCGCGGCTGGGACCTGCTGCCGCACATCGACACCTTGCGCGACGCGCCGTTCCTGCTCAAGGACTGGGTGCGGAGGCTGATTAACACTCTCCAGGGCAGCGGCAGCCGGGGCGGCTACAGCGCTGTGTGAGCCGTGAGTGTGTGAATTGAAGGGGCTTGTGTTGTATTGGACTGTGCGTTATGTTGATTTGTCTGTATCCACTATGGGTCGTTTTTCCTGTCGATATATGTATTTTGGTCTTTTGGTCATTTGGTCTTCGGTCCTCTGGTCTGCTTGCTGTCCCTTCGTTTTGTTCCATTCGTCTTATATTCTCCTTTGCTCATTGTCTGTTTCATTATTGTTCTTTTTGGCTGTTGCTCGGCATTCATTGGGACATTTCTATCAGGATGGGTTCTTGGAACACGGTTTTTGCATCTTTTGTCTCAGCAACTCAAGACAACCGTTACTTATTATTAAACCACATTGGAATCTTGGCATATTTCGACTCGCGTTACCGCAAGAGGATTGGTGACACAAGCCTCTGTTCAGAGCGTTGTTGACCACAAACGTGTCGACTTGATTTGACCCCGCCAAGTTTTAAGTGCATCGCGCAAAGAAGCTTTTTCGGATTGCTTGTTGCACCTGTCTGACGCCTATCTTCGTCCCGGCGCTATGCGTGCTAGTCGCTATGGCGCAACAGCTGCAGGAACAACGTCATTGGCTGGTCAGCCACTGCGATTCGTTGCTCTCCAACGGAACTGACTTGTTCGCACTGCTGGCGCGCCCGATTGCGGAATTCACACGCCTAGACGGAACAGCACCCCGAGTCAGAGTTTCGTTCTCCGTCGCCTCGATCCGCGAGGCCTGGCTTTATAATCGTCGCTGACCACCCACGGCATCCACGGCACATACGGGCTTTTCTGTTCTTTTTTGGCGCTCCTGCATCCCAAATGCGTCTATCCTGTCTAAAGCCTCTCCCCAGGCAGGTTTCGTCGTTTGTCACTCGCGCATCTTCCCCGCATTGTCGCCAGCTTCGCTTCTACGCAGCACCCGCCATGGCGTCCACCAAGAAGCTCCAGCCGGCCGCCCGCGTCTCTGGCCAGCGGCAAGACGTCTGGACGATTGTCAACGAGGCCGCCGCTGCGTCGCCCAAGCAGCCGATTGTCAACATGGGCCAGGGCTTTTTCGGGTACAACCCGCCCAAGTTTGTGCTGGACGCCGCCAAGGAGGCGCTCGACCGCGTCGAGTGCAACCAGTACAGCCCGACCAAGGGCCGGCCACGCCTCCGCAAGGCCATTGCCGACGCCTACACGCCGTTCTGGGGCCGCCCGCTGAACCCGGAGACCGAGGTGACCGTCACGACGGGCGCCAACGAGGGCATGCTGAGCGCGTTCATGGCCTTTATCGAGCCGGGCGACGAGGTCATTATCTTTGAGCCCTTTTTCGACCAGTACATTAGCAACATCGAGATCCCCGGCGGCAAGATTGTGTACGTGCCGATGCACCCGCCGGCGGACGGCGCCGACCGCACGTCGTCGGCGGGCGAGTGGACGGTCAACTTTGAGGAGCTGGAGCGGGCCGTGACGCCACGCACCAAGATGATTGTCATCAACACGCCGCACAACCCGGTGGGCAAGGTGTTTTCCAAGGACGAGCTGCTCAAGATTGCGGACATCTGCCTCAAGAACCAGATCATCATCCTGTCGGACGAGGTCTACGACCGCCTGTTCTACACGCCGTTTACGCGCATTGCGACGCTGTCGCCCGAGATCGAGAAGCTGACGCTGACGGTCGGCTCAGCCGGCAAGAACTTTTACGCCACGGGCTGGCGGGTTGGTGAGTGGGATGTGATAAGCGGGTGGTTGTCGTGAGAGGTGAACAGGACCTGACTTTTGTAGGCTGGCTCATCGGCCCTCCGGAGCTGCTGCAGCATGTGTCAGCGGCGCACACGCGCATCTGCTACTCATCGGTGTCGCCCCTGCAGGAGGCGTGCGCCATTGGTAACTCTTCCCCTTCCCCGCCACCCACGACGAGAAACATGCTGTACAGCGGCATCTACTGACCACTCACTACCGTAGGCTTCGAAAAGGCCGACGCGGAGGGCTTCTGGGACGACAGCGTCAAGGAAATGAAGGGCAAGCTGGCGCGCTTCAATGAGATCTGGGGCGAGCTCGACATCCCCTACTCGGAGCCCGAGGGCGGCTACTTTGTGCTGGCCAACCTCAGCAAGGTCAAGCTGCCGGCCGACTATCCCTTCCCGCCGCACGTCGCCAGCCGGCCGCGCGACTTCCAGCTGTGCTGGTTCCTGATCCAGGAGCTGGGCGTGGCCGCCATCCCGCCGACCGAGTTTTACACCGAGGCCAACGCGAACATTGTGGAGGACTACCTGCGGTTTGCCGTGTGCAAGCCGGACGACGTGCTGGAGACGGCCAAGGAGCGTCTGCGCGGTCTGAAGAAGTTTATTCAGTAGTGGAAGACAGCAAGACGGCAAGTACAAAGAGAAGGAACATATCGAAGAGAAAAACGACAACAATATACAGTCGGCGCGCAGGTGCGCGTCCACATATAGAATTCCGCAACCATTCCGCAGCTTTGTTGATCAAATTAGAGACACCGTCAACCAGCCCTCCTGTGACATCATTGCCCCTTCCTGTTCCCCTTTTCCTCCTGCGATACGATGTTTACTTGAAGCATGAAAAGAGGGCCGAGAACGGGTTGGACGCTGTGCCCGGCTTTGTGGCCGGTCTGGCGACCGTCGCCTCCTTGGCCTCTGATGTCGACGCAGACGACGCCGCCTTCTTGTCCTTGGGGATGTGGATGCTCTTTGTGTACGCATACGACAGCAGGCCCTGCCTGCCCATCTCGCCGCCGAAGCCGCTGTCCTTGAAGCCGCCGAACCACGCGCGCACATTCGGCTGTTCGCTCGCGTTGATCCACACGGACCCGGCCTCCAGCCGGTCGGCCAGGCGGCGCGCCTTGGCCACGTCGGTCGAGTAGACGCTCGCGCCGAGTCCTGCATTCGCAAGGTTGGCCCGCGCCACCACCTCGTCGTCCGTCGTCCACTTGAGCACGGGGATGATGGGCCCAAACTGCTCCTCGCGCACCAGCAGCGAGTCGTCGGCCGGCTCGGCCACGACCGTCGGCTGGATCCAGAAGCCGTTGCCCGCGAGCACCTCGCCACCCGCCACAATCTTGCCGCCGCCTGTGTCGGCCTTGGCATCCTCCAAAATGCTGCGCACAATGTCGTACTGCATCTTGTTGGAGACGGGGCCAAAGACGGTCGGCACGCTGTCGTCGCCCCGGCGCGCGTCGTCGGTGGCATCGGCTGCGGGCACGGCCGGCGCGTAGTTCTTGTTGGTCTCGGCGACAAACTTGGCCAAGAACGCGTCGTAGATGGACGCGTGCACGTACACGCGCTTGGTGGCCACACACATCTGGCCCGCGTTGAAGAAGGCGCCCCCGACGGTCTGCGCCACCACGGTGTCCAGACGGCCCGGCTCGTCGGCGACGTCGGCAAACACGATGGCGGCGTCGTTGCCCGCGAGCTCGAGCGTCACCTTCTTCAGCGTCTGTGCACAGCTGGCCATGACGCGCTTGCCCGTGGCAATGGTGCCCGTGAAGCTGATCTTGTGGATGCCGGCGTGCTGGGTCATGCGGGCGCCCAGGTCCGCGCCGCCGTTCACGGCCTGCAGCACGCCCCTGGGCAGCAGCTCGATGCACAGCTCGATCCAGCGCAGCACGGTGTAGGGCGTAAAGGGGCTGGGCTTGACAATCACGCAGTTGCCGGTGATGAGCGCCGAGATCACCTTGAGGTTGCAGAGGATCAGGGGGAAGTTCCACGGGCAGATGGCGCCGACGACGCCCAGGGGCGGGTGCGTGGCCAGGATCTGCACGTCGTCGTCCTCGTACTGCACCTCGTCCTCGAGGCCCGTGGTCGAGTAGTACATGGTCTGGTCGATCGTGTTGGTGATTTCGACGGCCGCGACGATTTTCTGTCTGGGTCAGTCCCGCGCAACGCCCCGCCGACCGCTCACGCCACGGCAGCAACCTACCGACTTGCCCGTCTCGCGCCGCAGGATGTCCGTCAGCTCGTCCTCGTGCGCCTTGATCTGGTCGGCTATGCGCACAAGCAGCTTTTGCCTCTCAGCCAGTGTCGTCTGCGACCAGGACGAGAACGCCGCGTTGGCCGACGCAATGGCGTCGTCGAGGTCCTGCGTCGTGGCAATGGGGCATGGCCAGAGCTCCTCTTCGTTTCGCGGGTCGACGCTGTGGTGCGTCTGGGCAGCGCCGTCAGTGGTAGCGGCAGCCGGCCGGCGCGCGCCGTCGACGATATTGAAGAAGGAGTATTCGGGGATTGTCATTTTGGCGGACAGTTGTATTAGAAGTGCTGTGCAGAGCAAGGCTGTTGATAATAGCGAAAATATGAAAATAAAAATAAAATAAAAATAAAATAGGCACTACTATGGTGTCAACGGGTCGATACTTCAAGGACAAAATGACAACGGAAGAAAAACAGAAAAACAGAAAGGAGTAAATCACAAGGTTACAACGGCAAAAAGATATACAGGAAATGATGGACGATGTATCGAAACGGAAGAGACTCGGGAACTAAATCAAAATGAGATGCAGCTTCAGACGACTCTTTAACCGGGCACGAGCCGTTTCTACATTACCGTTCTGTCCACTTCCTTATCCATTTGCTCCTGATTCATCCCATTTCTGTTAATGTTTAATGTTCCGCCCGTCCGCAGAACCATCGGGTGGAAACACTCGACACGGCAGCAGACATCTTGAGCGCACCCACCCTCGCCTGTTCAGCCTTTCGCTCTTCCTATCACAATCAATGCCGCTCCTACGCCCAGCTTGAGTCGCCTAAGTAGTATGTGATGTGCAGTTACTTTTCGCTCACAGAGACATGGAATAATCGAGCAGCGTCGGGGCGTCAATTCGGTGGTTTAGCTCTCCTTTCCTTTTCTTGCCCACCGGATTTACTGGTTTTCTTTGGTCGACGGAGCACAATAGAGCGAACCGGGCAAGGTTGCAGTTTGGGCTACATGCAGACGGGCGGCACAGCAACTTCGACACGTTATACAGCGTTCAGCGAGTTGAATAATGCCAAAAGAATGGCACAAAATGAGCGACGACTAAACGAAAGAAATGAGCATAATTAGAGGAGACTTTTTGACTTCTTACCGGAGAATTAAAAAAAAAAAAAAAAAAAAAAAAAAAAAGACCAGGCCTGTCTCATAGAACAGCAAGCGGCTCATGATGCCGTTCTATTTTAATAACGGGAGTTTCTAGAACAAGGATGATATACGGCAAAGGAAGATGGTTAAAAGTATGTGACAGGAGGAGGGGTATCCATTAAATGAGTAGAGCAATACGACGTACAATGCAACCAATACCATGCTATGGATACATGCCAACCGGAGAGAAGAGTCTCGTTCCTCCTGACGAATCCTGAAATTCTAAAACGCTAGTCGTTAAAATGCACAAAATAAAATGCCAGATTCCAATCCAACGCTCTTTGCAGCCATTTACAGCAAATCAACCACGACGCCACAACAATGAGGAGGGAAAACGTGAGAGAAAACACCGCTCGTCCAAGACGCCAACAAACACTTTTAGGGCTGCCGTGGACGGCTCATGGCTGGCGATTTCCAGAGTCGAGTGCCCGCACAATACCGTACGACGCACCCGCGGCCAGCGCACCGATAAACAGCGTCTGCAGCGCGCCCCAGACGCCGGCACGGCGGCAGTGCACCGTGATGATCGTCTTGACGTAGCCAAAGGTCAGCAGGATGGCCGCCGTGACGACAATGGAGACCATCAGCGCGTCGCCCGTGCGGGCCATCAAAAAATACGGGATCATGGGGATCAGGCCGCCGACAAAGTAGCTCATGCCCATCGTCAGCGCGGACAGCCACGCGCGGCTGACCTCGGGGCACTCCAGGCGCAGCTCAAAGTGCATCATGAAGCGCACCCACATCTCCGGGTTCGTGCACAGCTCGTTGACGAGCGGCGTGGCCGCCTCGTGGCTGATGTGGTACGCGGCCAGGATGTCGTAGATCTCCTGGCGCTCGACGGCCGGCGTCTTCCGGATCTCGTCCCACTCGCGGGCCTCCTCGCTGTGGTAGTGCTCCTTCTCCGTCGCCGCCGCCAGGTACGCGCCGAGGCCCATGCTGATGGCGCCCGAGAACAGCTCCGCCAGGCCGCCCATGACAACGAGGCGCGTGTCGCCGAGGCTGGACAGGCCGGCCGTCAGCGCAAAGGGCACGGTCAGGCCGTCGGCGAAGCCAATGATAATGTCGCGCACAATGGCATTGTAGTCCGTGTGGCGCTCCGAGTGCGACGAGCTGCGGGACGACACACGCGTCAGGCTGCTGTCGGAGCGGCGCTCAATCAACGGGTCGACTTCGGAAGCCATGGTGATGGTTGTTGAGGACATGTGGCGGTGGTGTGTGAGGGCGTGAGGGTGTATATGTGAGGGCGAGAGCTGTGTTACTGACGCGTCGTGCGGAGAGCGGTGGTGCACGACAATAAATGGCTGGCGAAACAGAAGGATGGCGACAGGGCACAAGGGGCGAATATGGCGGATGGTTGTGTTGAGAAAACTCACACAAGGCAATATGACGAAACAGGAAGGTACGCTAGCCACTAACACAAAGGCAACTGGCAAGAGAGAGCAGCCAGAGAGATGTGACAGATCGGATGGAATGGACTCTGGTTTAATACTTTTCCCTGGATATGTGATAGCCAGGGCGTCCGCAGCGTCCCCGCTTACTTTGTCTATTTTCTTACTTTTCATGTCTCCATTTTGCATTGAAAATCCATTCTTGGACCCTCAGCTGGCCTCTCCCTTGTTGGTCGCTCTTTCCTTCCACGCCAAATTTGGCGACAGAGGCGAGATCGTACACGATCCACCAGCCAATCACAGCGCATTCATTACAAAGTCACGCTGCTCTGGCCAATCACAGCAGCGTCATTTGATCGACAGATCCAGGGCACATCGCCAAATCAAAACGTTGACACCGTAAAAGTACTGTTCACTTGCAACAACGGGCTGGTGATTGGCTCGGGGGTTGGCATCTGGCCATCCTTGCGCACCGTTGCCCCGTTCGTAACCCCGAATAATTTGACAAGAGGAAAAAGGAACGGGCAAAGAAGTGAGAAAACAGGATGGGCATACGTCATCAGGCAAAAGAACGATCGCTTGCCTACTGGCAGTAAACACCGAACGAACTGATGGCAACTGATACTCACGACATGTCCGACATCTCGGCATCAAGACTCTTGTCTCCGAGCACAAGGCAACAGGGTTGCAAAGCTGTCTAGACGAGGATCAAAGTCTATTATGCACATGGTCATGATGCTAGCAAGAAATCAAAGAAAACCAACCTCGTACTAAAAGTCTGTGTCATAAAACCAAAAAAAAGAAAGAAAAAATCTCGCAAACATAAACCGTAACCGTAAATATCTTTCCTTTTTTATGCGCCAAACGCTCCATCCGCCATGATTGTATACGTCGCGTTTCTCGTGTCTCGCGTCTCTTATCTCACGCCTCACGCCTCACGCCTCACTTCTGGCTGGCAGCAATGGCCTGGTCAAGCAGGCCCAAGCCCTCCTGGATCTCGGCCTCGGAGATGTTCAACGGCGGCACGAAGCGCAGCGTGTTGGTGCCACACGAGATCACCAGCAGACCGCGTTCGCGCGCCGCGGCAATGATCGGGTTTGGGTCGACCGCCAGCTGCGCACCCAGAATCAGGCCCCGGCCGCGGATCTCCGTGATGATGGCCGGGTACTTGTCGCGCAGCTGCTGCAGGCCGCGCACAAACACGGCGCCCTTGGCCACGACGTCGCCCTGCAGCGCCGGGTCGCTGAGGCGTGCCAGCACGTGGTAGGCCACGCGGCACGCCAGCGGGTTGCCGCCAAAGGTCGTGCCGTGGTCGCCCATCTGGATGGCGTCGGCCACGGCGCCGCTGACGAGCGTCGCACCGATGGGGAAGCCGTTGCCGAGCGCCTTGGCCGTCGTCACCATGTCCGGGTGGGCCTCCTTGGGCAGGTGCGCGTGCGCCCAGAGCGTGCCGCCCGTGCGCGCCAGCCCGCACTGGATCTCGTCGTGGATCAGCACGGCGCCCACGGCACGGCACCGACGGGCCAGGGCCACCATAAACTCCGCCGTGCCGACGTGGACGCCGCCCTCGCCCTGGATCGGCTCGACAATCACCGCGCACGTCTGGGGCGTGACGAGCGCCTCGAGCACGGCCGGGTCGGCGTCGTTGAACGTGCCGCAGCGGAAGCCGGGCACCATGGGCGCAAAGGGCGTCTGGTACTTGGGGTTGTGCGTCGCCGACAGGCTGCCCATGGTGCGGCCGTGGAAGGCGCCCGAGAAGGACACAATCTCGGTCTGCCGGCCCGACGGGTCCCGCACCTTGCCGACCTTGCGCGCAAACTTGATGGCGGCCTCGTTGGCCTCGCTGCCCGAGTTGGCAACGAACACGGCCTTGACGGGGTCGTAGGCCATGCCGCCGGACTTGGCCGTCTCCTCCACCAGCTGCTTGGACAGCGTGCCCGTCCAGATGTTGTGGTACAGGTTGGACGCGTGCATCAGCGTGCTGGCCTGGTCCGCAATCACGCGCGTAATCTCCGGGTCGCAGTGGCCGAGGCCGTTCACCGCAATGCCCGCCGTCAGGTCCAAGTACTTGTTGCCCTCCAGGTCCCACAGGTAGGTGCCGGCCCCTCGTTCAAACACGGGGGCGGGCCGCGAGTACGTCGCCACCATGTACGGATCGCTTTGGGCGACAATATCCGGGCTGTGCAAGCCTTCGACGACCTCCTCGCGCTCGAGCACGGCCGTCTGTGTCGGGGCAGCAGCCATCCGCCAGACAGAGGTGGACGACATGGTGCGCACCGCCGGCCGGGCCACCATCCGGGCAGCACTCCGTCCGACGGCCGCCGAGGTCACGGCACGCTTGGCCGCGTTCAGGGCTGGTGTCCGCCAGGCCATTTTGCTGTGAAAAATCAGAGTGTCGGGGTCGTTTGCCGTGGCGGTGAGTCAATTGGAAAACCCCGGAACACGAATGAAAAAGGGGAGAGAAAATGCCAAAACAAATGCAGCCAGAGTGACTCGATATGGCAATATGAGGTATATGAGCAAAATCTCGTAGCCGTGGCCGACCTGTGCCGTTATCGATAAGCGCCAAAGTGAGTCAAGAAAAGTTTTGGTTTTTATGAGGTTCAGTGGGTTCAGTGGGGTTCATGGGTCCGACGTCGGGTCGGAGGTGCTAACGCTTAAGGGACGGAAGGGCCTGTCTGGGGAAGGAAGGAGCGTTCGGCCAGGCCCAAGCGCCACGAGGCTGGCAATTCGAGACGACAGTCAGGACGGGATCCCAGGAAGATTCATAGGATTGACGGGTATTTAGTGTTTTGTCTAATGGAGATGATGTCTTTTTTGTTGTTTTATTTTCGTTGTATATTGCATTCTACTTACGTAGACTATTGTTGTGACGTGTCTTCTCTCCTAAGTTTGTCTCACGTTTTGTTACTTTCATTTTCTCTTTTTTTTATTATGTTGATTTGATCGTATCTGATACATAGAATGCATCCCAACCTGATTCTCCTCCCAGGCCACTTACAACGCTCCATCAGAAAGGAAAGTAGTGCCGGTGGTGAATTGACCGTCTCTCGTCTGTGCTACTCCGTAAATCTGGTGCAAATGGCGGCTGTGACCACAGTTATCTTCGCGCCGCACAAGCACCGGCTACCTGCTGCCTGTTCTGTGCATTCAAATTGTCCTCTGCTCCATTCAACGCCTTGGCTGAGAGCGCTGTGCCCTGTTTCATGCGCTCCACCTGTACGCTGGCAACAATATGCTGCCAAGTCCGGGCCGGCTGCATCAAAACGAGGGGTTTGTCGCTTGGAGTTCGCTTGCAGCAGCGCGCACAGGCTCCAGGGTGAAAAAAAAGGGAAATACGAACTGTCGATACGAGGTTGGGCCAGACGGAGACCCTTTTAAAAGCTCGCTCTGAAAAGCTGGCTGGCCAGCCAGACTGTAAGGTGATCTGCAGGGCTTACACGGCTGCCCCACTTCGCTGCACACCATCCTCGATGTTTCCTTCCTCGCTGGCACGTCTGGGCCCTGGCTCCTTCTCTCTTTGAGAACAGCACGGCGGAAGGACAATCGACGCCAAAATAGAAAGAGCGAACGACAAACACAAAAGGGAAGGAGAGGGGATAGAGCCGGAAAACAAAAATAACTAAAAACACAAAAACACAAAAACACAAGAAACAAAACGATCACAGCACACAAAACTGGCATGGCCTGCACATGTGTGGCCACCCACCACCTCCTCAGACCCTGGCGCGGCGACTTGACTTGGGCGTCTGGGCCTCTTGAGGTTCTCGACATTCTGGACCAGCTCTGCCCGCCTCAATCTGCAGGGGTCTGCCTACTGTCACCCACCTCGAAAACTGCGTTCCCGCACTCCCGTCCGTTCTTTGTCGCGGCCTTCCTTGTGTGCTCTGCTTTATTGCCGCAAGTATCTTAGCTTTCCCAACGGCGGTTTGTCCATTTGTTGCAACTAGCAACCTTACCTTACTATTTCACCCCCAACAGTCGCCTTACTATCCCGCCTCCTTTACCTTGCCACCCTCCACATACTCCGCATCATCCACCACCACGCCCCGGGTCGTCCTTATCCGCGTTCCCCCCGCGAACCTTCGCGGCCTACGGAGTATTTCCCCCCCTAGCATTTTGCCGCATCTTGCAATGGCGGACGATCACTCGGCCGGCGACGCCGCCGTGGGCACGGAGGAGTCCAAATCCGCCGCGGCTGCGATCGATACCAAAACCATCGCTGCGAACCGGAAGGCCTATCTGCTCAGCCTGGTTCCGGACCTGACTCTCGACGAGATCTGGATGCTGCAAGAACGCCTTGCCAAGCTCGACCTACGGACCGACATCTTTGCCCGCCTGCCGCCGGAGCTGCAGTTTATGGTGGCCGACAGCCTGGGCCCGGCCGACCTGGGCTGCTGTTTGCACGTGTCGTCCATGTGGCGGAGCGCCTTCTTGCACGAGTCCATGCGCAAGGACCTCGCACGGCGGTGCTTCCCGTCGTTGCTGGAATACGTCGATGCCGTGCGGGCGGAGATGGCCAAGGCGGGCACCGACGGAGCCGTTGCACGACGTGACGAGACCACCGAACGGACTGAGAGCACCGGAGACTCCAACGACACCAAGAGCGCCGACGACGCGGAAGGGACCGACACCGTCGACAACACCGGAGCGGCCGAGGGCCAAAGCGAAAGGGACCACAACGCCCACGTCGACCTGATATTTTCCGAAACGGCACGCAAGTACGCGCTTCGGGCGCTCGGTCGCTTCCGATATGTGTTCCGCCACTGCCGGACGCCGCCGTTTACAGTGGCAGAAAAGGCGGCCGCCAGGGTAGCAGGGAAGCCGGTGAGCGAAATCACGGCGAGCGAGTCGACATGGCTGGACCAAGGACGCCCGCTCGCTCGACGGAGAAACAAAAGACGGCAACGGCAGCAGCAACAACAACAGCAACAACAACAGCAACAACCGGAGCCAAGCTACGGAATGGTGCATGCCGAGGCGGTACGACGGGGATGGCAGCCGCCACGGCCGCACGACCTCTTGCAGAACCGGGCGGATCCAGCCCTCGATCTGCACAGTGACGAAGACGACGAGGACGACGAAGACGACGGCGTTGTCTCGTTTCACGGGGCAGACTACGCATACGGTCGACTTGCATGGCAATGCCTGCGGAACAACGACACGTGGTTTCTTGTGGATGACTTGCGTGATGGGCGGCGGCTCCCTCTCTGCGTGCCAAACGACCACCGGCGAGGCGATTCGTTCTTGCTCGTTGGCTTTGGCGACGAATTGCTGCTGGCGGCGTCAGGAAACCGCATGTGCGTTGACCTTGACATGTGATCTCCAAAACCCCCCGTATACCGTGAACCGCTTCGTACTGACGCCTCGCAGACTCGCCTGGAACTTCGTCACCGGCGAACAACAAGACAAGCAGCTTCCAGCACAGCTGGACACCGTGCAGACGCTTGGCAAGCGCACCTGCATCTTAGCGGACGGCCACGTGTACTTTTGGGAGTTTGGCGGCATGCTCCGCGAGGTCGATATGAGTGGCCTGGACGAGAAGCACCGGCAGCCCGACGTCGACGGCCGCCTGCCGAGCTTTTTCATCCTCGACCCTGTCAACGAAGCCGTCTTTTACCTGGGCAACTTTGAGCTCGACGGGGGCCAGATGGGCCGCAACGGCAAGCTCAGCTTCCACCTGCACATGTTTGACGACCTCCGCTACAAGGAAACCTTCTCCGACCACATCCACTTTGACAACTACGCCTTCCCCCGCTGCCTCATCGAGGCCACCGTGCGCCGCAACGCGCGCGGGCTGTACTCCCTGGCGTCGTGGCGGGCAGGCTCCGGCGCGCCAGGCCCTACGCGCAGTGTGTCGACCGGCGAGGTCGTCGGCGTGGCATCACTCGCGTTCAACATCTACACAAAAACGTTTTCGCTGTCCTTTTTCAACCTGCCACCCGCGACACCGGCCGCCGGCCGCGAGGGCGCGCAGCTGATTCGCATACACATCTGGAACGACCAGGTCATCACCATTGTCGACCGATACCGCGACGCGCCGCAGGGCAAAGTGCTCCGCTCCAAGCCGCTGCTCTTTGCGTTCGACGACGAGTACAGCGAAGCCGCGCGCTGTTCGGCGGCGAAGCCGTTCTCGAAAGTGCCCTTGTATACGTCAAAGGTGGACGACGAGGATGACATGGACGAGTTTGAAAGCAACAGCAAAAGCCAAGACGCTACGGGTGCTACGAGTGCTACGAGTGCTACGAGTGCTACGAGTGCTACGAGTGCTACGAGTGCTGCGAGTGCACGACCACCACCAGCGCATTGCAACACGCACGTCAAGCCCGAGCTCCGGCAGCAGGTGCGCTTCGACGATCTGGCCCCAGGGACCCCCGGCCAGTGGCTGCAGGACGACGACGACTGGACCAAGAACAATTGTCTGCTGCGGTTCGCGCTCGACGTGGACTCGTCGCCGTCCCGTGCGGACCCCTACCGGCCGGCACACATCGGCTCGTATTTCATGCAGGGCGACGACGACTTTCTCGTGTTCCGGCACGACAACGAATACACCATCTGGAGCTTCCGCGACGACATCGTGCACAGCGTCGCACATTCGGATGAGACTGCGGGCGGTGCCGTCACCACGGGCGACGCTTCTGCAAGCTGACCAACATTATCGGTGCTTGGAAAGCTAAGAAATGCTGTCAAAATAGTCGTTGCCCATCCCATTGATCGCCGCACAACGTCGCGTTGGTCCGGACGGTGCGCCAAAAGGCGGGCCTCCACTGTCCCGGGGGAAGACGCGGTGAGTCCGGCTGTGTGGCTGCAATCATGGTTGGATAACGACGGCAGCAGACGAGCATGTATGGAATCCAAGACGGTCTCAGGTGTCACAGCAGCTGGACACTGAGGGGAAGCCTGTATTTATTTTACAGCCCCTCATTTGGGCGCCAGTGTCGTCGTATGCTGCGCAGTAGCCGAGGCCCTGGCCACTGTAGGGAGAAGGACTTCAGGCCAGAAAGGGCTGGGGGCATGGAGATTGGCTATTCTGGGGACAGCACGTCGCACATGGGGCCAAAGGGCGCCTCTTACAGGCCCAAAGCTGCTTCCTGCCACGGGCGTCAACCGGGTAATGAGAGACCGCCGCGCCTTGCCTCGTGTGTTTGGCGGCAAGCTAGGCCGTGGCAAGAGGCAAAACAGAGGAAACGGCCACTGAAAGAGCGAGCCTGGCGGCGCTGGCAGCGCCTTCCCCTTACGCTAGAAACCTGCAACATACGGAGCCCGTTCACCCGAATCCACCCGAGATAAAAAATAGGAGTTTTCAGCCAATCAGCACGCGCGGAAATATGCGATGCGGGTCCACCAGACACAATTTTTGCAGTGGCTGTCCCGGCGCTAGCGGGCCAAGGTGGGAGAGGAAACAAGGCAGAGTGGCACAGACCGGCAGGAGCGAACGGCTCAGGTTGCCCAAACAGCGAGACAATACAGGTAGTGCTCGGGTACCTTTCAGGGGTCTCAGATGCTCAGAGGGAAGGCACGCCCGAAACAGCGAGCACGCCAAATTTTTCGAAAGCAACGAAAAATAGTAATAAAAATAAAAATAAAAATAAAAAATATTCGCCGGGAAAAAGGCCTCACAGATTTTCGACTCCCTCTCGTTTCTCTTTCTCCCCTCCCTCCCCTTCTCTCTTCCTCCGTCTCCCTCCTCTCGCGACAGCAACACTAATCTTATTCGCAAAACCTCGTCTTTGCGAACATCTACTCCACTCCTTCTTTTTTTTGTTTGTTGCTTATCCCGCACACCGCCTCTGTCTCTCACATTCACAAAATGGCTGCTGCTGCTGAGAAGACCGGCATCGTCGCCCCGACGGCCGTTGCGCCGAAGACCGGCCTTGCCCTGTACTCCCGCTTCGCCCTGGCCGGCGCTGTCTGCTGTTCCGTCACACACGGTGCCCTGACGCCCGTCGATGTGTAAGTTGCGCCTGCTCTGCCGCCCCGGATGGCTGATGAGGACGGCGTGGCGCGCCTTTTCGGAGATGTGCCGCATCACCGTGGCCTAATCTCCGGTGGCATGGGAGGAGCCACGACAGACATGCCCATCGCCTGATGCGTATCGCGCTCGCCTCTCGTCTTGTCACGTTCTGTCACGTTCTGTCACTAACCCCCTCTCAACAGCGTCAAGACCCGCATCCAGCTCGAGCCGACTGTCTACAACAAGGGCATGATTGGCGGCTTCCGCCAGGTCATCCAGAACGAGGGCGCCGGCGCCCTGCTGACTGGTATTGGCCCGACCTTTGCCGGCTACTTTTTGCAGGGTGCCTTCAAGTTTGGTGGGTATGAGTTCTTCAAGAAGCAGCACATCGACTACCTCGGCCTCGAGACGGCCTCCAAGTACCGCACCGCCGTCTACCTGGCCTCGTCTGCCGCCGCCGAGTTCTTCGCCGACATTGCCCTGTGCCCCCTGGAGGCCACCCGCATCCGTCTTGTCTCGCAGCCCACGTACGCCAGCGGCCTGATCTCCGGTTTCTCCAAGATGCTGTCCACGGAGGGCATTGGCGCGTTCTACGCCGGCTTCGGCCCCATTCTGTTCAAGCAGGTCCCCTACACCATGTCCAAGTTTGTCGTCTTCGAGAAGGTCTCCGAGGCCATCTTCAACATCTACCCCAAGAACACCCTGTCCGACGCCAGCCAGACCGCTGTCAACCTGGGCTCTGGCCTGATTGCCGGCTTCGCCGCCGCCATTGTCTCGCAGCCCGCCGACACCATGCTCTCCAAGATCAACAAGACCCCCGGCCTGCCCGGCGAGGGCACCACCTCGCGCCTGATCAAGATCGCCAAGGAGCTGGGTCTGCGCGGCTCGTACTCTGGTATTGGTGCCCGTCTGTTCATGGTCGGCACCCTGACCGCCGGCCAGTTCGCCATCTACGGTATGTCCCCACGATTGCAGTGTCCCGCGTGTCCATGTGCCACCGGATTAGACAAACACGAACGAGATACTAACAATCCTTGCAGGTGACCTGAAGAAGGCTCTCGGCGCCACTGGCGGTGTTGAGATCTCCAAGTAAACGGAGACCCAGCGCTTGTTGGTTGCGTCAAGAAGCTTGGGCGAGGGGGCGACCTTGGTTGGGTTAAGAGAGGTATTGATGTGGATAGACACTGAGGGGACGAATAGAGATGGACATACGGTGGCCCGTGGTGGAACGTTGCCGCTTGCGTTTGTAAAAGTAGCCAAAGACTCTTTTTTTTTCCCTTTTTTTTTACATCTACCTCGAGAAATAGAATTTCCGGTTTAATTTTTGACAAAACAAAATACTGGAGAGTTATGACAGGGCGGCGTCCCGGGGAAGGAAGTCGAACGGCTTTATATACGATGGATGGACAACATACAAGCAAAATGGAGAAGTACAACCGCTGTTTCTACAAGGACGCAAGTTTTACATCACAATTATACACAACACGACGGATTACGGTACGCAAATACAAAATCATTTACTCTTGAAGTACGTCAAAATATTTGATATCTTCGGTCCGCAGATGGCCAGCCGTAAACTACATACACTATGTAAAGGAAATTCATCAGGCGGTTCGTAAATAAGGGTCGAATGCAAAGAAACGGGATGACAGGGTAAAGTAAAATGATGAGAAAAAAAAAGAGAAAGACACCAAGCAAAATTGCAATGTATATACCAAACTCACAGCCGACAGCTGTTCCAACTTTCAATCCTTGTCCACTTACTCCTTGTTCTGCACACGGCGCAGCCAGTCGTCGTTGACACGCATGCCGTCCACGACGACGACACCACGGCCACGGCCAACACGGTCCTCCCGCTCCCACCACTTTTGCGCTGCGGCAGCATCGCCGGCCGGCTTCTCGGCCTCCGATTCGCTGTCGGCCAGGCCGCCGTGGCCGTTGTCGGCCCCGACAACGACAATAATGTCGTTGCGGAACCAGTTCTGGATTTGGTTGACGGTGGCGCCGTTGTCGCCGGTCAGAGACTCTTGCAGGTACACGACGTCGGGCTCGAGGAGGTGGAGGATGTGGGCGTGGCCGTTGGGCGACGTGAAGGGAATAATCTCCGAGTCCTTCTCGACAAGCGCGAGAGCCTGCGAGTGGAGGGCGTTGTAGGCCACGCTGGCCGACGGAGCCTTGGCCTCCTGCTTGGGCGACTGAGCAGCGTCAGCAGCGATGTTGGAGAAGGAGGAGCTCAGCGAGTTGGGCTGCTGGAAGCTGGACGCCCCCGGGTCGAGCAAGGCGCTGTCCTTGAGACCGGGCGCGTAGACGAGCACGAATATCCGTGTGCGCGAGAAGTCCGTCTGGCGGGGAATGTACGAGAGGATGGACTGGAGGAAAGACTTGGTTAGTAAAGGGAAAACGAGGCGAGGATTTTGAAATGGCTCAGGCAGCACTCACAGCATGCTCGTGGAAGCCGTCTTCGTCGACGTCCAGGTCGTGGGCTGCCGACACGACGATAGCGACCGTCTTGCGCTTCCGGCCAACGACGTCCTTGGCGAAGGGCGCTGCAACCGACGACGCAGCAGCAGCGGCGGCGGCCGGACGCTCATGGCGCGCATCGGCTTCCTCAGACCAGGTCTCATGGTCGGCATACGCGTCCTTGTCGCCCTCGCGGATCGACGCAAGAGCGCCACCCACCGCTGCCGACGCAGCCGAGATGCCGGCCGTCACAGCCTTGCTGGCATTGCCAACCCAGTGCTGCGGGCTGCCCGTGCGGTTCAGCGCATCTGTCATGCGCGCACCCCAGCCGCTACCGGGCGCATTGGGGACGCCGCCGACGTAGGAGCCGGAGGCATCGGCCAGGTTGATGGTGTTCCCAACGGCGCTGCCCGGCGGCTGCGGCGTCGAGACGCCGTACGGCGGGTTGTCGCCGTAGTCGGCGTGGTCGTAGTCGACGTCGCCGTATGGCCGCTGCTGGTTGCTTGGACGGCCAGAGCCTTGGTTGGGGCCACTGCCGTTGCCGCCGCTCATGAAGCCGCTGTGCTCGCCCTCCTCGTCCTCGTAGTCGTCGTCGTGGTTACGCTGGCTCCAAGCCCACGCAGCGATGCCGGCGGTCGCAATGGTCAGCGTTAGGACGAGCGGCACCCAGTGATTCAGGGCGCCGCGGCGCCGCGAGTTGTCGTAGCGGTCGGACATGGTGGCCGACGGTCAAGTTGCAGATGGTCGGGGAGAGAGACGATGTGCCCGACTCTCGACTCTCGACTCTCACACGGCCCGGAGGCGGGCCGAAACGGAACGAATGTGGCGAGTCAAAACGGCAGCCGGGGACGGCTCCTGGGACAGCTGGCTAAAGCAGGATCCGCAGCGGCGCAGGAATGCACGCGGGTGTCGAAACAAAGTGCTCCGTGGAGGTGCAGCCTCAAAGTATCGTATATAAGAAAAGAGACTGGAATGTGGAAATGCGCACAAGGGCGGAGATGTCAGGAAGAAAGATACAGCCGACGCCTGAACGTTAGGAGTGCAGACAGCAAGCAGTTAGCAGGCCAACGACATTCTGCAGCATTACCAGATGTCGGGTCCTGTCGTCGTGTTATCCGGGTGGCTGGTAAACAATGCGAATTTGCACCTGCTAGCCGATGCCCGTTGCGCTGTGGATTGCTGGGCCGAGGAGGGACAAAACAACAGGGACGAGGTGCCTGTCGCTCTTGCCCCAGCCACAGCCTTTCCTGCCCAGTTGCCCCAGCTTGTTTTGACCAGCGCCGAGGCAAGAGCCTACGCTAATTGGTTGTCCGGGCAAACGCTGGCTCGGGTGGAACAGAGCGTCTGTGGCACGTGATTTAGTACCACGTGCCGATAAGCTGATAAGCGTTCTGTGCGTGCTAATTATTTTGGTGGGGCCGACCTCCGCTGAAGGGCCCAGCTAGCTGCTGATTGGCTGCCTGGAACAGCTACCCCCAGCGGCCCGCTCGCCGCCTATTTACAAGCACACAATAGCACTGGCGTCATTTCCACGTCCCCCATCGCGAGGCTGGTTTTGTCCTTTACGACGAACAACCATCAGCACCGACCCACCCTCTACCCTTCCGGCGACCGCTGCCGACTGTTGCGACTGTCGTTTGTAATCGCTTTCGTTTCGTTCGTCACGGCAGCACATTGAGCACCGCTGACTCGAAATCGACGGCGTCCTCGTGCCCACGGCGTTTCGCCTCGGCTTTTCAGCCTCCGGCATCAATTTATCTCGAAAAGCATCGTCTGCACAAGTAGACTGTTGTCCCGCACGACAGAGTCTCCTCCCCTTGTCGGGCGTGCTTCCCTCGACGGCCTGATCTGCGCCGTCTGCGCCTTTTGCGCTGTGTAGAGCGCAAGCTGCGACCGCATCCGCCATGTCCGAAACACCACCGCTCTCCTCCTCCTCGTCCTTCTCGTCGATCCGTTCCTTGTCGCCCGATCTTTCGTCCTCGCGCATCTACCGACGCCGCCGACGCAACAATGCCGCGTCTGCTGTGTCGCGGCAGACCGCCCTGACGGTCGCGTTTGTGTCTGCCATCGTCTCGGCCTTGTGTGCAGGCTCTGTCACCGTCTTCTCGCTGTACGGCCACATCTTCCAGGAGCGGCTGCACTACTCGCAGTTCCAGGTGAACGGCGTGGCCATTGCTGCCAGCATTTCGTGCTACCTGCCCGTGCCCCTGATGGGCTACGTCTGCGACCGCGTCGGCCCCGCCCCGCTCTCGCTGCTGTCGAGCGTGCTCTTTGGCGGCGGCTACGGGCTGGCTGCCATCCTGTACAAAAAGGCAGCCACCGAAGCCACGGTGGGCGCCGGCGGAGCGCCGGCGCCGCCGGCGACGCGCGCCTACGCTCTGATGGTGGCTGCGTTTGTGTGCGTTGGCGCCGCGACCTGTGCCATGTACCTGAGCGCCGTGGCGACGTGCGCCAAGAACTTTGGCCGCGGCCGGCACCGTGGTCTGGCCCTGGCGGCGCCCATTGCGGCGTTTGGCCTCAGCGGCATGTGGCAGAGCCAGCTCGGCAGCCGCCTGCTGTACGAGCGCCTGCCGCCGCTGCCCGACGATGGACCGGGGGCGCCGCCCCGCCGCGGCGACGTGAACGTGTCGGCCTTTTTCCTGTTCCTGGCCATCCTGCTGTCGGTGGTCGGCCTGCTGGGCACGTTCACGTTGCGCGTCGTGGACGAGGCGAAGCTGATTGACGAGGCTGTCGACGAGCTCGAGCGCAGCGGCCTGCTGGACGGCAGCGCGCTCTTCCCGTCGTCGATACCGGGCCATGTGTCGTCGTCCTCGGCCGGCATAGACGACGCGACCGTCGGCCGGCCGACGCGGTTTGGTCCGGGCGTCAGCCGTGGCAACAGCAGCATCGGGATTGCCACGAACGGGCGCGGGACCGCCAACGGCTCGTACGGCACCATGGGGCGGACCAACCCCTTTTGTACGGCGCAGAGCGAAGACGAGGACGACGAGACGACGGTCGACGAGACGAGCCGCATGCTGCGTGGACCCCGCCGCCGCAGCGAGAGAGTGCGTGGCACGGGCGACGATGGCGAAGACGACGCGCTGGCAAGTCGCCGGCTGCTGGACCCCGGGAAGGACAACAGGGATGATGGCGACGGCGACGGCGACGATGAAGACAGCGACGAGGCTGGGCGCATCGAGGCGCAACAGGCGCGGTTCAAGAAGGCCTGGGTCTTGAATGCCGAGACCCACCGCTTCCTCTCCGATCACACCATGTGGCTGTTTGCCCTGGGCTTCTTCTTCATGATTGGACCCGGCGAGGCCTTTATCAACAACCTCGGCACCGTCATCAAGACGCTCTACCCGCCGAGCACCAATTTTGCGGCCGGCGGCGGCGCCACGACCGCCGCCACGCACGTTTCCATTGTCGGCATCACCAGCACCGTGGCCCGCCTGCTCACAGGCTCCTTGACGGACCTCCTGGCCCCGCGGCCGCAGACGCAGCATCTGCAGGCCGGCACGGCCTCGTCGGTGCCGTCCGTCGACGTGGAGGATGCGGGCGCGTTTCGCCGCGTCGTGTCGCGCTTTTCCGTGTCCCGCGTTGCCTTTTTGCTGACGTTTGCGCTGCTTCTGTCGGCGGGCCTCGTTGTGCAGGCCTCGGGCGCCGCCCAGAACCACGGCGACCGTTTCTGGATCGTGTCCGGGCTGGTCGGTGCGGGCTACGGCGCCGTGTTCAGCCTGACGCCCATCATCATCACAGTCATCTGGGGCGTGGAGAACTTTGGCACCAACTGGGGCATCGTGGCCATGTTTCCTGCACTGGGCGCCACCTTTTGGGGCCTCGTCTACTCGGCTGTCTACCAGGCCGGCGTCACGGCCACCATCGCGCCGAACGACCCCCTCTCGGCCGCTGCGGAAGACAACCTCTGCTACGGGACCCAGTGCTATGCGCCGACGTTCTGGGCCATGGCCGGCAGCGTGTGGCTGGCGTGCCTGCTCGTGCTCTTGGCCTGGAAGGGGCGCAACGGCTGGTCGCAGCGTGGGATCGTCATTTGATCTTCTTTGCTGATATGTATTTATGTACAAATTTCCGCGTGTTTATTTTTGAGCGACTCTTTGGCCATGTGTAGGATTTCATTTGTCTACTTTTGGTTATCATTTTGGGTATCACTTTGGTTATTTTACTTGTAGACACAGCTTCACGACGATGCAGCTGCCATCTTCCGGCGTATAATTTTCAAACCGAGATTTTTTCCTCCAGTCAAGCCCAAGTTCAGAAGTGAATCATCCTTCAATAACTATTCAAGTGATATAATTTTGTCAGCAGACATGCATCAGCTATATATCAGCAGCAACTACCGTTTTGACCTCTAGCATCGTGGCCAGCATTATATCCGGCATCATCTCCCGCGACATCGCCTTCGTCTGGACTCATCATGGCAACATCTCCATGCATCATCGCAAATGCTTAACTACATGAACGAGCGTAGCACGCACAGATTCACAATAACTACCGGAGACGGTCTATTCGTATCAATGCCGCCACAGTAGCACAGCCTGGCGAGGTCGTGCCACTATGACTGATGTTCTCCACGTGTAGTCGGCGCTTATATGCCTTACTGGAATAAGCGTGACACGGTGTTATCTGGTGGCTAATAGCTTCTAGGCTGTCCAGCCGCATGGTTGCCCCAACAGGACCCTTGAAGTTAAAACGAGCCTCACATTCATACTTGAAACACTGAGATGCATGATGTCTCGGCATAAAAATTAGATAAAGATTGAATTTATATGCATCAGCATTCTGTTCTGCACATATAGTCATAGTTCGTGGTACGTGCAGATATGACAGTCGGAAGCGCGTCTGAATGTTGACATTTGCGAAATGGCCACTGGTGAACTCGCAATCGCTGCAACATGGCGGCCTCCAAGACGCAGCACATCGTTGTCGTCCCCACGTCCAAGAGGCTTCGTCAAGCGCCTGTGTGGTTGTTCTTTGGTTGTTCTCCAACGACGATGCTCGTGTTTCGTGTTTTACAAGCGGCGCCGTCCCGATTTAGCTATTTTGGTGCCCGTCTTGTTCGCCTCGTTGGGAGTCGTAGTGTCGTACCGGTCATGCCATCGTTGTGTGCCCTTCATAAGCACACCTGTCAATATCGACAATAGCGGTACTGAGATCTACTTCTCGCCACTGGCGTCGATCCCCCTGCTCATTTATCATCGCCGAGTAGGACGTACTCCAGCAACGACATATTCCAGTGCACACAAAAAGCGGGCCCTCGTTGCTTCCTGCTCTGGTATTAGTGAAGCTTCGCATGCTTTATCGCGGGGTATATGTCATTGGGTGTCCTCTCGTTGGCACGTTCGTCGCTTATTCTCGGCGCCGGTGCAGCTCGGTCCGACATCTCCCATCCCGGTTGGCTTGTGAACGCGGCTGCTTGGCTCGACCTGTATGTGCAATGGTGCTGTGCGCTTCGATGTTCTAGATGCCTAAAGAACGCGGGCTCTAGTGTTGTGCGATTTTGTTGACTTCGCTGCGACCTGCTCACTCATCGAACGCGTTCATATGATTATGTAGCAAATCAGGACATGGGCACATGAACCCGGAGAAGCGTGCAGCCGAGGATGGCTCAACAACCCAAGCAGTTCAGGATGCCAGCAGAATCTCCAGAGTGCCAGCCCAGTGTCGAGGTACTGGCTGTTGGTTCTCCCCGTACATCCGACCGTCTTGCCGCGAGGCTTGTAGAGCCCAGCCGCCGGGATTGCGTTTGCCAGACCGCGTTTCTGCTCGAAACTGGCGAATCGCATCAACCACATCAACCATCACGCCATCCTTTGGATGACGATGAGGCCGTACAGCTGATCCCAGCCGGTGTCGGCCTTTATTGACTGCGCCACTTGTTGCAGCCGTCGGAAGATGTCGTTTGCTTTCATCCGGTGGCGGAAGCCACGCAATGGCATCCCAGGCAGCATTGTATACACAGGCCCCAACAGGCACACCGGCGGCGACTTGATCGGGAGTGGCTGGTCGAATGTTTGCTCGCAGCGACGGTCTGGCGAGGTTGGCCATATAGCCGTTGATGGCTCGATTGGTTCCCGGTTGGCCGCTGCCGACCCAGACTGAAAGCTGAATCGTCTGTTGTGCATTGGTGCTGTTGTCGGCAGTGGTGTTGATAGCAGTCTGACTGTTATCTCCCAAGGAGAGCAGCTCGCGAACATACTCGCTGCTGGCGTCGAGTGCGCCAGACAGAGGATAATGTGAAAGTCGGTCCGACTTCTTTGCCTGAGCGACATTGTCCTTTCCTGCTCTGGAATGCAGATGATCCGGGGAAGCTGACCCGCCAGCGCCAGGACAATCGGAGTGTCTCGGGACGTTTGTGTTTCTGCTGGCGTTATCGTTCGCGCCGCCAATGTTCTCATCTCCGTAACCACTGCCTCGTCCATCATCACCGCCTGCCGCAGTCCGCTCGCCGTCCTTACAGAGGCCGGCGTCGTTCAGCTGGTAGGACTTCTTTGCCGCTGCCTCTGTCCCCGCTGCCGTCGTCACAGCTGTCCTCGTTTCCCGAAAGAAGCTAAATGCATCACTGCTATTCGCGTTGAGCAGCGCTTTGGCATCCAGACTGTCAAATGCACCGTCGAGATCTCCGTCTTGTGGTGGATAAGGCTCAAATTCAAGCCGCAAGTGTCTCAGGCCGCTGAGCACGGTGGGGCCGTGGCGCGACAGCGAAACGGCCGCCTGCTGTGCGCGCACTGCCGCCTCCTGCTCGGCCGCAGAGACAAGAAATCGGATCAGCTTGTCGATCAGAGGCCCGGCGGAGATCCGTGGGAGTCCAGCCAATGTGAGCGACTGCAGACGAGGATTCCAATCTGGCCCGAGATCAGCGATCATCAGTGGATACGCGGTCTCGGCCCTTTCGCGCAAAACAGTCTCAGCGTACATCAAAGCCTCCCGTGGGCTTCTGGACGGGTCGCTGAGCGTGGGGATTTGCGTCACCAGCGAGTGATGGACACGCAAGCTGCGCAAGTTGGAAGCCATCACAGGGCGGAAGAGGTGGCTTCGGCCCAGAATGCCAGTCAGTGTAAAGGGCACCAGCCCGCCGGTCGGAATGGTGGGCGATGCGCAGTCAAAGTGCTGGATGTGGCCTCGAGAGCAGCGAAAGATTGACTCAACGCCTTCTACGGTAAAGTCTCGGTTTCCGCTTAGATAGAGATGCGTCAAGGAGACGGGCAGCTTGCAGATGTCGGTATCCCATACGTGATGCCAGTCCAGAGGCATTTGCCCAGGTCCACCGGCCAGAGCAAGCTTCACATCCTTGGCACGATCGCTCCTCAGTGGTTCATTGCCGGCGAGGCGTGCTACACTTGGGGGGCTGTGATTGTCAGCATCGTAGACGGGCGCATCGGCCAGGAACCGGTCCGGGTGCGAGAAAGTCCCACTAGCAGCCGATTCAACGATATAAGAGAGCCATCCTCGCCAGAGTGATGGGATTGTCTCTTCTGGCACATCTCCCACGACGGCTAGCTTCCCTTCCACCTCGAAGTGACTTGGCTGTGCAGTCAGGTCGTCTGTTCCAAAGCACTGGTAGAACAAAGCATGAACAGAGCTGTCCGTGAGCTTGTTGCTGGTCAAGTCCAAACTCCAGATGCGCTGCTTCGCGTGCTCGGCAATCGGGGCCAACGACGCGTCATCTAGCACCCGCCCGCGCAGCTTGAGTATACGAAGGTGTGGCAAGGCACCCTGATTGAAGGTACCCGTCTTAATAATGCCCTTGAGCGAGCCCGGTACATTGGACATATCCAGGTAGACAAGTTGCCTCCAGTAAGACGGGTGGAAGAATGTGTTTGGCAGAGGCATGCCGCAACCGGCAATGTCCAATATCAAGGGCATCGGTACAGAGCCATCCTCAGGATAATCATCCGGATGGAGAAGATGGCCTAGATCTGAGGGGTCGTAGCCCGTATTGCCACCGAGCAGGATACAACGCACAGCCGGGAACGCTGTACCAAGGAGCCGGAGGGTCTCTGAGAAGCTGCGGCCGCTGCTGCCGGCAATGGACATCGGCACATCAACAGCAAAGTCCCGAAAATCTAGTGACACGATAAGACGGCGGGTGCTATTCCGCACTGTCATTGCATGCCTTGTGGCGAAAAAGATGAACCATTGCAGGTCTAGAAGCATAGTCACAATGTTAGGTCTAGTTTTGTTGAGCGTCAAGGCATTAAGCAATAATGCTCGCGGCAAGAAGACCGGCAAAATAACACACCACGCTTGCCCAAGGACAAATGAAACTATTCATCTGTTTCACCAAAATCTCCAGGACACAACTAGCACAGGGCAGGGGGCAATAGGAGGAAAAGTAAAAACGAGACCTCCGACTACAGAAGGCACCAGCAGCACACATTTGGTGCCGGGAGAGAACATCAGGCCGTGTCAGGAAACACAACGCGGCAACAACATGAAAAGAAGAAAAGACGGTCCGATGCATGGCTAGGGTGAAGAACATTATTGAATCTCAGAGGCAAAAGCAATTAGAGTTAAAGACAGAAGACGAGAAAAAGACGCACCGTCGTTTGGGTGCAGGCCTAGCAGCCTGGCCGTTTGTAGTGGATCGTTCCACAATCGAGGAGCAAACTGGTCATAGAAGCGGCGTGATACTTGACAGAGCCTAGAGTAGTCTCGGGGAGCGACATACGGCGCAACAAGGTCAAGCCAATGGCCGCCGGTCACGGCCTCTTCGTAGGATGGAGGATGTGCCATTCTTGTTCGAAACTGGCAGGTCCTATCTGTATGAGGCTTTCGTTCTTTGTTGTCGTTGCGGGCAGCACTGGGAAAGACGAGGATCTGGGGCCTGGTGGCGACTGTTGGGACGGGGACGAGGAGAAAGGAAAACAACCGTTGTGAAGGAGGGGGTGTGCATGCAACAGACAAAGGACGCGAAGCAACAGAGTTGGGGTCTGTCTTTGTCTGGCCTTGTTAAAAAAACAGAGATAAAATGAGATAAAATAAGAAAATAAAAACAAAAATATCAACGTGTCTGTTGGAGAGGCCTTTCGTGAGCTGCAGGGGACCACGAGGCGTTGCCAAAGACGGAAGCCGCCACAGTCGTGAAGGAAGAATAGAGAAAAGGAAAGAAAAAAAGTGAAGAGAAGAGGGTGGTACTCGGGGTCGAAAATAAAAATAAGAAAACGCACAATGAAACGCAGGCGATGCCGGTGGGGTGGAAGTAGGAGAACCAGCGATGTAGAGACGCAAAAGGCAACGATGTCCTGACCACGAATAGGCAAAGCGGTTCACGAACAGAAGCGGGCCAATACAGTTGCTGTCGATGTGGCTGCTGGCCGTTGGTGTTGCACCGAATATTCTGTACAGTGGCTCAGACTGATTGGTGGCTTCCAAATCTGGCTTGTCTTGTTGCGGCCGCATATGCCAAGCCCCGAATGCCGGATGGGTATGCCGCACTGCTCTTGAAAATGGCTGCGGCGTCGATGCAATGGCAGTTGGGGGCCGTTCTTGGGCGTCTAAACTGGGCCCGGGGTTGGCCCGTTTTCGAGACCCCCGAATCTGGTGATACGGAGACGGGCTGCAGGCGTCGCTGCTACAGATGGAGCGGGCGTCTGTTTGCCCGCGGACGGCCTGGCTTGGGGGCCATCGTCTGCTTCTTCTGCCCTCTTTTGGCTTGTTCTGCGGTTTCGGGTTCTTCGGCGCTGGTTCTTTTTCTTGGCCCCAAGGTGGTACCGGTGATAGTCGTGCCGCTGCTTGCGGCACAGTCTGGATGGGCTTCTTGTGATGCTCGTCCGGCGGCTATGCAAGTTGTGTGCGCCTGTGTGGTGTTTGTAGATGGGGGAGTGAGTACGATTGCGCTTGTAGTTGGGGAAGAGGAAGACGTTGAAGCGCAACTCTGAAGCATCCGTTTCTGGATTTTGAGGTTTCGCTGTGGACGCGTATTGCTCCTTCCGCATGCTGCGCTGCGCCTTCCCGCTGTGCAACAGAAAGCAAGAACTGGAAAAAGTGGAACCCGGCTGTCGTACGCCATAATATATCGCTGTACGATGTATGGCAAGGCCGCGCCTGCCATTTTGGATACCCCGCACCGCATAGCCGTACGACCGGTTGCACCTGCTTTCTCTGTCTTCGCAGCAGGAGCGATGCGCCACAGTTTCCCTTCATTGTGATCAGAGGTGTGGCCGACGCCGGAGGCGACAGAATGCGCCTTCCAGAAAACGGTCCTTCCAGGTTTGGTTACTTGCGCTATTTACAGATTGCAGCCTTGAGCCTCAAACAACGTCTTTTAAAGCAAACGACAAACAAAAGACGGCAAACTGCAGTCGGGCAAACTGAGCGGCCCGTAGCTTGCAGCGAGGGTGTGGGTTGAACCTGGTAAAAATAACCCGCATGCAGCCTCTTTCGACTACGCTTCCTGCAGGTTCTCATGCAGGCTCGTCATCTATGAGAAACAGACCAACCCTACCCTTGCAGGAAGCAAAAAAAAGTACCGACTGATTCCTCCCGCTTCTCCCGTCTTCATGCCACTCTATTCGTGCCGCCGCACGTCGCACGTCAAACCGGGCCGCGTCGAGACCAGAGATGGGTGATGGGCACTGCCCGCGACGTGCGTCGGGATGCCAAAAGTGGCAAAGAGGCGCGTTAAACGAGGCTGGCCAAGAGAGTTGGGGGTCGAAGCTGAGGGCGAGGGCGAGGGGCGAGAATGGAGGGAGGGAGGGGGTGTCAAGATATCAGGCGGCTAGGTGCGTTTTGGTTTTGCCAACATGGCAAGGGACGGAGCCAATAGACGCGCAGGCGCAAAAGCCAGAGACGAGACGACGAAATGCCGACGCAACGGTGAGACAATAAAACGACAAAGCGCAAAGCCGCCGATGGCGGACTAGGTCCTACGACAAATGGCCAACCGGCAGTTCTTGTGAGATCAGACAAGATCCGACAAGAAGATGGAGACGGGAGACGAACAGGGTCTGGACAAGGGCCGCTCAATCCTGGCTCGCTTCTCGTCGTCCCCCCGGCACATCGAAACCTTTCGCCACAGCGCACCTATTTTCTGCCTCTGCAACATGCAGTATCCTGGTCGGAAATCCTTGGACTGGACGAGAAATCCTGGTCGAAGGCCAGGCCACAGAGTCAGGCCGTTCCTCTCAACGGCTGAACCCGACGGTGTGGGACATCTGTGCTGCAGGTGGCCCCGTAATTAATTCTGCAGCAACTCAACAGCCAACCGCAAGCAAGCAAAGGCCAACAGCCTCCTCGTCCGTGCTTCCCCAGCCCGCAAGGGAGGGGGATAAAAAGACGAGCACAGACGGACAAGGATTGATGGCACAGGGGATGGGAACAGAAATACTCGATTATTGGAGTGTTTTCAGTATCTCCATATCTCAATTCGCTTCTGTACATTTTCCATAAGTCGTATATCTGAATTAATTGACACCTCGATAGCATCATACATTTGGCAAAGAGACGGCACAAGTCCTATTTCGTGCTAGCCTGTATGACGGACGGTCGTATCTTTATGTATGGCTTTGTGTGCAAGCACGGATTTGAACAAAGAACACTCAGGCTTTAGTGAACGACCGCTTCGATCTTTGGCAAGCCTATTTTGGGCTTACTTCCCGTCCATTTTGTTACTGTGTTCTCTCTTGCAACCGATTTTCCTTTCCTTTTCTTCTTTTCGTCAACACGGCTCCCGCTCCCTTTGTTTTATGGGCTTAGACCCGTTGGCCCCCTCCACTTTTTGACACTGACGTTTTTTTGTCTTGACGATGTCCTTTCGGTTGTGCGTCCTTCTTCATCCACTCCCCGCCCATCTCTCTGCACCCTCTCTGTTCTCCCTGCTCCCGCTGCCCGTGTTCCCGCTTGCGCAGCAAGTCGGAATATGCATTTTGCAATATTTTTGATAAGAATCAACGGGCAAAGACAGACCCGCGTCTTTGCGACTATGCATTCTCGTCGTTGATACAACTTCCCGCCCCCATACACCGTTGCGGCTGACCACCCAATCCGCAACACGGGCGCGCTTTGCTTCCTGATGGGGGATGGTTTCAAGTTAAAAACGGCGTCGTTGGTCTGCCGGGCCGCATGAGGGTCCTCGTGTGTTGATGTCCGTCATTGGGGGCTGCTTAGGGTTGCAGGCGGGTAGATGGAGGCAGGGCAGGTTCTCTCCGTGGGAGGCATCGGGAGGGGGGGTGTGAATACAAGATAGACGAGGGGAGGTCGGAGCAAGAACAAAACAAAAGCAAAATAAAACAACCCCGGGGATCGGGGAACGCGAATTTTGCATGCAGCATGTAGATGTTGGAATCGGGTTGGACTTTGACATGCTGACGGGTGACAGCGGCTGGCTGACTTGGATGACAAGACCCCAGGACCAGTGTGGGATACAAACGACGTTGAAGAGTATCTCTAGACACGTTGTATGCAGTAATTGACGTGTCACTCGGTCGCAAAGAGACATTTGCAAATACTCTGTTTGAGTGACCAAAAATGGCAACTGGGCAGCCGGTTGGCTCTATGCTCAGCACAAGGACCCCGGGCCCAACAGGCCGTTGATTCTTTGTGCCCCTTTGTCTCATGTCTGTGGCCTGTGGCCTGTTGTCCGTTGTTTTGTTTCTTTCTTTCCATTTTCTTTTCTTTTCAGTTTTCCTGTTTCTTGTTTTGCTCTGCGCCCTCTCTTTGTGTGTTGCCCCCAAAATCCACTACCCTGCGTACGTCCCACCAACAACCCTATTGCTGCGATTCTGCATCTATCACCTATTCCCGATGCGGTGTTTCAAGGGATTCCCCAAACGGACCCCATGCTGGGTCGACTTGGAATAAAATCCCTGTCAAGAACGACGGTACACAAAACTGGACACAAGACGCGGGCAGGGACGAAAGCCAAAAACGGCAAGGGAGAACGTCTCTGGTTGAATAACAGTGTCAAATCTCAAATTTAGCCTCCAGACCAAGAGGAATGGCGTCCAGTAAGCGTGGCTGTCCTTTGAAACTGCACAGTGGTTCTTTTGTTCGTTTGATTTTACATGCATGCTTTTTAACGGCTACGTAATGCCGTTCCCATTACCTTCACTGTCGGCGAGAGCGAGATCGAAGCGGCTTGGCATGGTATGATGTTTTGGGCTATCGAT